TAATTATTTTCTATAGACGATATTCGTGGGTTTCTTATCTTATACAATATCTTCCAATATCGTTATATTGCCCTCTTATTCGATTTAAATTGTATTCTAGGCTCCAGGCTACACTTGTGGTTTTTTTTTGGTTTTTTTTGTTTGTTTGAAAAGCTGGTTTCATATCTCATCTACTTTCACTATCATTAATTATGGCGTATGTCGAAGAACGACACTGCTATATTCCACTAAATTTGTTTTCTTTTTGTATATATTTTTTGTATATTTTATGTAACCCCCACAAGTTTTAGCACAAAATTTGTTTCACAACCTATATACACCCAATTTACCCCATCTGCTTTGTCTCGTCTGAATTAAACATCTTCCTTTTCTTCCCCCATTTGCATAACGCCCACACAAACAGCTTCCCCAACCCTTTGGAACATGGATAGGTCCCGCACCAGACGTCCTCTTCTTCCCACGTCCATGCATCTACCAGTTACGAGATAGATTCCAACCACAGCCAGGATTCTACAAACCACCACCAGGATTCCACCAACCACCACCAAGATTCCACCAACCACCACCAGGATTCCAGCGCCAACCAAACCCAGGCCTACCAAATCAGCGCCGACCAAACCAAGGCCAACCAAATCAACGCCTACCAAAGCAGGGTCAGTGACCCTAAGGGAATTCAGATGTCATCAAGGTTTTCTTCCAGATCCTCCAGTGCCTCCACCATTTGACCTGAACAAGTTCGTCAAGCCGGCCATGAAAAAATTTACCATAGCCACTATCACTGAGTCATCCCTATCAACACACTACCGAACCATGCTAGCGGATAAACTGGAGTACTTGAAGTCGCGACACTTTACCAAAGAAGCTGTACAAAAGTACTCTAGCCACGCCCTAGTATGGGCCAAGAAATCCTACGGCAAGCGACTTCAGGATAGTGTGAAGACAGTTCCATCGCCCTCTGTCCACTCTCCGTAAAGCTGTCACTCTTCCTCCCTCGCCCATGCAGAACACACTTAACCTTCTCCAGGAAACACCAAAACGAAACACAACTAACAAGAGAACATTATCACCTGGAAAAGGTGTAATACTATAGGGCCTATCTACCGAGGAGATTATTTAAGTTCTCTTAAAAGATGCTCTGGTTAATGCATTGAAGTCGTTAGATAGTACTAGTGACAACGAGAACTAGGCTAACAAGAATATGTCTGGTAGATAAAAATCGGACAATGACATCATAATCTGATAATCCAAATATGGTAACTCAATGCGTTAGAAACGTGGATAGCTGCCCGCCTGGGTACCCATATAAGTACACTGTGTTGAAATTCAGATAAAGGGAGTACCTGGTCAATTTCCGGGGGTCAATAGCATACATGACTCATGCACGTATCCTCTTTATAAAGAACGTGTGGGGTTTAAGTTTTTTTTAGACATCATTTGGAATTCCCAGGGGAACATCATACCCACAGCCTCCTCATGTTCCTGAAGCAACGACTGTGAGTTATACACCATCTGGCCGTTGGTTATTTACTTCTCAATTCCCAAACTTACAGCTATGTTATTTACAGACACATGAGCAGTAGCGCCCAATCAGAGGTTGTGACATCGCGACCTCCACGGAAACGTTGACATTGAATGAACCTTGAACTTTGCAACTCGATTATCACAGGTAGACATTATAGCTTGAATGCGCGAGACTTGGTATTCGCGACGATCGAGGAATCTGATAGGCTCACAAGTTGGGCTTGTACCCAATTGAAATTAGTGCCGAAATATGCAGGGTATTACGTGAAGGCCTTGATAAGATGTACGTAGTTAAAGCGAGATCAAGCCTTCTATTGAAGATGCAGCCTCCTCAGCTTAGAGGCTAGGGTAAGGACATCATCTCGTATTCTCAGAAGGATGTTCCCACAGCTTCCTCGGCCGAGAGGCTGGCAAATACCGCCACAAAACACAAGCTAGGGGATAGAGAACTTATATTTAGCTTATATTTAATGTCATAGCTGTGTGTGTAGTTTCCCGTATATAACCTTTGTATTATGGATGTTGTATTCGATGTATAAACTTAGTTACAGACCGGGCGAAGAATTCCTCAAATTACTCGACATCTGTTTGGGGAGAAATGACTTCACATTCAACGACCAAGTATACCTCCAGTCTTCCGGAACTGCGGTGGGAAAACGATTTGCCCCAAGTTGTGCAAATCTCTTCATGACGGAGTGGGAAAAGGGAGTTCTGTCACTCTGCCCATTAAAACCTGATTTCTATGGACGTTTTTTAGATGACGTTTTCATAGTCAGGACTTACACACTAGACGAATTTTGGACGTTTTCAACATTCTGAACAATCATCATCCATCTGTCAAATTAACCACAAATGTAAGTCAGAACAGCATAGATTTTTTTGACACCACCGTTCTAAAGTAGTAACACCTATAACACTGACCAATTGGAAACTAAAGTCTTTTTCAAAGAAAGCGATACACATCAATTACTGTTCAAAAGATCCTTTCACCCAAAACATACGTTCTCTGCCATCATAAAATCTCACATTCTCCGTTTCCATAGAATATGTACTCAGAAGGCCGACTTTGAGTCAGCATGTACGCTGGTATTTAGCAAATTAAGAGAAAGGGGATAATCCCAACGCTATCTCCGACGTGTTAAAAAATATACTCTAGTTGAACTTGTCGCCAAAGAAACAAACAATATGCAATCAGCAGTTAAAACCAAAACTTGTGGCCATCCCAGATGCCAAACATGCAAATTCATAAACATATCCGACCAGTTCCATAACAAAACATCCGGCAATCAATTCCCAATATTAGACCATCGTTCATGCAGCAGTTCAAACATAATTTATCTAATTTCATGTAGACAATGTGACAAACAATACCTAGGGGAAACCCAAAATGCACTTAGGGAAAGAATTAACGGTCACCGGTCAGACATAGTCACCCGTCTCAATTCACTTCAACCAACCAAATCATGATATTTTTGATCTCATTGTCACACCAATAGAAAAGACTAAGAGCGATTTTAAAACCCCAGAAGAAATTAAAACGTTTAGGCCAAGAAGAGAAAAATTCTGGATTGACAAATTGAAAACATCAGCCCCTCTAGGTTTGAATATTCATACAGCTAGCGCAATAGCCCCCTTTGTAGTCCCATTCAGCGCCACAGCAGCAAGTGCGTCCAAAATCATAAGAAAACACAGGAAATCAGGAAAATCACCCCGAAATCTTCACACAGAAACTTAAAAATAAAACGACATGTTAGTACACAGTAAATTAGATTAAATAAGACCAGTCCTCACCTTAACCCAAAACAAACAATATATCAAGCCCTAGCCCTAACCCTTAGTAAATAAAAACAAGTAGATATAAGAATCCCTAGCCCTAACCCGGTGATAGTGGAAAAACATATTCAGTAGAAAATCCAATAGTAGGAAACACACTAATGTGGCTCTCACCCGAGAACCTCAAATTTATTCCATTTTTTTTTCAGAAACAAAAATACCAAAATACCACAAGCACCACCTAAGGAAGACCATCAGCGCCACCAACACCAAAAACAGCGAAAACAACTTTGTATATAAACTTCAAAGTATTTTATGTATTTTTATAAAACCAGGAAATATCACGATATGAATTTTCATCATCCTAGGACAGTGCTTGTCTTGGAGACTCAAAGTCTCCCCCGAATTCTTAAACCTAACCTGCAATCTAGCCAACAATCACGTGCTCTAACCTTATTTACATCTCAGCGACCTTGACAAAGATTGAGCTGACCTTAAAAAATAGATTTAGCCCTACGCTACGCTACAACACACCTGCGATTGAATTGAAAGACTGTTTCATCTCGAGCCCGTGATAAATAAACCATGATGGTAAATAAACGGATACCGTATAAAACGGTTTTAAAGTGAAAAATTTAGAAATTTGAACCTTTTATTGAGTCTACCTCCGAGCGCCCTTTATTAACGTGATTGGTAATATATAAATTTTCAAAACAAACAATGGAAGTCTTCCACACAGAATTACCCCATTTGATTGGCTTATCTCCTTTTAAATGAACAAAACCTATGACGTAAGATAACTATCGCACTTTTAAAAAAAAAGAAATAAATAAAATGCAATAAAAGAGAGTTTAACGTCCTACTGTTTCGCTGGGACTGGGCCAAAGAAGACGGGCATACGCCATGCAGTGTACTATGAGGGAAATTTTGCAAGGACAGCGGCATACTCTTATATAATATTGAATTCCAACTGTCAAGGGATCATTAACGTGCACGTTAATGTGTACACGGGACCTCGGTTTTTCCTTCCACCCGATCAGCTATACGTTGCCCATCGCCAGGCCCTCTGTCCTGCATCACTAGCAAGGAGGAACCACGCCGGAATTCCCGATAAACTTTCTTGGCCAATATATAGAGCTCGAACACGGGACCCCCGGGTTAGCGAGCCAACGTCTCACCCACTGAGCCACCGTGGCTACCGAAATATAAATAAAACTAAAGACAATTCTCAGGCATCAACCTAAACATGCTGACATTCGTGTTGATGGGCAATAACGATAAGTAAGAAGTACGTAAATAATATAATATATACCCTAGCTTATATATAGATCTGTTGATAAATACAATACAAATATAGACCCGGTTATAGATTGTATCTTTGTAGCATATTAGGATCGAATTACCATCACGTGGGTTTCTTAGAAACTGGGGTCAGTAATAGTATCGCCCCATAAAGTGACCTCATTTTGTAAATGCATTTACTTCCGCTATCATTAAATTTTAAACGCGTCGCAGCATCTGTCAGATCTTCATCGAATTCCAAATGTCCCTTGAGTCAGAATGATTTCAGTAACTTTACATTGTCCTCCTATTCGGTATAAATTGTATTCTTGGCTACATTATCAACCCCCCCCCCCTCTCTAAGATGACGTCATATTATATTAAACCATCTACTTTCTTTATCATTAACGGCGTAGTAGACTTCGTATATGTACAGTTGAGATAATAAAAATACAATCTAACGAATACCATTCCATCTACCATCTGAAAAGTTATATAGAAGTTGAGTTTAAATGGATACCCGAGGGAAACGTCGAAATGAGAATGATGAACAACCAAAGAAGTTAAAGACAAAGAGGCGGGAGTCGACAGAAGATGTCATGGGTTGTTCTTATGAAAGGTCGATAGATCCTCGGGGGAATATCGATTCTGAAAATAAGGTCAGCGATTCTGAAAATAATGAAGTCGTTCATCCTAAAAAGGAGGAAGTCAACGAGATGGTTGATTTGGAAAAAAAAGATTCGATCGAAAAGAAGACAGTTGCGAAGAAAGGCCCACGTGATGGGGATTCGATCGAAAAGAAGACAGTGGTCAAAAAATACACACATGAAGTGTCGATAGATCCTGACAAACTGGGCCATTTTGAAATTGAGGAAGTCAGTGATTCTGAAAATAAAGTCAACGATTCCGAAAATGGAGATGACAGCGGTTCTAAATATGAGGTAGTCCGTGGCGCCAGCGATTCCGAAATAAAGGAATCCAACAATTCTGAAAAAAAGGATTCGACCGATTCTGAAAATGAGAAATTGTTTAAATACACCGCTGATGACTTGCTGTTTTTTGACTTTGGGACCACCAATTTTAGTAAGTGTAATAGGCTATATACTTTGGGGATGGGAATAAATGGCTTAACGCATGTGCTTTAGGTCGCATTGGGAGCCACGGCGGCTAAGTGGGTATGAAGCTTGCTCGCTAGCCTGGAGGTCGCGTGTTCGAGAAAGGGATTTTCCGACGTAGTTTAACCTTGTCAGTGGTGCAGGACGGAGGGCCTGATAAAAGGGCAGCTGTCTAGTCGTTCGTGCACGTAAAAGATCACTTGGCAGTTGGAATTCGATATAAGAGTAGGCCATAGTGCTGCTGACCAGGTAAAATTTCCCGCATAGCACACTGTATGGCATATGCCCGTCTTCATTAGCCCAGTCGGAGCAGAACAGTAGGAGGTTAAACCCCATTTTATTTTAGGTCACATGGTCTTGTCATTGAGTCAAATGGCGTGTTTTCGATTTGTCGCTTACAGGTTACTTGTCCTTGCAAATGAATTAGGCTACGTCGTCGATATCTTACTTATTTCACGCAAACACTAATCTAATAATTAAATTAAAGATATATTATGGGAGATTAGATAAAGAGCTGGTAGTTCTCACTATAATAGTTAAAAACTAAATAATGTAAAGGAAATTTGCTGAAAATTTCAGTCAAATTGATCCACTCTGAAACAAGATTTTAGCGATTGAATTTTCGGCCTAGCCTCGATCATCATTACTGAAGTCGGTACGATAAAAAAACATAGTCTCGATTATCCATTTTATGATTAAATTATGAATGAAAGTCGAGCAGAAAATCGGAACCTAATCCAATAAATATCGCAGGCTAGCGATGCCATCGAGAGTTGATTATGGTCTGGATAAGTTTATTAATGTCTAATTAATAATTTAGATAGCATTTCAGGCCTAAAGAAATAGCTGCACAGGCAGATTTAGCTCTTGCATAATGTATGTTTAAACAACATTTAGTCGAACAAGTCCACTGAAGTAAATTGCTTACTAATTTGTTAAAAAAAGACGCGATGATTACCCAGTCCTAAGTCCTGCTGTCTTTCCTCCGATGTTTGAGTTTTAATTCACATGGCGCAGAATACCAGAAGTATGCCGACTACAATGTCTCTATGGCCGCCTCTCTCTCTCTCTCTCGCGCGCGCGCAATATGCCAAGACATGTCGTTGACATAATGTTGAGAAAGTTTGTTTTCATTTGATATTTAAAGGTAAAGAATCAGATATTATACAAATAGGCGCAGTTTGGGGTGAAGAGGAGTTTACAGTGTATGTTCGTCCAAACAGAACGAATTCGTTTCGGGCATCCAAACTTAATGGAAGAACCTGTGGGGTTGAAAGAAAATGGAGAAGAGAGACAGATTGTGTAGATATAAGCGAGGCTCTGAGACTATTCATTCAGTTTATATCTGCAAAGGGAAATAGTCCCATACTTGTTGGGCATTATATTAAGAACTTCGATTGTAAAGTTTTATATCATGCTGTATATCGTAACAAAATGATGGAGGAATTTTCCTCCGTTATTAAGGGCTTTATCGATACCCACATGGTATTTAGAAAGGTTTACCCGGAACTTAAGAGTTACAGTCTCGACAATTTACTTAAAGATTTTTTTAAAATAAATAGACACAAACGGTCTGATGCATTATCAAACGCAAAAATGGCCAAAAAATTATTCCAACTGGTAAAATCGGCACCCGAAACCCGAAAATCTGAATTTTCATGGAAGTCGGTAGTCTGCTTCTGTTCGTTAAAACCTTTAATTAAAGGTAAAAGTTTAAGCCGGTATATAGGGCGTAAATTGGCAGCAAGTGGTTTGGGATATGGCGATCTGTTACAAGCCTACAATCAATCACCGACTGATCTAAATGGTTTGATATTTAGCGAAAAAGTAAGTAAGCATAAAAAAAACAAAGCAATTATTAAAAAGATTTCAGACTTCTTTGATAAACACTAACAAATATCATCGAGCGATCCGGCACCCCCCCCCCCCACACACACACACACACCCACACACACACACCACCACCACCACCACACACCTACACACACACAAACCAAAGCCCCCCATCATTTATATTAGTACAAATATTTTTTAAGACTCCACTTTGTCGAATTAATAAGGAAATGTAACAGAGACCTGTCCTAATGTGAGGGTTCGGGAGGGGGTATAAATTCTTAATCCGGCCATGATAACGAGGAAAATAAACCATTTGGTACGACATGTTTATTTGTGTCTTTATAACCATATATCCACATTTATTGTATGTGAATATTTAGAGGGATATTAAATCCATTCTGAACTTGTCACACATAAAAATAACTTATTATAAATCATTATTTTCAAAATGTAACGCATCTTACAGGGCCACGGTAAAATAGTGCTTTGCATTTCATTTCGTAGCGGTGTACTAATATCCCATTGTCCAGGGAGGGGGCTTTCAATGTTATGGGATAGATTTAAAATAAACAAAAAATAAAGTTTGAAACTAATGATTATAAACATGATAATTTGGTTTTATCTTTAACATTGTGGTCAAGAAAATAAATCTATTTTGGACCATAATATTGTACATACTATTGAATGCAGTTTATCTAATGTTTAATTATTTGCGCATAATATTTCATTAATTTTAGACGTAATAATGTTTATATTTACAATATATTTTAATAAGTGGCTTTTTAAAATTTAATATTCCTTTTCTATCATTTTATATATTTACAATCTACTTATTTTAATAATTGGCTTTTTTAATTGTATTATTCCTTTTCTATTGCTTTATATATTTTCAGCAATCATCTGACTAGCGCTTACAACGAACTTTATTAATTTTGATACCCACTTGCCATTATTTTACTTAATATAGAGACATGCACTATAAACGTTCATAGCAACAAAGGTATCCGTTAAGGTACACATTTCTTGTCAACTTATATCAATGATTATATATATCAAATGAACAAATAAAATAGATTTATTTTACTTACCATCTTAGTTTTTTGGTGAGCATGTATATCCAGATATTATAAATATATGATTTAAAATTATATTTTCTTTCACACCACCTTAGCAACTCTGTACAAGTTAGATTTCAACTATCGTTTTGTTGCCATAAGTGTGTTGTTTGAACCATAAAGCCGACCTACGTTTAGTCCATTTACACATACAACAAAACGTATTATAAGCCAAGAAAATACACATGAAGCGATTAATCTTAATCCTATTCATGTATTGTGTTCGGTTGTATGGACTGTACAAATAATGCTTATAAATATGTACACCATTGAGGTTAGTTACTGGTTGTTAAAGACTACAGATTTATCAACCAGGGATATGTTTGATTACTTTTTGATTTTATTTAACCCTTAGGTTACTGTGAAACGTTATTTAAAGTGACATCGAACTATATGGTCGGTATTTAACGGAACATGATAGTAGTAAGTCAATTCAATTTGGTGCCATCCGTTTTATTTAAAGTGACATCGAACTATATGGTCGGTATTTAACGGAACATGATAGTAGTAAGTCAATTCAATTTGGTGCCATCCGTTTTATTTAAAGTGACATCGAACTATATGGTCGGTACATAACGGAACATGATAGTAGTAGGTCAATTCTATTTGGTGCCATCCGTTTTATTCATTTTTATCCATACCCTTGAAATGGACATCTGTGAATATAATAATACGGGGTGCACAGGGTATATAATACGGGGTGCTCACAAGCAAAAAATGTGGGAATTAAATGTCCAGTTGACTCTGCGATTAAACGCCGATATTTATGGAAATGGACAGCGGATAACGACAGATGCATTCTAAAATGGAATCTCCATCAATCAACTCACGTGATAAACAAGGCTGATAAAAATAGATTCGCATGTAGTTATCTTCTGATTAAAATGTTTTGAGAGGGATTTGATGCCAAATTTTGATAGACAAATTTGTTTAAATAGTTTTTTAGCCCAATTATATCAACAAATCACACAGTTTGTACGTTGAAAGGCTTCTGGGGACGAGCACATATCGCCTCATAATTAACCAATCAAAGTCATTGGAATCGAAAAGATTTCGGTCAGCATAAGATCTTTTATTTACCGGTACAATCAATGGAGATGAAGGGATTTGAAATTATGCCAGGACAACGGTGTCTTCGCTTGTGAATTATTCCTGCCAATGGCTCTGTTAACTACGCCGATGTATACATTTGTCTTCCAAGTGAAGTTTAACGTACTACCCCAGGGACTATGCACCATTTTCTTGTCGGCCCCAGAGGTGTTAATCCTGATCCTAGTCAACAAACCAGAGATCAGTGCCATTCCATACAATATGCAAGATGACCGAAAGCGAGGTTCAAATTCATTTCCAATTATATATACAGGACCCTCACATAGGATGAGGGTGGTGGGGGGTATGCCCGGGGTGACATATTTTTAGCGCTTCCAGCGACATACGAATATATACGATATCAATATCGGCAATTGTTTTCAGTTAAATTTGCAAATTACATGATTTATGAAGATCGGGGATACATCTATTGAAAATTCTGCGGATAAGTTCTCAGGCAGTGTATAAAAATACTACCTTGACGAACACGGAAATAATAGCCAATGAGAAATGTTATGGTTCTTACTCTCTCACATTGAAAATGTACACAGCCAGGGAAATTGTTATTCTTAACATATTGATAAGGATCTAAAAAATTCGGAAGATGAGTTGTATTTCCCGATTTTTTCTTCCAGGTATCGTTACTCCTACTGTAGAAGATAATTATAGTAAAATCAAAATAGTCGGTGGTGGACACGTGATTTTTTTCCCTGAAATATGGAAGATTGGGGCAATAAACAATCCAAATAAAATTTTTAAATATGGCCTCTTCCTAAATTTTTTTTTTATTATTATTTAAAGGAAATGAAATGGGGTTTAACGTCCTACTGTTCTGCTCCGAATTGGGCTAATGAAGACGGGCATACGCCATACAATGTGCTATGAGGGATATTTTGCCTGGACAGCGGCACTACGGCCTACTCTTATATCGAATTCCAACTGTCAAGGGATCTTTTATGTGCACGCCAATGTGTACACGGGACCTCAGTTTTTCGTGCCATCCAAACGACTAGACAGCTGTCCTTGTCAGGCCCTCCGTCCTGCATCACTGACAAGGGGGAACCACGCTGGAAAATCTGGATGAACTTTCTCGGCCAATGCGAACCAGCGTCTTACCCACCATGATCCCCATTATTTAGAGGACAATCAAGCAATTAGCATTAAGATAAGTGCGTCAGGGGAGATAACCTACATTGTACTTCACTAACCAGTATCCTGGAATGAATCTGCCCAGACTAGAAAAAGAAACAGAAATGCAGAAGAAAAAAAAAACATAATTGTTAAGAATGTGCTGCATTCAGCTTCATATTCTAAAATATATTTTAAAAACTGAATGCACCAAGGGAGTTAATTCTTTTTGCACTTCCCTTTTCAAACAATTCACATTCATTCTGACTCAATCTTAAGCCCACGACTCATCTTTTGTTGAACACAAAACCTCTTTTACAAAAATTGAAATATTTTATTATCAAACAGTAACTTAGCACATGTATAAATAGTTAAAACCAGTCGTGATAAATAAAAAAAGTCAATTAATAATATAATATGCATTCATATTTATATTTTGATTCAAGGCTAGGAAGCAGTAATTAAAACAATTGTTTTAACAAAAATCACAGGTGCAATGAAAGACAAGAAGATGAAAAATATGGAAGTTCATCTAAATAAAAAAAGTTATAAGAAAGAAAATATTATATATAAAAAAACAGTCAAGTAATTTAAACTGACATTATGGTTCATTAGTTGACACTTAACAAATGCATTACACTATTTAAGAAACAATAAAAATAATATATAAAAAAACAAACTTTTACAATAACTAAATAACTTATCATTTGAAACATAAAATCTATATTAAAGGGACTACCCCGATTTGAACAGAGACTCAAAAATAAATGTCCGAGTATGTATGAAATTTAAGCGCCAAAATATAGAGGAGTGGTGTATTTACCTTGTCTCAAAATTTCAGCTCAAAATATTGAGTCGTTTGGACGTGAACATCAAAACTGCTTATCCGAGCATGTAACCTTTTTAAAATTTCGGGTCAATTTTTTCGTTGGGTGACTTGATGATCGATTCCCGTTCCTTGAGAGGTCTAAACAGTGCACAACCCACGTGCTGTACTTGATAACGAAAGTAAATTTCACCAACACATTATTTTTATAAAAAAAAAATCTTATTTTATCCAGATGCCCTATAATTCATTTTGAGACATCGGTCTGCATTTCCAGATGAAGACTGACAGGTTTAAGTTGTTTGAAAACGTATCACAAATATTGAGTTAGTTGCTTGGACCTTAGTTAGACGATTTTAAGGGATTTTGAAACAAAATTAAGCAGTTTTATTCTCCATAAAATTATCGGGATTGGCCCTTTAAAGAAAAAAGTAAAATGACCACATTACATTTTATGTACAAAAAATATTTTATAAAATATATGCATTAAAAAAAACTGACTAAGATCAATGTAAGTGAAATTATGCCTTAATATTGATGAAATTAAACAATTAAGGTATAAAATTCTTAAATGTACAATACATTACTATATCTTGGATTTTTTTTTAACATGAAATGTATGATGCTTTATTTTAATTAAAGCTGGCATTCAGGTTTCTCGTCTCATTTCTTGAAATTTCTGCATAAGAAGTTGTATTAAACAATTTTGCACATGTTTAGATCACTAAGACTAGCTTGTAGTAATTAAGGCAAATTAAGGCAGATTCAATAAGCTTTCCTGACAGCTGCTAGTGCCTCATGACATTTTTCATCTAAATCTCCATCACCTCCTACAAAAAGAAGAAAATACTTTATCAGAACATTTTAAATTCCTGTAAACGGTGATACTTGATTTAACGTTCTGGAATTAAATTCAATTAATTCAAACACCAGTGAGAATCATGTGAACAAGAAGGTCACAAAGCATGTGCCAACTGAGTAAGAGAAACCATATAAGAAACAATATAACAAATGGCCTCGCCTTTTATCTATTGTTATGGTAATTAAAATACATCAAGGCAATAACCTTATATTAATAAGTGGTTTCTACCTAGTGTACATTACAATTAAATGCTTTTGTCAATCTATATGGTTTCATTATAAGAACAAGGGTCACTGTTTTCCTAATTATGTTTTCATTGAATGTTGTGATTGTACATAGTATATATATCTCATTCCTTCTATCTGTATCAGTATTGTGCTTGAAAACGACAAGAGAATCATTGTTGAAACGTAGCTTTAATAGAAATATAGTAATTGTTATCCATATAACTTTGTGTTTATTTTTTAATGTGCTCAATTACTAAATGCCATTCAAACAGAATATAACAAAGCTTTTGTGACGAGAATGTAGTCCTATTGGGAGAATTTTATCTGGACTGATGTTCTTCATCTGACAAGGAATCTTATAAGCACAGTACCAATCTGTAAATAGGATAGGATCACTTAGAGACCAGATAGAGTGTTGATACAAAAATCTTGAAAACTTACCATAATCTAAGTCTCTGATATCACATTGAAATATAAGTTCTCCATTTACCCAAATTTCAATCCTATTCCAATCATCCATAGAAACTAGCTCAACAGTATGACCATCTTGAGTCATTACATCTACAAAAAATAGAATTAGTTATCTTCAGACAAATTTAATTAATTAAAATCAATATTTTCTTTTTTCACTGTGCCCTTTTTAACCATTCAGTTTTGTTGCATTACTAATTACTAATCTTCAAAGGCTTTTCAAACTGATTTTTTTTTTAGCCCCCATCGTTTAATGTCATTTACAATTAATGGAATTTGATTTCTTTTTTGTATCTCCTAGGAAATATTTATTAATATTAATATCCATGCAATGAAACCAATATTCAAAAAGGAAAATATACAGGTTTAAATGATCCATAATTTCTGGAAAACTTAAAATACACTAAATACTGTTTAAAAATTCATCATAATCAGATATTTAGAAGAGCATTCAAAAAATGACTAAGACAATAGGTGTCTAGAATTACATTTAAGTCCTTCTAATCTGGCTTCTCTGTGTATCACGATTCCACAAGCTTCATAAGGTCCATAATGAATCAACACTTTCGCATTAGATGGCATAACTGCAGCTGTACACTAAAAAAAACCACAAAAAGAAAGAGTATAAAAAAAGTATCTAGGCAAGGCTTCCTGATAATTCATGGTATATCTCAATGATGGACTGGTAGATCTCACATACAATCTTATTTCAACAGTTCAGGTAAAACTGAAAAGACTAGTCCAATCACATCATCAAAATTGCTTTTCTTTACCTCCTGAAAAGCATGCAGTGTTAAACTACACTATGCAGTTACACACAGAATTCATCAGTATATCGGCTTTGCGTGCATATGTCTCATTATTTGCATAGTGAACCCATGGCCAATCCTATTCCTGATTCTTTTTTTTTAATCTTTGTACCGACAACTACAATGACATGGGCAACACACGCTTCCACATGGAGAACCTATGGCCTAAAAAAAATTACATCCATACATTGCAGTTGACCACAATAGATGGTGTATTTTCTTCTGTGTGGCGACGCAAATGTAAACTATAAATGCGACGATCTTTATCAATCAAGTTCTGTGCTAATTCACTTCCCATTCATATAGGTCTGTCATATCTGCTAGTAGACTCTAGTATTAATCAATAATATAAAGAGAACACAAATCTTGCTACTGTGGCCTATCAACAATTATGACCCTGCTGCTGGAGACACTAATTACCACATAGGCCTTGTCAAAGGTTACTTTCAATACCCAAAAATCTATTTTACCGTTTCTTGAAGAATGACACGAAGCTTATTGAACTTAATTTATCTTCTGAGGTATTTGGTTTAGTTGGTGTAACTGATTTTTGGTGTAGTTAGGGAAGCCAAGCAGCTCCGCGGTAAATAACGACATTTCCGGAAATGATTTCTCGTCTAAAATAAACAAACTATTACTTCAACCAGGATGTATTTCCCAAAATATAAATATTGTTTATGAATTCTCAAAACTCTATATTGTAAAAGTTTTTTTCATGGCACATTTCGAAAATTATTTTATACATTTTCTCCGAACCTGCAACATGGCAGCCCGCAGAGGTCTTCAGTGTTTTTCGCGAAATAAATCTGCTTTATTTAACGTTGGAAGGTTTGTCATTAGTCTTAATTTTGAATGATGTATGTGTCAAAACAGACCATTAACGTCAAGGCGTTTTCTTAATTTTATCTCTAAATCATAAAATCCGTTCTTCTTGATTTGCATTTAACGACGTAAATTACTAAAAAAAAAAATTATTATGATTATGTAAATAAATACACAAATATAAGCAGGTCAGAAATAAGAAAATTCGTCTGCTATACACTCTTGTTCTTTTCCAACATTGAACAGATTTTCTGCAATTTTAGGCCAGTAATGCTCCTATTTCATACATTATTTTTTATTCTGCATCTGACAGTAAAACATGCCAAATAATAATTCTTTCTTTTTAAAGCAGCCAAAATTAAATGTAATTATGATTGCATAGTGGACAGTTCATTATTATATGAATCAGCTTTTTCAGATGGCTATAAATGAAATGAAATGGGGTTTAACGTCCTACTGTTCTGCTCCTATACTGGGCTAATGAAGACAGGCATACGCCATACAGTGTGCTATGAGGGAAATTTTGCCCGGGCAGCGGCACTATCGCCTACTCTTATATCGAATTCCAACCTTCAAGGGATCTTTTATGTGCATTCCATTATATATACGGGACCTCGTTTTTTTGTCTCATCAGAAGGACTAGACAGCTGTCCTTGTCAGGCCCTCCGTCCTGCATCACTGACAAGGGGGAACCACGCCGGATTCAGATGGCTATAATCAGCCAATTAAAAGTACTGACATCTACACAATGTTTTCTTGTTTTGAGTGAATTTGAATTATGATTACAATTCTTTTGTATTTATTTATTTACAGAACAACAATCTGCAGTTCTTCATTATTGCGATATAGATGTATCCACACCTTACAGAAACAGATTTCACAATGTCCTATTCTACAACCAAAATGTGTAATCCCCAATATAGGTATGGTAAAATTATCATAACTATATGCAGTCTGAAACATCTGAGCTACAGATATTTCAGACTAAACTAATCTTCTTTCATACAAAACCTAAACATACATTATACAAGAGCTAAATCTGCCAATTGCAAGTCTTTCTTTAGGCCTGAAATGTTATCTAAATTATTAATTAGACAGTAATTAACTTATCCAGACCATAATTAACTCTTGATGGCGTCGCTAGCTTGTAATATTTACTGAATTAGAACCTGGTCTGCTGCTTCTGATTAAATCAAAAAATGGATAATCAAAACTATGTTTTTTATCATACCGACTTTAGTAATGATGATCAAGGCTAGGCCGAAAATTCAATCGCTGAAATCTAGGTTCAGAGTGGATCAATGTGACTGAAATTTTCAGCAAATTCCCTTTACATTATTTAGTTTTTAACTATTATAGTGAGAACTGCCAGCTTTTTATCTAATCTCCCATAATGTATCTATAATTTAATTATTAGTTTAGTGCTTGCTTGAAATAAGTAAGATATCGACGACATAGCCTAATTCACTTAAAAAGACCAGTAACCTGTAAGCGACGAATGGAAAACACAGCATTTGACTCAATGACAAGACCAGGTGACCTAAAATGAAATGGGGTTTAACGTCCTACTGTTCTGCTCCGATTGGGCTAATGAATAGGGCCATATATTATACAGTGCTATGAGGGAAATTTTGTGTGGGCAGCGGTACTCTATGGCCTACTCTTATATCAAATTCCAACTGCCAAGGGATCTTTTACGTGCACGCCAATGTATACATGGGACCTCCGTTTTTTGTACCATCCGAACCGCTAGACAGCTGTCCTTGTCAGGCCCTCCATCCTGCACCACTGACGAGGGGAAACCACGTCGAAAAATCCCGATGAACTTTCTCAGCAGGGATCAAACAAGTGATCTCCAGGCTAGCGAGCCAGCGTATGCACTTAGCAGTCGTGGCTCCCTTAAAAATACAAGAAGCCTAACCCATCATTTTAAAACTTACTGAACACTCATTATTTGTCATTAGCAGTCGTGGCTCCCTTAAAAATACAAGAAGCCTAACCCATCATTTTAAAACTTACTGAACACTCATTATTTGTCATTAAAAACAAGTTGTCTAAAATCAGTATCTAATGCTATTGTTGGCGACCATTTTTTATATGCCCACATTTTCTATATTTAATTTTAGCAAGAAGTATGTTTGTACAGACATTTGAAACTCCTAATCCTAACAGTTTAAAGTATGTACCTGGAGTCAAGGTTTTAGAATCGGGAACAATTGACTTCCCAAATCCACAATCTGCTGCATGTTCACCATTAGCCAGGTAAAATAGTTTGTAATATGAACTTTTCTTCATAATATGAACTGTACAGAATTGCTCTCATTCTCCAGTTGTTAGAGAAAGCAGACTACAACAGATTCCTAGAGATTCCACTGCCTCTTAATATTATTCAAGATCTTCAAATCAGAAATCTTCAAGTTAAATCAGATAATTTAGGATTGTAGAACAAATAAAACAAAATTTATTGAATTTTAGAAATAAGATAGCCTATCTTCTTTTCTATACATGTACATATTATCTATAAAGTACTCTTCGTCGTTTGGTGGTAGGCAGTGATGTTGTTAATAGTATTACTTTTCAATGGGGGTTATCAACCTGAAATCACATTCCTTGTGGTTACAGCTTGACCATTTTCAGTAATAATAGAGAAATATATTATGATATGAAATCAAGTATTAAAGACACTATTTAGTCAGATTTTTCTTCTCCTTCTTTTGTAGGCAGTTATTTAGAATAGAGGGTGTTAAGGGTGTTTTCTTTGGTACAGAATTTATAACCATCACAAAGGTAACACATATTTAAAATGATTTCAATGGGGTATATGAAATATCACTTTTGGACCTATCCAAACTACTAGACACTTTTCCTTGCCAGGCTGTCCACCCTACACTTCTCACAAGGGTAAATCAGGCTGGAAAATTTTGAGGAACTTTGTTGACCATCAAAGGGATCGAATGTAGAATCTCTTGGTTAGTTAACCGGGGCTATACTCACTGAGCCACCGAGTACACAATCAACCAATACTGTCAACCTAATAAAGCTATATCACCTTTCTCTCTAGATCATGTTATATAATATTTAATATATAGGTAGATGATGATGTAGAATGGGGTGTAATAAATCCTGAAATATTTGGTGTGATTATGGATTTTTTTGCAAGTGGTGTACCAGTATTAACAGATGAACAACCTGCTGGCGATACAGGTACCAGTAATAAATAATATATTAAATAGTTATTCTCATTACATCTTCTGATACTTTTTACCAAATGGACCATGCAGGATAACTGCACAACACAAATGAGACAGAACTAACTATACAGGGATATGGTAGAGACAGTACAATAAACATTCCTAGTGAAGATATAAATGGAGAATGTGGCAAAATGTTTAATCCGGCCCATTGAACAAAATTTGTGGGAGTGGGGACTGTCAGGGTAGCGAACCAAAATGGGGTTTCAGGGACTTTACATATTTGTAAATTATCGTGGTGGCTGACCAGCCTGGGTTAATAAAAATATGTGGCACATTTCGACATAGATTTTATTGATACCTGTAAGTTTTAATATCTGTCAATTCCAATAAATTGTGACAACTATTTTTGTCTATTGTTTGTAATATATAGCCATTCACCCTGATGATGATGAAACAGTATTAATGATAAAAGAATTATTGGATACTAGAATAAGACCTACAGTACAAGAAGATGGTGGAGATATTGTCTATATGGTATAACATTACATTTTACATATATTTGACTTTTAATAGTCCACTCAGTCCCTACCGGCAATACAAGAAAATGATTAAAAATTTTATTTTTGTTATATGCCCTTCATCTGCCAACAATCAAATATCTGGCAATTACAGATACAGTTTAGTTTGTTGAAGACTCATTAAAGTAAATTTGCAATACGTTCTTCAGAGTACTATAGAGTTTACCTTTCATGTAGTAATATTTGATAAATGTTTTTTTCGTTTTGCAGGGATTTGAAGATGGTATAGTTAAATTAAAAATGCAAGGATCCTGTACCAGTTGTCCCAGTTCTGTAGTCACATTAAAGTCAGGTGTCCAGAATATGTTACAGTTTTATATACCAGAAGTTCTATCAGTGGAACAGGTAAATAAAAATAATTTGTTCCTAATTTCAAGTTTTTGGACATCTGAAAAGGAAAGTGTGCATAGTAATTTGGATGGAACAAAAAACCCTGATCCTTCCATTGGCATCCATGTAAAAGAACCCTTGACTATTTGAAATCTAAGAAGACTAGGCGGAAAGTCATTCAGATGATACAAAAAACTGAGGTCCTGTGAATACATTGGCGTGCACATAAAAGAAACTCTGACAGTTGGAATCCGAAATAAGAGTAGGTCATAACACTGTTGTCCGAGCATAAATTCCCTCATAGCACATATATTTCAAATCAGTTCATCTTTCAGACTTTCACTAAGATATATACTTTCTAATACGTATAAATATTCTGTACATATTGTACATATTATGGATTTTATGGGTTTTTAAGTTCAGTAGACAATGCTTCGATCTATCTAAGTAGTCCAGTTCTTGGATTTTAGATAGTTAATAAAGTCTTCGGTTATTTTAAATCTGATATGTGAAATTATGTAGTTTGATCTGAGTTTACATTAGAATGAGAAGTCATACTGTAAATATACAGTTAACAATGTATATGATATTTGGTGTAAAACTTAGTTACACATATGTAATACAAACAATTGAATATAAACCTTGACTAATCTTCTTTAACCCATCCTTATCACTATTTACATCTCTGTTGCAGGTTGAAGATGAAGCTGAAGAGGAATCAAAAAATCAGTTAAAAAAACTTGAGGAAAAATTAGGTGATCAGTAACTTTGATATCAGTTTTATTATGTTAAATAGCATGTTATAAAAAAAAGACAAAGTATCAAGGAAGTCAAAGCTGATGTATGGTGCAATTGATTGTGAACTTGAATGATCTGTTTTGATTTAATATTGGATTTCAAATTATGTGAATTAAATGTAGATTGTTTTTGTTCATAAAATATATAAGGTACTGGTGTAAGTGAATATAAAATAGAATTTTACTAGTACTGTGATTTTGCACTAAAATAGAGTGATCACTCTCTTTCTTGTGAAATATTAATTTGAACATTCTCCTCAGACATAATATAATGGATTTGTACCAGTATGTACATTAATTAATTTGAATTTAAAGCTGAAGGTAAGGGGATAAGACCTGTTCTTATTAACAATAACAGTGTCGATTCGATTGAATATTATATGTTGATCAGTTTGTTATCCTGCATTGAACAAAGTTAAACATACATTATGCAAGAGCTAAATCTGATTATTGCTAGTCTTTTTTTAGGCTTCAGATGTCAAAGAAATTATAAATTAGATCTTTATTTACACAACAAGCACAAAATCAACTCTGTAGACCCACAGATGGCTTGGATTCGGCTTGGATTTAAACAGGATTACGTTGATTGATTAAATTTTTAAATGGCGTAAGTGGAGATTAACCGTTACGTTGACGTCATACTCCCGGAAATAATTTTAGATCGAGGCTGAATGATAGAGCGTACGAAGGGAGGCCGCTGTTGAGCGAGGCCGCATTTGTCGGTCAATTTGATTGAAAGTTCGATATATACGGCCTTGATATTATGTTTATTTGTGGTTAAAATGGGAGTTTGGATGTCGGTATTATACGCTCTTTTGTCACTTGCGTTTACAGAAAAATTATGGAAATTGATAAACATCGCAGCTAACATCACCCCAGTTGAATTGCAGCCCATGCAGCCCCATTGGATCAATGTTTCCTATTTCAATTTGTCTGCTTCGGGAGTACACGCAGGCTAACAAGATTGAATAAGTCGGCTATAATTATGCCTCATTGATTTGGTCCATTCCTTTAAAACTTCCGCTTCTTATCTATATAATAAAAGTCCTATTTTTAATTTGTAGTAAAAATAAATGTGATACGAATTGAAAACGTTACTTGATAATCGAGATTATGTAGGTGGAGTTAACGCCTGTCAATCAAACGATCGTCTATTCTCGGAGATGGTGAAGAGAGAATTGACTCCCATTTCTAGTCAAAAATTACAATAGTGATAACTTTGTTTAGAATAAAGTAATTTGACTGAAATTTTCAATATATTCTTCTTTCATCATCTATTTTTGAACTGTTATAGCAAGAATGGCCAACTCTCTATTAAAATCTCCCATAATGTATCTTTAAGAGGAGGGATATTGAAAAGAGTTCCATCTGTCGTCCCGCTCTAGTTTGCTTTCCAGAAACTCTATACACACATCAGTCCATTTTGGTAGTTGTGCCCTTTGCCAATTAGAAAATTCTTGGGTTAGAAGTTGTGTTTTTATCGAATACAATTTCTTTTCCGAGGCATATTTCAGAAACTGTTCAAGATACCTGTATAAAACTTTGTTCACATATTAACCTATTATAGTAGTTGTGCCTTTTGTTAATTAGAAATTTCTCAGTGTAATACTTTTGTATTTCTATGAAAACATGTTTGAATTTTATTTTTACGTACAAATATTATTATGGAGCATATCTCAGAAACCATTTAAAATACCTGCTGTAGTAGTTGTGCCTTTTACCTATTGAAAAGTTTCCATAAAAGTATTTTAGCAGACAATAATTGATGTTCCAGATCATATGTACACGAACCTTTAACTTTAATTCAAGTTAACTGTATAATGTAATGTACCGGTAATGCAATATAAGTTGCAAGTCATCATCTAATATAAAACTTAGGCTGTGACCTCAATCTTTCTATTACATCAGAATTATTTTCTTAGGTTTTACATTTTCGAAAATAACCTCAGCCTTACTTTATGCCTTACATGGGTCTCATTTAGGTGACTATACATCAAACAATTTGCTTGTGTTTTGAAAATGCACTGGACATCTGTAGCCTGTGAAATCTTGGGACAGTAATCTTTTACGCTCAGCTATTTTCTTAAGGCAAGGTTTGATTCTATCATAAAAACCTTAATTTAATTTGATCTTCTACTACCTCCATTTTGAATCTCCAAAATGCTTGTACATTTAAAGTTTACTTTATATAAATAAAGCTTTTCTTTGATATTACTAAAGACGTAAATTTAGTGTCTATATTCAATTGGTATAATAACTCCATACAAGACCTTTATTCTACAGAATAAGACGGTATGAGGTTACTATTCTGTGCCGACCAATGTGTCTAATTTATGCTTTTTTATGAAGCTTCATATCTGAGATAAAGCTCTTCCCCACATTTATGCTTGGATTGTTTAATTTTGCAACATATCCTTGGATTCATGCTTTATCCCTTTATTCGGTTGTAGATAGACATTATGAAAAGGGTAGCAATATCAGAAGTGAGGATTGTTGCCAATAGACAGAACTTTAAGATATAATAAAGTGTTATTCCCTCCCTTTATTCCTTCTGGCCCTGGGTAACAGAAGATTATATTGTTTATTATAATTATGTTTTATTACCATAAAAGAAAAGGAAGTAAGGAACTGTAAATATGTATTGTGTACCGTAGATGTATATAATTAGATTAAAATAATATTTGACCAATTATTATTATATGAGTTCTTTTATTATGTTTTAGAAAGCAAGAATGTAAATTTCTTGTTTTCTTAGGTTAACTATATGTACATGTTTTACCAATCGCTGATATTTCTAATTTGGGTGTGATGTAACATTAAAAGCTGCACAAAAACGTACCTCTATAAAAGACAGTTTGGCCAACAGTGATGACGTTCACATTCAACTGTTTATAGATATTACTTAGAGACCCTGGTCAAGCCATGATTTCACTACTTGGCTTGGACCATGCACTTAATTCAACTTTTTGGGGAGGTGGCACCACACCAGAATTTCACCATTTAGTGGACCTACTGAGGATGGGTGTATCCCATTCAATTATGCTGAAGATGAGAGATTATCTATTTGATATTATTAATATCGTGGCGGGGGGGGGGGGCTATATAATTGCACAAAACTTTTTACATGCGCCGTATGATTTTTTTTCGTGAGAAGTTCATTCTACACGCTTATAAAGATGTCATTATAAATATACATGTAACATCACTCACTACTGGACTCAAATGTTATATACTTGTTTAGCCCTACAAGTGCATTTCAGTTTCAATCAATAGAAGAATATATTTCCTTATAGTAATTTATTTTGTAGTTCTAGTGAATAGATGCATACATTCAAAACGCAACCAGAAATATTATCATTTGTTACCATCACAAATGTATAGCTGGATTTTTATTATCACTGTCATGGCCGATTGACTTTTATCAGCAGTAGTCAGAGACTAAATAATGCTCAACCAGCCCACTCCTATGTAACTCATTGAAAAATTATATGAATGGCTCTTTTTATAATCAGCTGGTTTCCTATTTCCCCAATAATAAATTGAGGTCTATTTTATGTTGCCTGACAGACATTTTCAAAAAAAACGGAACCACCCCAAATGGGTATTTAGGAATTTGATACTTTTAACAATATAATTATCAGCTTATTTCTGCTAGAGTTCAAAAGCATAAAGTGTATGTATTTGATCCTGTATTCCTATCATTGTTATGTGACACCTGTTAGATGCAATGTTTTGACTTAAGTTTGTGTGCTGCACAGTGTCTGGTCAGTGCCACCACATTGACTGAATGAATAAGTAGGACTGCCCTAACTTTGGCTACTGAATTCCATCTACAGCATTCCTAAAATAACAGTTTGCATTGATAAGGTGGATTGATTAATATTCAGATCTTTTTATACCAAATAGTTAAAACTGTACATATGAGTAATTTATTATTCTAAGAGAAGATAGATACATTATTAAAATAGACAGAACAGAGAAGAGAAATAAATTCTACAACATGAATAAATCTTTTAGTTACAGAGGAGTTTGTATATAACACAAAACATAAATATTGGCCAGTAATACATATATATATAAATAATGACGATATGTAACTTAGTGATCAATCCATACAGAACACACATTTAATTTTAAACTATTAATTCTACTAATGCACAAAAACACAGCTCCTTCATCATAATTTTAAAAAAATTGCCATTTTTTGTGCTATTCTTATTGAAAAATCATCGAAAGTTCTTTGAAATGAATAGCATTAAATTACTTTTTTTCCATTAAAATAAAGTCTGTACATTCAAACATAAACAAACTGGTAAAGACATCTACTGGTGTGTTAAGTCAATTTGGTGCCACAATAAAGATAAGTGCATCTGAAATGAGAAAAAAATTGACAAATTAAAAACCATTGTAGTTCAAAATAATGAGAAATTTGCATTAGATTTCTTCTTTTAATATTCTAATCTTGAAGCATTTTATTAAACCTTGCTGTTATATTCAATTTCAACAGGGTCATGAGCGAATAGCTACATGTATATAAGTCAATTTAGTATGGATATGATCAGTTGTACATATTCAATTCAATCAACCCTAACATTCCAAATGACCAACTGAAAATTTAAACATACATTATGCAAGAGCTAAATCTGTCTATTGCAGGTCTTTCTTTAGGCCTGAAATGTTATCTAAATTATAAATTAGACATGAATTAACCTATCCAAACCATAATCAACTCTAGATGGCATCGCTAGCCTGCGATCTTTAGTGGATTATATATATAAGCCGATTTACTGCATAAATTTCCATCACGATTTAATGATTAAATGGATAATCGAGACTATGCTGTTTATCGTACTGACTTTAGTATAAATGATGATCGAGGCTAGGCGGAAATTTCAATCGATTAGTTCCCGGTTCATAGTGGATCAATTTGAATTAAATTTTCAGCAAATTGCCTTTACATTATTTAGTTTTTAACTAATATTATAGTGAGAACTGCCAACTCGTTATCGAATCTCCCAAAATATAGGTCTTGGTGCCAAAATATAGGTCTTTCATTTACAAATTAAGAAATCATTCAAGAAGTTTGACTCACAAAAACAAAAATATAGCCTAGTACTTTAATTTAATAAATCACATTCTGGTTTAATCGTCATCATCATCTGGAGCAAAGATTTCGTGTTCCTCAAGAAGGGTTGCAAACTCTCTACTGAAGTAACCTCCTAATGTCACAAATGGAAAGACCACAGACAGCACTTTTGTGATGCCTAGCCGTGTAACCTCCGGTTTTCCGATAACTGCCCCAGTTTCAGAATAAACCACTGTTCTGGCAGGCACAACAGATTTTATCGACTGAAGTTTTTTAGGGTCTAAAACCCCTTTAGAAAGTGCAGCTATCGAAAGCGTAGTTAATCTGGCAGCCATGTTGTTATGGTGGTAAATCAAAATTTATTTCCGCGGAATAAAATGAAACGAAATTGAGAGAGTGCGAACAAAAATGAAATGAAATGAAATGAGTTTAACGTCCTACTGTTCTGCTCCGGACAGGGCTAATGAAGACGGGCATACGCCATACAATGAGGGAAATTTTGCCCGGACAGCGGCACTACGGACTACTCTTATATCGAATTCCAACTGTCAAGGGATGTGTACTGTTACGTGCACGCCAATGTGTACACGGGACCTAGGTTTTTTGTCCCATCCGAACGACTAGACAGCTGTCCTTGTCAGGCCCTCCGTCCTGCATCACTGACAAGGGAGAACCACGCCGGAAAATCTGGATGAACTTTCTTGGCCAATGCAGGGATCGAACACCCGACCTCCAGGCTAGCGAGCCAGCGTCTTTCTCACTTAGCCACCGTGATTCCCCCCCCCCCCCATCGAACAAAATGAGCAAGAGTTGTAACATTTCAAGAGACGCATTATTGATAGGTTTCTGGCCTATTACATCTTCCAATACAAAGGTAAACTAAACGTCCTTAATTAAACCCTTGCATTCCGCCCGACTCTTTCTGCCCCCTTATATAGCCGCCAAGCAGCAAGCACCACATTATTAGGGGTAGTACGATTTACACAAATTCCCCCAAATGTACCCAAATCCACCATTATTTCAACTAATATCACAATAATTTATATCGATAGTTGATAATATACCGTTCTATATGCTAAATTGTGATGCGATTTCCAAAATTCCAAGCAAGTTAAGTCCAATGGACATAACTGGTGTGTTGCACTAAATCACTAGCTTGAAAATTGCATTTTGAGGGACAGTTTTGAAACAAAAACATTACGATTTTAAATTAAAATGTCATTACATTATTCGCAGGCGTACGAGCTATAGGGTGACAGGGGGGGGGGGGGGGGAGCTGCTGTCCCCCTGATTTTCGGGTAATCTGACTTTTCGGGCAGTCAGGGTAAAGTGAAAAAGAATAGATTAATTCATCTATAGTTCGCAAAATAAAGTGCCCAAATTCTAATAAAACACTAATTTCTTTTAATTGAATACCGCGAATCTGTACTGAATTGACCATGGATTAAAACATTTTGTCTGAGTCACTCTACTTTGTGCGACATTTTTTCGGGCATCGATTATTATTTGTGGTTGGAATTCAGGTCGGCATAGAGTGGGATTTCGGTTACAAAACCATTAGAGAACTTTAGAATTGCTTAACTCACGGGCTAGAAAAGCAGAAAAACGCATTTGCGGTAGTTAAATTTTCAAAATTTTCTCCTGGAGGGTGAGGCCCCCATACCCCGAGACGATTGATTGGTTGTTGGGGATTGGGGTCAGGCACCAAAGTTTGGTTATATTGGACCACATTGAAGTTTCTCTGTTCAAAGACTGAAATAGCAGGAAAACGTGTTTGCAGCAGTTAAATTTTCTCCCGACGGTTCCGTCTCCGTGGATTGTAAACGATTGATTGCTTGATTGGAATTCGAGTCTGTCATCTTAATTAGGGATGTTAGACCACTTTGAAGGTACGAAATTCTTTCGCGCAGTTAAGTGTCATCGAGCCCGTGCGCCTATGACATTATCAAATATAGATATTATTATATAAATGGAAATTGGGGTGGATTGGGGTAAAACGTGCTACCACATTATTAGCTACAACATATTTAATGGGTTATTCATCGTATAAAAAATTTTTCTGGCCCAGATGTTAACCAATTATTTATCCCATAGGCCGAATAAAGTACGCCATCGATTAAGAAATCGAAATTTATTTTTAGGAAAGAATATATGTACATTAATTATGCTTTTTCGTGATGTTTATTCCAGTTTTGTATTTCACATAATTATTTTTTTTTTCTTTTCCCTCATAATTCTAATTAAATACAAGAAAATCATGATAGTTTTTAAAATATCCATTTGTAATAATGTATAAATATGAATGTATGTGTAGTGTGGTGTTTTTAAAGTTAATCATTCCATCATATTTATTTTTATATTAATATAAACCGAGAAGACATTTATACTGATATCTTGTTATTCATAGAAACGATAATAGACCTACGCAGTTTAATGGCCTTCTTTTTCAACTATAAAATCAATTAAGTTTCTAGAATTCCATTATAGATATATATTGAAGGCACAAATCTGCTTTCTCGACTTGTATAGCAGCTTGGTTTTAGTATCGGAAGGTCCTATATTATGCACGTAATAAGTATTTAAATGTTTCTGGGGTTATTATTTATTAACTAGTTTTGGATTATATCATCATTTTTTAAAACTGTATAATTTATGTAAACACAAAACATTCTCTAGAAAAGTTGGGGCTATGTATGAAAAGTAAATCGATTTGGGCCTACATTAAAGCATAGCATTTAGGCTATTTCTATCTGCTTGCATATTATTTTCATTTTTCGTATAGATTATCTTGTTTTCGTGGCACAGTACTGTGGTGATTAAACTAAACAGCCGTTTATTATCATATTTATTTCTTTTTTACATCACGTTTTCTTTTTCTTCTTTTTTGTTACTTCCTTTCCATTTTATTTTAATAACGTGATATGTACGTTTGTTTGTGATTTGTGCGTATTGTGTCTTGTCCGTGGACTGGTTTTGTGCAATTGTGTGTGGTGCAGCCCCCCCCCCCCTGCACTTACTATTCGAAACGTTAGAAATTGTGAGTACCGGTAACGATATCTGAATCTGTACATTTTCCACTATTTCTTTTCAGATTTGGTTTGCCGATGAATAATTTTTGGGGTACCCTGATTTTAGTCAGCCGTACATACTTACCGTAAAACACTTAAAATACTTTACATTTGCGGTTTAATACAAAAAAATAATTTCTCTTGCTTATCTGTGATATTGAAATGATTATGAATAATCTTTGATAATTCAATTACTATAGAGGAAGTCATAACGCATTCCCTTACATTATTTTACTTATTTATTTGAGTCAAGAAATAATACTGGGACACCCATTGATCATTTACGGTAACTCCCAGCGTTCATTTCGATTAAATATGGCTACCTGTAATCTCTTCGACGAAGACGTTGTCTGTCAAGTTAGCCCCGACAAGGGCTATGTTTTCGGTTTGATTATAGAAAATTCAGAATTTCTCAGCAGCAGCGAAGATGAAGAAGATGATACTGATATGGATGATGAAAGGGTTAAAAGAGGGTCCGTGCGTGTCGCGTGGCATCCGGATGGCAAAGAAACCGTGGTTGAAGAAAGTAAGGTAAATACACTAACGAAGGATTCTAGAATTAAAAACAATTCCACTGAATTAACCGCATATTACAGTGACACAGTTAGAATAGTGATAAAGATGGAATGATTATTGATTGGCTCGGAAGAAAAGGTCGACTTGACATCAAGTGAGGAAGAGTCGATCCAATTTTTTTTTTCATAAAATGAAATCAAAGATGCTAAGAAGAGAGGGAAATGGGGTTTAACGTCCACTCGACTCAAACTAGGTCATTTCGGGACTAACATATGGTTTAATTTTTATTTCAATAATTCGCTTGCGCGTAGGCTACTAGTAGGGGTCTGTAGCAGTGGGAGGAAACCGAAGGACCCGGAGAAAACCCACTACGTTGGACAGTTGATTCTACTCCTTGTCACGTACAACCGGGGATTCGAAACCACGCCAGTTGACTCAATGACAGGCCTTGTGATACAGCGCGCACGTGCTAACCATTCGGCCAACACCCCCAAAGATGGTAAGATTATAAAGAAGGCATGACATGAGATCAGTAAAAACATCTGGTGATAAAGATACCAATTTGTAACTCTTAAATTAATAAAAGTCGATATTTAAAAACATATAGCCACATAGCCTAAATATGAAACATTAAGGCTTAATTGTTCAGATTTTATTCTTGTAGCTGTCAATTTACAGAAACAATGCATCAAGCAATTATTTCAAATACATGTGGTTTGTTGAAACACTTTGCAAAATTCTTACTTTATATATTTATATTTAGAAATTAGTTGATAGTTTTTATCACAAGTATATGAGTCATTAATACAGTATAACATTGTTAAAGGTATTTTAAGCCCATGTCTTGCTTTTTTTTTTTAGTAGGGCTAAATTCACTGCCTAATGTTCATCCTAATTGCACAGTAATTTATAAATCCTTGCTACATGTACATGAAGCTACTTTTGCTACACACTTGACTGTTTCACAATAAATGTACGGTAACAATTGTTTGTATGTACAGCTGATACTCACTTCATAAAGTATTGAAGGATACAAGATTTCTTAAATCCACTTGTCAATTGTCATTCATAAAGAATATGTGTAAAACTTCACCAAGGTCAAGGGGATTCCTGTGAAGTTGTGCAAAAATAATTAATAAATTAGTTAAAATAAAGATATTGGAAGAAAGGTGTCAGTATATTTTAGTTATTTTATTGATAATTTATAAACATATACCAGTATTTGAATAAAAAAGACCCACTGATCAAAAAATTTCTATTTTTGTATTGTTAGTGCCCAGGAATGAATTTTATCTGATAAACATAGGCATGCATATGATTACTATATTAAAAGTTTTGTCAACGTTAAATCAACATATATTGTTAAAGATACATTATGGGAGATAAGATAACGAGATGGCAGTTCTCGCTATAATAGTTAAAAACTAGATAGTGTAAAGGTAATTTGCTAAAAATTTCAGTCAAATTGATCCACTATGAGCCGAGAAAGAAGCGGGTGAAATTTTGGCATAGTCTCGGTCATCATTACTAAAATCATTAATATAAACAGCTTAGTCTCGATTATCCACTTTTATTGATTTAATTATCAACGGCCGTTAGCGGCATATATGAATCTAATCCAGCCAACATCGAAGGCTAGCCTTGACATCGAGAGTTTATTATGGTCTGGATAAGTTAATTAATGTCTAATTGATAATTTAGATAACATTTCAGGCCTATAGAAAGACTTGTAATAAGCAGATTTTGCTCTTGCATAATGCATGTTTAAGTAACAGCACAGGAATCTGACCTTCTATCTGTATACATATATGCATATACCATACTCAACTAGACAATATATAATAAAAAAAAGAACAGGAATGCAATGCCTCGTTGAAGCCTCGATTTTACCTGCTCTCGCTTCGGCTCGGTTTTTTTTTTGCAACAATTTGTAATGTCAGGCAATCTAACCTCTGCCGATTCACTCATATGTTTTTTCTTCAATCTAGCCATTTTGATTTGCATAAATACTCCCCACAAAACGATATCATAGCCACTTGTTTCCAATATTTACATTATTTTAGTCCGTTAATGTTTGTCATCGACTCCATGCGCTGACGTATTATGTATTATTATTTTCAGTTGATATTGGTAGATAGATCTGTTATGCCCGGTGATGTTATAAGAAGGATAACTAATGGTAAAGATAGTCAACAAGGCTTTGTACAAGATATGGATATTATTTGTCATGTTCATATACTTGGAACAGATAAATATATTTATAATATCAACTCTAAAGATCTTATACCTATAGATGTAAGTACATATTCATAATAAATTGATAGATGTTTTTACATGTGTTATAGTTTATTGCTCGGTCCAGTTACTAAATGCCCCTAAAAGATTACATAAGCTTATTGATTATTCAGCCTTTTCAATAATGGAATTAGTTAAAAAAAAAAAAAAAAAAAAGGTAACTCACTCTTGTCTTTCAATTTTAATTTTGTTTGGAAAATTTTATCATTTTTTAAGTTCTTATAAGAATTTGAATACGCTTATTGGTTGTTGGTGGTTACCCGTCATGAATGTGTAGATAATATATAATATAATAATAGTTCTGTATATATCATGTATTTGATTCACAGACTGCAAAAACAAAACAATCTAGTAATTTCTACACAAATAACTGAATAACACAATCTGTACTTATAAGAGAATTAGATGAGGATGGAAAGTCCATAATTTACTGACAATAACGGTAATAGGCCAGTAGTTTACAAACTGATCAATACTTCTAATCATGTTCCTAGTGCAGATCAATAAATATTACGTCACTCAGTATTGACAACTAGGATTACATAAGTAATGTCAAATTTTGATATACTCTTGATGATAGAATTGGCGATAATGTATGTTCACGAAGAAAACAATTTAATGAAAATGAACAACACTGTACAGAGGTGGTCAATATTTTTACACTGATCATGTTATGTTATTTATGCACAAGTTACATTGTACATAATTATTAATCTACAGCACATTTTCTGTATTGTATTAATTAATAAATAGATTCAAGATCATCTATATGAAATATAATTTTTTTCATGATCTTCTAGGAATTTGATACAAATCCAGGGGAAGTAACTCTGGATTCCTGGATTGGTGGAATTGAGAATATAAACAGAAAAATAACCATAAGAATGCCAGATGGAGCAAGGTTTGTGTTACAGTACTAGTCAGGAGCAATATTCTTATTAATTTATAAAATCAAATCCATTAAACATGCATTATGCAAGAGCTAAATCTGCCTATTTCAGGTCTTTCTTTAGGCCTGAAATGTTATCTAAATTATTAATTAGACATTAATTAACCTATCCAGGCCATAATCAACTCTAGATGGCAGCGCTAGCCTGCGATCTTTAGTGGATTGTAAGCCGATTTACTGCATAACTTTCCTTCTCTATTAAACGATTAAATGGATAATCGAGACTATGCTGTTTATCGTACTGACTTTAGTAATGATGACCGAGGCTTATGGGAATTTCAGTCGCTTAGTTCACTGTTCATAGTGGATCAATTTGAATGAAATTTTCACCAAATTGCCTTTACATTATCTAGTTTTTAACTATTATAGTGAGAACTGCCAACTCGTTACCGAATCTCCCATAATGTATCTTTAAGGCTTTAGGTGGAGTTAAATCATGCTATATTATGGTCATCTACAGATTTATCGAATTTTACAAACCCCCATGATTCTAAAGACATTTTTGAAAATCTATTTCTTAAATTGGGTGGCTGATTGCTGCCAAAATAATGTTTGATAATAGACAGTGATGTTATATAAGAGAGATAAATAATGGACTTAATTCCAGAATATTTAAGGACCATAGTTTAAAATTTCTAACGATTAGTATAGTTAAAAGCCAGTTTAGGACGACAAATTATTCTGTCATTCATAGACTTATTGCCACTTAACTTCAGTGCATTAAAATTTTGAATTGTGCATCGTAAGGAATTTATTGGAAATTATAAGTACTTGGAAATTATGAAATGTTAGGAATGTTCATACTTAAGTCTAAATAGGTTTTTTTCAATGAGCAATTATAGCTCATTAAAACACTTAATATTAATGAACAAGCAACGAATTGCTTAGAATAAAATATTCATAGATTATTACAAATTACCTGGTTGTTGTTTTTAAAGTTTAGGTGAATTTGTTGTCAATAAAATGATAACTATCTACTCTTTAATGTCCTTTTATAAAACAGTTATCTTTCAAATAGCTTAAAGATGAACAAGATGTTAAAGGGGCATTATCATTATGTAATTTTAAATAAAGAGCTGACAGTTCTGGCTATAATAGCTAAAAAATAGATAATGAACAGGATATATGTTGGAAATTTCAGACAAATTACTTCACGCTGAGCCAGGTTATCACCGATACAATTACAGTGTAGCTTCAATTTCGATTGTCATTGCTACCATTGTTATAATAATGAACAAAGTCTTGATTTTCCATTTTTACATTAAATCATCAACCGCAAATCGTATTTATATCTATTGATAATCTAGACTACATGATGGCATTGAGAGTTGATTATTATCTTGGTAAGTTAATTAATGTCGAATTAATAATTTACATAAAATTTAAGGCATAATTAAAGAAAAACCTTCATTAAGCAGATTTAGCTCTTGAATAATTTAAGCATGTCATTCTGGTACTCACTTGTTACTAATGATAAAATTACAATTATTTGTGTCATAAATACAGTAAAATTCTATTATGTTAACTTTGCGAGTGCCTAATAACTTACTTATAATTTTAGGTGTAAAATATCGGAAGATGACTTGTGTGAATTTGATAATATGGATGATAAAAGATCTAGGGTAAGCAACATCCACATTTATTTGCTGTTTAATTATGTACTGTTATCTGTCACTTTAGACGTCTACCTTGAAATATGTCTGACATTCAATTGCAGATGATTTGTTAAATGATCTCTATATCTCTGATCAATGGAATTGTTAGTGTTTTCTATATAATTACTGATCAAGTTTTATCGATATTTAGAAAACTGGTCTAATGTACTCCTTTTGGTAATATGTATTGAATTGAATAGTGATAAATATTTTATGTTTTAGCATTCAGAATTTTGGAACAGTAGTTGCTATCCTCAAGAAAAATTTAAAGGTTGTTTAGGAGATCTACATGATGCTGAATGGCTTCATTCTACGATGTTTAATAATCCACGAAATGTGGACCATAAACAACACAGTCCAATACAGTTTGTTGTTGAATCAGTGAGTTATTTATCATATTATCATGTAACCAATAAAACACATTATGTAATATTTAGATATAGATTTGATCCTTCTTGCTGTAGTAGTTCAAAAATAGATAATGCAAAATGAATATATATTGAAAATGTCATTCAAATTACTTTATTCTGAGACAGGTTATAACCGTTTATAGTTTTAAGAAAATAAGAATTATCCTATTCAATGTAATCAAAATTATGATAAGCACTAGGAGTGTAAGTAGAATTTGCTATCCTAATATTCATATAAGATAAACCTAAAATAAGCCATTCAGATACCATAGAATTAAACCAAAAAGGTTTTCAGGATTTTCCTCAATGGTTCCTTCCATCATAATAAATGCTGTATTTTTTTAACATTTGTGTAAACACCCAGGTCCTTATGACATGTATAAACTCTAAACAGATATACAGTTTGTGTATTTTAGAGATATCTTTTGTTCAGTAGGGCAATGTTGGTAAGATGTTTATCAAGATTTTAGTCCTTTCTGGCTTTATTATACTGCTGTGACATTAGGAAAATCTGTTATTATTATCAAACTACAATAAAATGTACCTTTGTGTATTATAATCTGAATACCAGCCAGCTGTCAGAAATCAATATAATATATCACACTCTGTAAAGTATGTATTATTATTGTATAGTTTCTAATACTGACACTATATAAGTTGACAATTGAATTAGTAATTGGCAACATGAGGTTATGTCAATACAGAATAACAAAAAATGGGCAAAATATTTTTGAAAATGTTTAACAATTTTTATGAGTACATTTTCATGTGGTTAAAAACAAAGTCATAGTCATGGGTTTGACAAAATCATCTTTTATAGCATCTAACATTTTGTAAGTGTAAAAACTTACTTTCTCATCTAAGGTTATGTTATTCAAATGGTTTTGCATTCTACTCTCTTTATTTATATTTTCTTTTGGAAGTATATTATCGTCGCCTAGGATTATACAAAAAAAATTGTTTTTAGCTTGTGGTCACAATTTTTATCCGATTTAAAGAACTGTTTGTATTTATCAACATTACACCATAATGATAGTTGAGTTTGAATTTCAAGAAAATCGGACCAAACCTGCCGGACAAAAAGGCCGCTCCCTGTATTCAAATAGTGTTAAAGTATGTAAGGTCACAATTTTGATCCGATTTTGATGAAACTTAAAAACATGTGTTTATATCTCAAAGATCTCGGTTCCTTTTGATACTCACTCATATCGGACCGTAACTTCCTGGATGATGGCCACTGATTGTACGAAACTTTTATCCAATTTTAAAAATCGTAAAAAATATATCATTGTTACACCCTGGCGATGGTTGAGTTCGAATTTCGCAAAAATCGGAACGAAACTGCCCAACAAAATGGCCGCTACCTGTACGCAAAAATTGTAAAACTTAAAATATATGTTTATATCCCAAAGATCTCATTTCCTTTATGGCCCCTGATTGTACGAAAAATCAGGTATTTTTTTTTTTTTTTTTAGCTTATTCTCTATCCATCTCCTGCAAAATGGGGGCGTATCTTGCATGGCAACTGCTGGTTAATAGAAGTGTGGATCTAAGTCTTTTCAAGCATCATAGATTTAAAATTCCAAGTTTGAAAAGTTAATTCGAGGTCCATGGGCTTATAATAATTTTAAATAATCAGATTTTAAACTGAATACTGAGAGACACTGGGTTTTGTAATATTGAATCTATGTCTGTGCAGTCGTCATAGACTTACAATCTCCATATTTTAAACTGAACTCTGAGTTACACTGGATTATACAATAGTAAACTGAAGTCTGGACAAGCATTGTATTCTGTCTTGAAATGTATTTTAATTTGATCTTTATAAAATTTTAGATTGAAACAGAAAGTGTAGAAGTACATTGGTTGTGTCGAGGTTTTTCGCATGTAGAAGATCCACAAATTAAAGTAGAACCACCACCTAATATTGTTGAGGGAGATAAATTAAAGAGGTGAATTTTTATACGCCCACATTTAAATGTGGTCGTATATTGTCGTCACCCCGTCTGTCCGTCCGTCCGTCCGGCGTCCACAATTGCTTGTGGACGCTCTAGAGGCTAAAGTTAATATCCGATTGACTTTAAATTTATACACAGTGTTTAAGGTCTTGAGACGAAGAAGCCTATAGATTTTCAGCAATTTCCGATTATTACTACCAGAGTTATGGCCCTTGATCACTTCAAAAAATCTTGTGGACGCTCTAGAGGCCAAAGTTAATATCCGATTAATCTTAAATTTATACACAGTGTTAAAGGTCATGAGACGAAGAATCCTATTGATTTTCAGCGATTTCCGATAATTACTGCCAGAGTTATGGCCCTGGATCACTTCAAAAAATCTTGTGGACGCTCTAGAGGCCAAAGTTAATATCCGATTGATCTTAGATTTATACACAGTGTTTTAGGTCATGAGACGAAGAATCCTATTGATTTTCACCGATTACCGATATTACTGCCAGAGTTATGGCCCTTGATCTCTTCAAAAAATCTTGTGGACGCTCTAGAGAGGTCAAAGTTAATATCCGATTGACTTTATATTTATACACAGTGTTTAAGGTCATGTGACGAAGAAGCCTATTGATTTTTAGCAATTTCCGATAATTACTGCCAGAGTTATGGCCCTTGATCACTTTGAAAAATCTTGTGGACGCTATAGAGGCCAAAGTTAATATCCGATTGACTTTAAATTTATACACAGTGTTAAAGGTCATGAGACGAAAAAGCCTATCGATTTTCAGCTATTTCCGATAATTACTGCCAAAGTTATGGCCCTTGATCACTTCAAAAATCTTGTGGACGCTCTACAGGCCAAAGTTAATATCCGATTGGCTTTAAATTCATACACAGTGTTTAAGGTCATGAGACGAAGACGCCTATTGATTTTTACTGCCAGAGAAATGGCCCTTGATCACTTTGAAAAATCTTGTGGACGCTATAGAGGCCAAAGTTAATATCCGATTGACTTTAAATTTATAAACAGTGTTTAAGGTCTTGAGACGAAGAAGCCTATTGATTTTCAGCGATTTCTGATAATTACTGCCAGAGTTATGGCCCTTAATCACTTTGAAAAATCTTGTGGACACTCTAGAGGTCAAAGTTAATATCCGATTGACTTTAAATTTTTTACACAGTGTTTACGGTCATGAGACGAAGAAGCCTTTTGATTTTCAGCGATTTGCGATAATTACTGCCAGAGTTATGGCCCTTGATCACTTTGAAAAATCTTGTGGACGCTCTAGAGGCCAAAGTTAATATCCGATTTTAGTGTATTATAAATGTTTCATTACCGAAAATTAAAAATATGCGACAACTCTTGTTGACTGCCCGGACGATTTAGCTGCTGTGGGCGTATGTTTCGTTGCCTGGCAACCTATCTTTTTATATATTATTATTCTTTAGTTCATTAAAGAGACACTGGACTAATAACTAAAATCTTGGTTGGAATTGCTTACAGAATTAATGCTAATGATATTGAATACAAAATTAGGGTTAATTTCTGTAAACTCCTAAGCAATAACGAATATCAAATTGATATGAAAGGGTGAAAAAGTACAAGTATGATAAAGACATTAAGACTATTGATTGAGTTAAAATGAGACTCTGGCATTTTGTCTAATATAAAATTATAACTGAAATGAAAAATGGGCCTTTAATTGAAAAAATATTGACCATAAATTATTGAAATCTATTTTTAGATTCTTTCAATTAGTTAATATGGGATCCGGGCAATTTGTCTAGTATAAAGTCTTACCTGAAATGAAAAGTAGACCTTCAACTTTAATTGCAAAAATATTGACCATACATTATTGAAATTTTATTTTTAGATTATTTCAGTTAGATTGGTTTTGCCACTGTAGTGTACAGATAGGAGATAGAGCTTATTATGTAATAAAAGAATGTGATAAAATAGAGACTACACCACCTAAAGAATCTGTTGTTCCAGATGGTTTAACTAAACTAGGAGATCAAATATCAGAAACTTTGAAAGATAAGGAACATGTATGGCAATTCTTCTTTGATTAGCATTTAGTAATTGAACATATTAACACAGGGTACAATTTTAATTAATTTTATGAATGCATAATTACTGAGATTAATACTAAGCGACATTTCGGCGGGGATACTCTCGTCTTTATCATTTGCTTGAGTATCCTCATCGAAACGTGACTTAGTATTAAACTCAGTAATTGTGTACCCATAAAATTGTACCCTGTGTTGTTATGTTTGGCAATTAACTAATTTATCTTATTAATTGTTTGAAAATTAAATTAGAAAGATAAGGGAGTCATAGTGGCTCTGCATGTAAGGTGCTGGCTCACTAACCAAGAGTTGACCAAGGTAGATCCTCAGGACTCAAATCCAGCAAGACAAAAATTTGAATAAAAAAGATCAACCTTTGCAATAGAGCTTCAAGACCATAAGTGTTGATATTTATTAATATGTATTTATTATTATTATAAACAGGTAGAAAATGGTGAGAATAAAACAGAAGGTAGTTTATTAGATGCTGTTTTAAATGGTGTTGATGGTGAAGATGGTGGTGATGATGGTGATGATGAATATGAAGATATTGATGAAGAGTCAGATGATTCAGATGCTAGTTCCGTACATTCCGGTTCATCTCATGGATCATCTGCAGGTAAGCAATTGCTATGATTCTTCTCTGAAATTTTTTCTTTGGTGATCAGGTCTGTCATGTATGCACCATTGTTTAAGAAAGTATGTGTACTTGTAAATTTCGTCTGCATTGTAAAACAGATAACAGATTTGTAATTCTTTAAAAATTTTGTGCATCATTTATATTTCTTTGATAATATCATATCTTAATATGATACCTTAATCAACTCTGAAATGTACCTAAATTGATCATTAAACATTTAAGTTAGGAAACGAAATCGTCTGCAGAGGGTTTTTAATGTTGACGTATTATGTTGAGTTCATCATATTTTTGTAAATACTTAACAGAATTGAACGATTTTTGGACTGATATACCATTTAGCGCTTCAACTTTCACAACACCGTAGTTTGCAAGATATTACTCACTCCCTCAAAATGACACTCAGAGAATTTAAGGCGACAGCACACATTATCATTTATCATCATTTCTATAGGTCGAAAGAAAAAGAAGAGTCGTAAGAAACCCACACTTCAGTTGAAAATGATGAAGAAAAACAAAGGTCGTCGACCAAGAATGAAATTTAATCTTCCAGAACGTAGTTTAGCAGTTGGAGAAAAAGTTCCTGTAGAGATATGTTATACTTTATCTAAAGCTAATGTTATGTGGCAGGTATGTTTAGCTGTTAATTATTCATTTATCTATGAAAGAAATAGAATAATATTGTTTGAGTTCTGGTCTTTAGTGACTGAGAAATCCTGTCGAGATATGTTATACTTTATCTAAAACTTATGTTATGTAGCAGGTATGTTTGGCTGTTATTCATTTATCTATGAAAGAAATAGAATAAAATTGTTTTGAGTTATGGTCCTTTAAGACTTTGAAAAATCTTGTGGTCACTCATAAGTTATCATCTGATTACTGGTACATGTTTTGTATGATCAATGTTTTCGCTAGTAAAATCTAGAGACTAATCAAATTTTAATTGTTACTGATAATTATTACATGGGGTGTTACTGATTATCAGTTTTTATTGTCTTAACTACAAAAGAATAAATACATAACCATTGTGTACTGCTCAGATGCCTTGGCTGTTGTGGGCTTAGGGTTTGTTGCCTGCAACCAATCTTCAATAAGAAATCAAGTTGGTTCTGTTATATACCCAAGTAAAAGATATGTGGTATTTCACTGCAAAAACTGTTGTTGCATTCTAATTAAGCCTATCGTAGTATAAAGATGGTGGCATGAACTCAGTAGAAACTACCGGTAATTAAATGTAAACTTCAAATGGTTATAACTGTTTAACTTTTCCATAATACCCTTGATATATGTGATTGAATATTATAGGATGGATCAGAAGAATCTAATGTTCTATCAGCGGATTTATATCCTATCCATCATTTAGATGAACTAGAATTCTTTCCAGGAGATTTTGTTGTTGATGCTAAAGGTAAGAAAACAAACATCGTCTGCATACTATATATTGTGATGTAAAATTTAGGGTGGAAATTTAAGATCTGTTTTGTTTTTAAAAGGTTAATGTTAACAGTTATGATAAATTATTTAAATATACTGATATATGTCACAAGATGATTAAATCAAGGACAACTACATTAAATTATTGTCAAGATATACTATTAATTTTAATTGAAAATTATATTTTTTCTAACCATAGTCAGTAAAAAAGGTAAACATACCACTTATTCGATCTGAATCATTTTGGTGCCAGTTTTTTTTTCTTTTTAAGAAGAATTAAACAATTTTTGTTTTATAGATATTTTCTGGTTTAGATTAAAAAATATTCATTCCCATACATTGGTGATTGGGTGCACATTGTTTGTCCATCAAGCCATCAGCTCAAAGAAGTTAAGGCATGGGCTTTAGATCATAAGTTCTGTTATTGACCTAAGTGGCTTGGTTTCAATCTCAAGGAGTAGAATTGCCTGTCCAACCTCGTGGGTTTTCTCTCCACAAGCGAATTATTGAAAAGAAATTATACAAAATGTTACTCCTGAAATAACATGGTTTGTGTTGAGTAGATGTTAAACCCCATTTTTCTCTCACTCTGCTTCATACTGTGAATTTTAATTTCCAAAGTCCAATGTACACATTGGCAGCTTGAAGCTACTGATCATCATTTGAGGGTTAAAATACTTGAAAGCTTGAAACTACAATAGAACATACTTATGGAAGAACAATTACCGAGTTTATTGCTCTATCCAGTTACTAAATGCCTCTGAAGGATTACAATATTGTGAAAGTAGAATCTATAAAAGGAATATCTGTTCAACAAGTTCACAATGTTTGATATCCACTGCAGAGGATATAAACAGACTAGGGTCAAAATGAGATTCAACTGTTACAATTCTGTAGTTTGTAAGGGATTTAAAACCCCTCAAAGAACGTTCAGTCGCTTTAACAGATTGGCTATGAAGGTATTTGGGATTCTTTAAATTTGTGAATTTTCCTGTAGAACTTTTAGTTTTTTATGTCTTGTTTTGGGATTAATTTAGTCAGTTAATTAAATACATATAAAATTAAGAAATGTAAAATTTAACTGATTGGCGATGAAGGTATTTGGGATTCTTTAAATTTGTGAATTTTCCTGTAGAAACTTTTAGTTTTTTATGTCTTGTTTTGGGATTAATTTAGTCAGTTAATTAAATATATATAAAATTAAGAAATGTAAAATTTCAGTTTGAGAAAATGTTTATCAAAATGCTTTCATTTTTAAGATTGAACCTTTTCATTTAGTCTTACAAAATTTAGATGATGTCTTTGATACCTTTCCCATTTAGAGTGTTTTGAAAGCAGTAGCTTCATGTACAGTAAATTTCAGCACTGATAAGCATTGTATGTAGAGGGTTAGTCTATAGCATTGAATCTTCCAACTAGATACATATGTACGGTTAAGGTGTTAAGGTCTTCTGGTCTAGGTGCATAAAAGTTGAAGGATGTTAAAACCCATTTTATTTATAAGATGTTATGATTTATTTGTTTGTATGATATTGTATATTTCAGATACACAAGCTTGTAGTACTTGTGATTAGTTTATTAGTATGATACTGTATATTTCAGATACACAAGCTTGTAGTACTTGTGATTAGTTTGTTAGTATGATACTGTATATTTCAGATACACAAGCTTGTAGTAATTATGGTGTAGTGTCAGATTGTGATCATAAAGCTAGAACTTGTCATATAAAATGGGTTAAACCATATGATGTTGGTAAATCTAAAAGGTAAGACTTGTTTTTATTATCATTTAGCTTGTAAACAAAGCTGATGGTATCAAGATTTTAAGTTTATATCTTTACTGGTATTTACGAAATTAAGATTCTGTGAAATAATTAACTTTATGACAAATAAATTGTCATTCTGCACACAGAGACCCATCTACTTCATTCCTCAAGAAAAGATCTCTACCCTAAATGGTCGCAATATCCAAAAATTAGTATACTGTGTTGTAACGTGTTACTACTTCGTTTCATATCTGTTATACACTCAAAGACTCGATAAACTTTTTCAATTTTATTGAATAGAAGCAGAATAGATAGACATACTCAATAAAATTCTTGAAATATACTCAGTGTTTTCGACTAAAATCGTCGATTTAAGACTTAAATTGACGGTCAACTAGCTTAGTGTCTGTTCTCAAGTGGAGCTAACTGTAGACAGACAGCCTAAGTTTAGTATTGTAAATTGTCAGTTTATTTCCCTGCGAATCAATTATTGTGATGGAAAAGGGAGTTTTATTCACTAAAATATGTCTGTGAAGACTTTTTTAATGTATTCTTGTTGCCTACATGTATTCTTCACATGACTAAACCAGTATATATAAATATATTACAGACCTACAGTATTAACTGATGTACATGAAGTTAGTGTTTATGATATTAAAGATCATCCTAACTATAAATTTCGACCAGGACATAGTGTTATTAGAGTTGGAGGTTTTGAGGTAAGTACAGGATGTCATGAACAGGACGTGAATATATATAATGTAAACTACGGTAAATATTATGAAAAAAGTTTACAAATAAAAGATGTGTATGTTCTCAACTATTCAACATAAAAATTGTTTTGAAGATTATTGAAATATCTATTGACAGTAGTACTAATCCTGTAGTTTAATGGGAAATGAGGGTTAATTTTGAGCCCTGTAGATGCACATTTACATACTTTAGAACAGGGTCGTAACTAGCTCAGAGCAACGAGGGGGGGGGAAGTATTCTTAGGGGTGCTGTAAAATTGACGGACAATGTATATCTATTTTTTTAATGCTGAACAATTTTTTCACAGGAGGAGCGAAACTTTTTGTCCCCTCTGTGCCCCCCTCCCCTCTTAGTTATGGACCTGCTTTAGGACAATCAGGATTTACATTTTCTGACTAAATTCCTTGGCTAGTTTATGTATAAAGAGTAGGAATTGTGAGATGCAAGTCACTTAGCTCAAAAGTATCCCAAATCCTGTCTTGTGTTACCCTATAGTAGCTTTGACGGACAGAGCACCACATAAAGAAATACTGGTTTGATCAAGAGATAAGAATTTTAGTAGCTTTCACCGATGGAACACTGCATATAGAAATACTGGTTTGATGAAAAGTAGATAAGAAATTTTAAACAATTAACATATAAAGTAATGTGTTGATGAGATGATAAAACCTTTCCTTTGCTTTAATAATCTACAGGATACAGAACAGAAATTAGAAGCTGTAGGACAAGTATACAGATTAAACTCAGAAGGATTTTTAAATATAAAATGGTCTAATGGTAATATCAGTGAATGTTGTCCACAAGAATTATATATAGTTAGTGATGATGTAAGCTTATAATTCTTTTATATATAGTTATGAAAGGAAATGGGGTTTAACGTCCTAGTTTTCTGCACAGCCCGAATTTCAAGTGTCAAAGGTTCTTTTACTGCCTGCCAAGGTTGTCCCTTTGCCAGGCCCTCTGTCCTGCACTGTTGACAAAGTGGAACCATGCTGGAAAATCAAGATAAACTTTCTCGACCTGGATTGAACATATCCCATAACATACTTTACTGACAGAAATATTTTCAACAAAATATTGTGCTGTTGTAGAGAAAAAGATAACTCAGTACATATAACTTAACCTAAAAGCCTGTATCTCCCATACTAAAAAATTCAGCCATTGCATTATCAGTAATCACAATAATATGAATTATTTTTAACAGTTAAGTGAATTTGGCGATTCAGACCACAGTTCTTCTAGTGATAGTGAAAGTGAAAGTGGTTCATCAGGGAGTGATGCATCATGGGAAACAGAAACAGAAGAAGAAATAGATGATGAGGATGTTGAAAAAGATGAAAGGTAAGACTACTGACTGTGTTATTTCATTTATTAACAGACTGGAGATTTTTTACCGGCACCGCCTTCTTTTGAAAATTCTGCATGAAAAGTTTTTGATATATGGGTTTCAATTTTATTTGTATGTGAATTATTGTTTCTTCCTTTTCTCACTGTGATGTGTTTTAAAGTCCTGATGCGCCATTTTACGCAATATCAATCACTTGAAAACCACATTATTGTTAAAGATGAATCTCAAATAGGAATATTAGTCAATTCTGTTCCATATTTACAAATATATGTGGTATTGAAATTTCATTGGTCTATGCTGCTCAAGCATAACAAGACCCGCCATCTTTTATCGGTAGCTGGGAAACCTGATTGAATCAAAGCCAAAAGATTATCTAGTGTTGGTATTTTGAATTTGATTTCTTAATTAAATGTTAATTAATCAAACTGAGTACATGAATTAAGCTGTGAGAAATATGATATTTTAGCGAAAATGCAAATGGCGTATCAGGAATTTAATGTATGTATATTGTTACTGTGCCACCGAGCAGAGCAGTTTAAAGTCAGTTGGATTACAGGTGCTCTATCAACATCAATTTGCAATTGTTTGAGGGTATTTTCTTTCTTATTTTACAGTGAAAAAGAGAAAAGGGCCTGTAAACTAACAGAAAGTGCTAAAGAAGAATTGATCATGAAAATATCCGAAGCTCACCATGCCCTAACTACACAAGGTGAAATATTGACCGCAACAACTTCAGCCATGTTGGATTTATCACATATCTACGAAATTATCATAAGATTTTATAAAAGTTGTAAAGGCATTGATAAAATCTTGAAAACTAAATATTTTGAAGATGAAGAACTAGTTGCATGGATTAATGACCTGCGTAAAATACATCGTGAAGAGAAAACGAAAAAAATAACGAAGCATTTAAATCAGTTATATAATACGTGGAACCATGGCCTGATTGAGAGGAAATTGAAGGAAAGTCAAAGCATAGAATCAGAGATGGATCTTGATGATTCGATTTTATCACCTCTCTCTAGTCCAGGAGATTTTATGGTAAATGGGGACACCGCCAAATCTATCACTGATAATCCATTTAGTTTAGAACCCAAGTCCGATGATTGTAGCTCTACTTCTCTCCCACTTTTGACAGCCGAAGATAGCTCTAGTCAATCTAACTGTGATATAGACTCCATGAATAGAATGTGTTCCTCTGATAGTAACTCAAATAATCATGCATGTTTATCTAATGGCGTTTCAGACAGTAATTCTCGTGATATGGACAAAGCAGAGCCGTTAGCTGGGGCAACAGAGAAAAATGGGGCTATTTGTGATAATACAAACAATACTTCCACAGCTGCAGAAACAAATGAATCGTTGATTGAGCTCAAAATCGCACAAGAGAGAAAGTTGTCCATTTGTTTAAAAATAAACTTACGTCTTAATGCTATTATTAATTCTAAAGTTCAATCAGAACTGAATCATCATTGCATTGAGAATCTAACCATGCCATTTGATTCAACAAATGCATCCAATGATGTCAAAAATTCCTCACCGGAGGTAGTTCAAGAATCTCGCGAGAATGACGATGAGGATTTAGTTGAGAGAATGTGTCAACAACATCAAGCACAAGATAATAAAACAGAAGAAGAATTAGCTACATCTGTTAGTCTGGATGATTGTAGAATAGCAATAGAAGAGTTAGGATCCCCACTTTCACTTACAGGTTTGTTTTCTATTTTTATGTGTGAGAAGTTAGTTTTAGTAATCCAGGCCTCTAGGGTTGGTCACTACAATCAGTCTAAGGTTGTTGACCACCTCGATCAGATTAAGGTTGTTGACCACCTCGATTAGTCTAAGTTTGTTGATTGTGTCAATCAGTCTTAAGTTTGTTGACTGCTATCTTAACAAAATTATTCCCAAGACAAATCATTTCCACAGATTCAGTTCATACATACAAACTTTGTTGAAAATTTGTTTCAACATTATGTGATCCACATCTGCTGTTGTATCTTGATATTTTATTTATCTTCTGGGACTATATTTTCAGGTTTTCAGTATTATGGAGATTTACCATTAGGCCATCATTACTATAGCAACAACCATACTCCTAAGAACTCAAGATCTTTCATGGTTGCTGTTCAAAAAGAGGTTTGTACAGTATTTATATATTCCCCTTTATTCAGCTGCAATTCATATGTTACTTTATAGACATTTTTAAGTTTTCCTCAATGTGTCCTGGCTGATCTTTTAATGTAATATCAATGTAAATTTGTATTTTTAGTTGGAATGTTTTTAGATCAGTTTGTTTACAAGGCCCCCCACCTATCACAAAACCTGTTGAATCTTAAAAAATATTTTAGTGTCAAAAGAAATAATAAAAATGTTCTGTACCCAACGACTGTTCAGAATATTCTAAGCCTACCGAAATCATGAAAATTTTTTTGCTGAATATAAATGTCATCTTTGAGTCTGCCTTTATCGATAGGAATAGGCTGGTTCAGCATACAATTAGTTTAAAAAAAAAAAACTCCCATACTGTTGACATCAGATTGCTAACTGACCTGAAAATCAAGACTACAGGCTTTGTATAGATTTACCCCTGTACATTCTGAAAAGCTATAACCCCCATAACATTCTAATAAATAAGGGCATGCAATTGGAGAAAAACAAGCGGATGTATATTTGAAACTGATGGATAGGATCTACTCGATCGGTATTTAAAACAAAGATAAGTTAGATTTATTACAGACCTATTTCATACGATGGCACGATATGATTCTTTACTTTTTCATGGCAAGTTCTTTCCCTTGAACAATGAACAAAATTGCCTCCGATCACTAGGCTAGTTTTGTTTGTTTTTTTTATATTTTGTAGCGTAGAACAATTAAAATGCATTCATTTCCCCCAAAGAATATTTAAATCATAATCTAGCCTTTTCAAACGATTATCCAAGAACTCCATCCACAAATCTATTCATGTCTCATGTTCCACGACAGATACTGATGCCGATTCATTGTACCATAAAATTGAAAGTTGATGTGCAGAGATTTTCAATATACCTATTATAAACTTAATGTTTAGAGATAGCGGATGAGACACTTACAGGTCCAATTGAAGGAACCTACCCTATTTTCGATCTGTTACAGGAACAGAACCCCTTTTTTTTTGGGTCTGACTAACAGAGATCTTTATTTATTAAGTATATTTGTTTGTATTTTAGTTAAAGTTATTACAGACAAGTCTTCCAGCCGGTATAATAGTTAAAGGATTTGAAGATAGAATGGTAAGTTTTGTGGTAGACTGACAACTGTTAATAAACTTGACAATTAATAGCTTTACATTGATCTTTATACTACATGTACATGCTAATGAATGAGGGTAGCTAGAATATGCAATTGAAGCAATTCTCAAATTGTGATTTATTAAATGAGATTAATATCCTAATAACCAATATGAATTAGAAATTGGGTGATCTTTCTTTTGTTGCCCCACTTTAAATAACACTGCTAGTTAGTTTATCCTATTATTATATACCTGTATATCAGTAAACTTTGAATAATATTTATATTATTCTGAATGGGATTGAGAACCTCATTTTATTTGTACTGAAAAGTGTTGATATAGTGATGGGTGATGCTGACTCTTTCTATTGAGGTGTTCATATACATTTGAGGAATTCAAATACTTTCCAGGAATTCATATACCTTAGGTGTTCATATACTTTCCAGGAGTTCATATAGCTAACAAAAATTTATTTATGTACTTTTTTATTGAATGTTTGAATATCTCACTTTATGTGTCTAACTCTTCATTAGCCTAGTTGGTGCAGAAAGTTTTCCATTAAATCCATTTTCATATTATTTATGTACTTTTTTTTATTACAGGATGTATATTCTGTGATGGTTGTTGGACCGTCTAATACACCTTATGAAGATGGTTTATTTGTGTTTGATCTACAACTATCATCTGATTACCCTGTATCACCGCCATCTTTCCATTATATATCATACTGTACGGAACGATTAAATCCTAATCTATATGAAGATGGTAAAGTGTGTATCAGTTTACTAGGTACATGGTCTGGAAAGGTGAGCTTGGTATTTCGATTACTAATTACTGTAAAACAAGGAATTAATTAAAGTAGCAATGTGTCATTTGTATTTTACGATAAAATATTGAACTTCTCAAGACTTATTTCACGCAAAATTGGGGGGTTGGATGGCCGCATGGTTAGCACGTGTGCGCTGTATCATAAGGACTGTCATTGAGTCAACTGACGTGGTTTCAATTTCCCGGGTGTACATGACAAGGAGCCAGGCTGCCTGTCCAGCCTAGTGGGTTTTCTCCGGGCCTTCCGGTTTCCTCCCACTGCTAAAGACACCCTACGCGCAAGTGAATTATTGAAATAAATTGAACCATGTGTTAGTCCCAAAATGACTTAGTGTTTGTTGAGGAATGGACATTAAACTGTTCTAATTCAAATTATTATTCAAGGCTATTCTAACTGATGTTTTAGTATTCATTATTCAACACCAATTGAAAGAAATGAAATTTAATTTGGTTTTTGTCTTCTTTAAAATGTTTTAATTGATTCAATGAAATCAACAAATTTTTAAAAGAAGAAAACAGAAAACTATTTGACATATTTATAGTTTTTTTGGCATCAAAAAAAAATCCAAAAAATTGATCATTTCAAATGAATCAAAATATTCCAATAAAATTCAAATAATAACACAGAATTTGATATGAGGGCTTTAATGTCTGTGAATTAAATAAACCTTATTGTTATTTCAGGGAAATGAGTTATGGTGTAGTAAATCAAATCTATTACAGATATTTGTTTCTGTTCAAGGTAAATATTTCTTTCTTAAATGTCAATACGTAAATATATACATAATTTACTTAATATTTTTCATTGCAGCTGATTCATGTTTCCACCATTCATTCTTGGGTACAACTGATAATTCCTGATTTCTTAGTGTTTTTTTGTTTTTGTTTAAATATTTAAATAGAAAGCAGGGAAGATTTGATAAAGAGTTTGAATAAATATTAGATTTTCTGTTTTATAGGACTGATTTTGGTAAAAGAACCTTATTATAATGAAGCAGGTTATGAGAAACAAAAGGGATCTGAACAAGCACATGAAAACAGTAGAATGTACAATGAGATGGCTATACTTAAACTTGTTCAAGTTAGTATTTTAATTAAAATTAACTCTTTATTATTTCACTGAAATTTTCAGTTTGTCTGCTGGAACTCAATTGCGCCATTCAGGCAAAAATCTTGTGGACGCTCTAGAGTCCAAAGTTATCATCCATTCACTTTAAATTTATACACTATGTTTAAGGTCATGAGACAAAAAGCCTGTTTATTTTCTACAAATAATGGCAGAGTTATGGCCCTTGATCACAATGAAAAATCTTGTGGTCACTCAAGAGACTAGAGTTATCATCCCATTCATTTTAATTTTATACACAGTGTTTAATGTAATAAGACAAAGAATCTTATTGATTTTCAACAAATAATGCCAAAGTAATGACCTTTGATCACATTGAAAAATCTTCGTCGGATTCACTTTTAAATTTGTACACAATAATTAAGGTCATGTGATGAAGAAGTCTATTACAAATCTTGTGGACACTCTAGAGGCTAGAATTTTCATCTGAATGTCTTGAAATCAATGCACTGTGTTTATATTCATGAGATACAGAAGCTTATTGATTTTAAAAGACTTTTGGGAATTATGGAGAGAGTTATGGTCCTTAATGACTTTGATAAATCTTTTGGGCACTCTCAACATTTATACACAGTGTTTATATATGAAAGAAAGAAGCTTATTTATTTTACGTCATTTCCTATAACTTGAACAGCGAAATCCATTAAATTGCATGATTATAAAAACTGTTATTATACAAATCATGGCATTAGGTTGCATTAACCTGGTGTGACTCAGTGAGTAATACGCTGGCTCACTAAAAGGAGGTCTTGGGTTCGATCCTGGTTTTGGCGGACAGAGTTCTCAAAAATTTTCCAGCTTGATTTCTCTTTGGAGGGTCTGGCAAGGACAGGTCTAGTCTTTCTGATGGGATGATAAAAACAAGATCCCATGTACGCCTTCACATAAAAGAACCCTTGAAAGTTGGAATTCGATATAAGAGTAATCCATAGCCCTGCTGTTCCGGGCCTTATTTCTCTCATAGTACACTGTATGGCATATACCCATCTTCATTAGCCTAGTCGGTGCAGAAAATTAAGATGTTAAATCCTGTTTCATTTCATTTCAGTACCTTGTATATTTATTCACTGCTTTCATATTTATTCAAATTAACTATTCTCGTTGTATGTTTTCAACTTAACTATTTTCACAGTTCATATATATCTTATTTTCTAGTCAATGACTGCTATGGCAACTCGACCACCAAAAGTGTTTGAAAACGAGGTCAGGGATCATTTATTAGCCAATGGACCAAGGTATATAATCTTAATTTTATGTTCTATCAATAATCTACTTACTTAGTTGATGACACCAACAATATTTAGGCTGAATATTGATCAAATGAAGAAACATATCATAAAAATCATAACAGATTTTTGCATTATGAAGCTTTTAATTTTCGTTATTTAATCATATTACAATTTTTACTTTTATCAGAATGATAAGACGACTAAGGAATTGGATTGATTTGTCTGGATATTCCATCTCAAAGCCAGCAATTAAATATGGAGAAAGTAGCACACCATGTTCGAAAATGAACATCACAACACAGACAATTAATGGAGATACCCTGGACACTGCTGTCAGTACGCAAATTGTAACTAATGGTACAGAAACAGAAACTAGTGATAGCCATAAAGTAAATGATTCTACAAGTGTTGATCCCCAATCCCCTAAAGCAATCTGTGATAACCCTAATGTAAGTGGAGATAACTCTAAAATAAACAATTCAACACCAGGTGAAACTAGTGATCAGTCTCTCCAGGGAGCAGTATGTGATGCTGGTGTTGATCAAGGAGCAGCAAGTAAACCAGATTTTCCATTATTCCCAGTCTCTAAAGGATTTTGCATATCTTTATCAAGTAATTTAGAGAAATTTGAAATGAGCTTACAAATGTTACAGCATAAATAATTCATTCTAAGTTTGATTCACAAATTTAAGAGATGAATATAATAAAATTGATGATAACCATGTGCTTTCTTTTCTTTTTTGTAACAGAAATTTATTGTTTTTGGTACATTGTTTCTTTCTTTGCATACTTTAGTTAAGGGAAAGTTACATGTGGATACAGATTAAAAATTTAGTTGTAAAAATAAGCATTTCAATTATCAAGATTATTTTTTTTTCTCCATCAAATGTGTTCGGGTTGGGTTTACAATCATGGTTGGTTGATTACTTCTATCACCATATTATCATTCATCAAACCTAGATTTTCAAAACATTTCACGGATTAGGTTGTTGATCTATTTAAATGAATAATGCTTTCTGTAATTTCTAATATTGAATGGTTCAACCCTTTAACCTTTCTTTTATTTTTGCTTTTATATATTAACTTTTTGCCCTTACTCATTGTATGTTGGCCATAAGAAAAACAAACATAAAGATATTTTATGTATACTTATTGCATGACTGGAATTATAATTTATTTTGTCAAACAAACTCAGGACAGTTTTAATTTATTCAATAAATATTAAACAGAATTGTTTTGTGAACAAAAAACTAATTGCTTCAAATGGTTTTGGAAAAATATATATTTCTTTGTCTTACAAAATGATGATTTTTAAAGGTTCGAATGACAGTGGACATTGTATACAACATTGTATATATTTGGTAATAGTATTGAAAAGTGCGAGAACTAAGAGCAGAACACTTTCCATTGAACTAGTAAAACAAATTTGATAGCAGGTATTACTGTATATTGAAACTTATAATTTTATTAGTCATTTTGAATAATATGATAGAACTGTATGTTAGTGCTAAGAAAATAATATAATTATAAAAGTGAATGCTACAGCAAGAAATGGAGTGCTCAATATCTTGTTATTGTACATTGTTTAGCTATAGTTTGGTGATATAAACCCTATCATAACATTTCATAATACCATAAAAAGGAGATGTCCATTGTGTACTAATTATTTAATGTCAGTAAACAATATTTTTGATGTGAAATATTGAATAACAATAGGCATTGTACAAGATAAATGTAACAAATAGAGTCTTGAGTATCAAAAAGTAGGTGGACTTTTATGTTATAAAGAATTTTAAGCATTCTTCTAGTTTTTGACACTCTAGTGCTATTTATTTAATTATTACCTATATTGAGCTTTATATAAACCAAAGTCAAGAAATCCAAAAAAGATGTTGGTATTGTTTAATGTTATGAACAAATGGACATGATAAGTGAATACAGCATATGTTAATTCATTTCATGTACATGTAATACGTGTAAAAAAAACAATAAATGGACATGGTCAACATGTTTTAAAAATTTCTTATAATTTAATAATGATGGTGAATTGTTCTTATTGATTGACTACATACAATTGTATATGCACAAAATTCTAATTACGTTAAAAATTCTCTCAAATGAATTGAAATAAATTATGAGCAAGTTAATGTATGTTACTTGTTACTCAATGACAAATCCATTACTGAAAAACATTTATTGTTCCTACTAGCATTTCAGTACCTTTAATGTACAAGTAATACAGTAAAATACACACTATCTATAGCAATTGTCAGTCCTGTCAGAGTTGTATCAGTCTCATCAACTCAAGTAGATAACAAACCTCATCTCTCAACCCTCCGTGTTTCAAGATAAGAGATGGTCCTATATAGTTCCACGTAGCAAGCCCAACGCGAATCGCATCGGGCCTCAGTAAGCAAAATTGACAATGTTTTTTTTTATCAAAACAAAGATTGAGTATTGTTTTTTATAATATTTCTGCCACATGCAACTACAATTAAGCATATAATCCTACCTGAAACGGGTATAAATCATCGTATTTAAAGCCTTTAATTAAGAACGCCATTTTAAATGGGAGATGTATGACGGTGTATGTTGGATAAAAATGAGGCTTCATTAATTTAAACACGAATATTTGGAGTTAGGCGATAGTTTTGCCACTGCACTGGCCCCTGTAAGTTTAATTGGTCATAATGGTAAAGAAATTATTTTATTTTTAAGATGTTATGTGCATTAATAAAGAAACTGAGTTTGCCACTTGGAACTAAAGGTATCCAATCGTAGCTAAAAACAAACACATCAGTATATCTCGACGGTTTTAGCAACGTTCTCGTAGCTACAACTCAAGTAGTGTGATATGAACATGTTTCAGCTATTGTTTACAGATGTTCTTATTGGTTGGGTATTTTCTTATTTGGTCTACACAAATGCTGTAACACGTAATTCCTCATAAATTACTATTGTCACTATTTCTGAGATTGAGAGAATTTTATTCCTAAATAAATGATCACTCAAGTAGGCCTATCCCCAATGATAAAAAGAAATCACTTAATATGGAGACTAAATGAGCACTGTTGAATTGAAAATATTTCGGAATATTTTATCTCCTAACTTCAACATTCCTAATGAATTATGTTACAATATATGATTCTTAATATTCCAGCACATCAGGGGAGACAACTTGCTATTTTATAGTTTTCACGTTAACTAGTTGTTGAAAAGTGTTATGTTATCATAATATTTTTCAGTAAAACATTGTAGTTATATTCATTTATGGACTTGTGAAGTAAATACCACAAATCTATAGAATTCGACCAGCTTGCCATAAAAAAAAAGGGGGTGAAAATTTCGTTATCTTATTATCTCCCTTGGTACCATTTTCATGAAGGAAACCACACAAAGTATCCGCCATTTTAACAAGTTTTCTCAAAAAGAAACATGTGGAGCGACGATGTTTATGAACCAGATGTAAGTAAAAGGTCTAAATCTAGATGGAAATAACGTAAGGAGTCTGTGTTCTCGTTAGGTGATGGAAATAACTGGTGATATAAAATCCAACAGGCTAATCATAATCTACTTGACTATTTGACAAAAATAATCACAAAAACCGACCGGCTGTCAGCAAGTCATGTCATCACAGTTAGTTCCGCACAAGACTAGATCTTGACCGATCTGGAAAATATCTTTCTAGGGTTAGGTTTACAATTTACGTGTCAAACGTACAAATTGAAGCTGTAAAAACAGTGGATTGTTGGTAAAAAACTATTCCGAAGGGTTAGGGTTAGAATTGTGGTTATAAACATGGAAATATATTTTCCAGATCGGTCAAGATCCAGTATCATTTCCTTTAGGAATTGTCTTTGATCGGACGATATCCGCAGGTCCGCTGACAGTTCCTATTCATCCCTATATAGCTGCAATATGGAAATACGGTAAAATACATCTGTTCTCAGAATATTTTGGAACCCTTACCGTCTACTTTTCACCATAATTCTATATTTTTCGCCAAAAGGAATCATTTCTCAACTTATCTGACACAAGTTCATAATAATCCAACATTATTTTCAAGTAGAAATAAGCGATTAAATAAACATGCAGGCTGCGCATGTTTTGAGTCTCGTAATGGCCGATCAGTTCAAACTTATTTAGGGTGTATTTAATCACAAAACTCTACTTGAAAATAATGTTAAAATATTATTCCAAGGATTCCAAATTAGCCTTAAAACAGAGATGAGGAAGAGCGGTATTTTCATAAGGCAGCTAATTAGGAACTGTCAGCATACATCGTCCGATCAAAGACATCACAGTGTGTAGCAAATGCAATGTTTCATTAGACCAAACTAAAAAGCATTTTTATTATCTATTATTTGGGGTGCCTGACTGTTACTCTGGAAAGGTTGGAATTCCACAATTTGATCAACCCTGAAATAAGACGTCTTATTTGTAGAATTTGTGACATTGACTTATGTTATGCACCATACCTAGGGTGACCCACCATAAATAAATATCTCCATATATCTCGACAATTACGCCACAATATTTATATATATGCCAAGCCTCAAATCAGTTTCACACAATTATAGTCACTAAATAAATGATCATGTTGTACTTAAAAAGCTATGACCATTAATCATGTATAAATAATAGACTGAAAACTGGTTCCAAGAGTCGTCCATAACATCCAGACACTTTTGAGTAAAAGATAGGTTACGTGCCCTTGTTTTGAAATTAGTCTCGCTTAACCAGTCTATCGACCATTCTACGTCTGATTGACAGGTCGGGATAATCAAGACTACTTTTTTACGAAACATAACAGAAAGCTAGAACAAGAAATTGAATTTAGAAATAAGCACGTTAGGTAGCTCAACAATCGTTTTAAGAAGCTTGTAAAAGTAAAATGAAACTACTGCTAGTATCATGTTCCTGTCTAACCCGAGTGATTCAGAGATATTATACTATTCAAAAAAAGTAGGGGATATTTGATTTTTAAGTGTTATTAAAGTCACCTAATGAAACTGACGAAGAAACAAATGACAAAATGAAATGAAGTTCACATTCATCGATTTATTCCAAATGATCGTTAGACTAAGTAAGGCACAGACTGACCATTATAAGGGTAAAATGATACCCGGGGTCAAACAGCAATGTTACCACAGCATCACAACCAAGTCAGTAACGGGTAAATCCTCCTCTGTTTGCCAAACAAGCATTGATCCGACGTGGCATACTCCTAATGAGACGTCTAAGGTCATTTTGGTCCAGAATGTCCCATTCCTGTTGCAACGCAGCAGCAAGTTCTTGGACATTGGCAGGACGTTGTTGACGTAACCTCTGTCCAAGCATGTCCCAGACATGCTCGATGGGGGAGAGGTCGGGACTCAGTGCTGGCCAAGGTAATGTGGTGATGTTCTGTTGTTGGAGGTAACCTGTAACGATCCTGGCCCTGTGACATCTTGCGTTGTCATCCTGGAAGATGAAACGGCGGCCATGACGTCGTGCGAACGGCACAACATGGACTGCCAAGATGTTGTCCCGGTAGTACTGGCCTGTAACACGCCCTGCAACAACATGTAAAGCCGTTCTTCCAGCAACAGTGATGCCTCCCCACACCATAACAGAACCACCCCCAAATCGATCATGTCTGATGACGTTAACGTCTTGGAAGCGCTCGTTTCGACGACGCCACACCCTCCTACGTCTGTCCAAAAAATCAACAGTGAACCATGACTCATCTGAAAACATCACATTGCTCCAGAGTCGATTATCCCAGTGTTGACGATCCCTACACCAACGACGTCTTGCTTGAATGTGATGATCTCTCAAACAAGGGATCACGCGAGGACATCGGGCGCGAAGGTGACCCCTATGCAGTCGATTCCGAATCGTCTGGCCACTCACTCTCACACCAGTGTCTGTTTGAAGACGAGCGCTGATCTGATTTGCTGTGATGACACGATTTCTCAAGGCCAAGGTACGGATAAATCGATCCTGGGCTTGAGTTGTCGCCCTTGGTCGACCTGAGCGTGGTCTGTCCTGTACAGATTGTGTATCACGGTATCTGGACCATAGCCTGCTTATGACAGACTGAGAAACATTCATCGTCCGCGCCACAACCGCCTGTGTTGTGCCGATATGTAGCATGCCAAGGGCACGTAACCTTTCATTTTGGGTAAGCCGACGCATATCAAAATTTGTTTTCTGGTCACTAAAACAATTAAACTGATGTTTCCACCCTGGAATTCAATGCCACAATGACTGTAACATTCAAAGTCAGAGTCGTGCAAATCTTGGGTTGGACCCCCATGATGATCCCAAGCATCACCTGCATTCCATGCGGTAGCTATTGGTGCGTTTGGGCGTCACATGTAACTGGAAATGTTTCTTCTGTTAGGTTCTATAGTGACTTTTTTCGTTGTCATTTCCATATTTTGGTATTATGCCCCCAAAATCAAATATCCCCTACTTTTTTTGAATAGTATATTTGTACTTAACCAAAAAATGCCGCTCTTAACGGTACAGTTAATGATAAAGCGATTTAAAAAATGAAACGAACGTAATTTCTAAATCTGCTGTAATAACCAAGAAGCTTAATTTTACTGCTATTCAAAATCGTCAACAATAAATTTTTTACGGCTGTAATAGTTGATAGATTTGTAGAGAATTGCACGTGCCATGGCTATTTATAGTATCATACTGTCAGAAAGTTGGTCTCGGCACGGCGAATGTGCACGCTTCAGTGGTAGTCTCGAACTATCAGCGGTGGACTGTATTTCTGTGAGTACATGGGTCACCCTACCATACCAGAAAATAATGAAAATTTTTCACAGTGTTTTTATTATTATAAACACAAATAGGCAATATTACATTGTAATTACACTTTTCAATGAGTTATTATTATTAACACTAAAAGGCTCTTACAATTTAATCTAACTTTTTCTATGGTTTTTAATATTAACACTAATGCAACTACTAATAGGCTATTACAATTTAATCTGGGAGCTACTGACAGATTTTGGTATCTCATCAGTGGCATTCAATATAGAGGTCAAACCTATGTCACAGATTTGATAGCACAATCCGTCAGTAGCTTCCAGACTACAGCGAATACTATATTTTTCAGTTTGATCAGACATATGGAACGGGGTATGATTATGAATCACATACAGGTATGTGTCAAGCATAGGCATCTGTTTCAGACTTTAAGTACATGTACAAATTATCACAAACATATATACAACCCTGGACATAGGTACCTGTCATTTATAGACATTGTCAGACCCAAATTATCACACAACATGCTGTTGTGACTTGTGTGATAACTTTGGTCTGACACAGTCTGTGGCAGGTGGCTTCTGTACAGATTTGGTATGTATAGAAAGTAATGATATACAATTATTTTATAGATTGATTATGAGTCTTTCTATGGCTATTTCAGATCCTTACTTTTCCTTTAACCAAAGAAACAAACTAAGCTTTTTGAATAGCTAAAATGGAGTAGTTCATTGATAAATAATTTATTATACAGTGTTTTTATTTCTTAATCTGATGTAGAAAATTTCATGTACACCATACTGACAAAGTGGTATCGAAAAGTGACATCACAATAGGTTACAATGAAAAAAAACCCAAGAAAAATTAATTTAAGTTGCTAAGTAAAGGATTTGATTTGGAAGCCCTTGTATTGTGAAGGGGATGCACTGGGCAATTTTTTAGTCTTCTATGTCCTCCGGAATGACCATTGTAGCTGGTTAAATATAATAGGTCATCGTGATTGCCATCTGTATTATGTTGCAATTTATTGACAACTGTTCTCTGAACTGATGTCTCTGTGGCAAAAGAGTAAAATAAAATTTTCTGAATCAAACATGTTCAGATTTTAAACAAATTGTCAATATCTTTATCTAATGATTGCATGTGTTAATTTGAATAAATTTTCTTATATTTTGTATGAATGTATTATTAAAGGTGATCCCCAGCAAGATTTAGAATATGAAAGACAATATCACTCATCTTCATTTATTGTTCCTGAGGTCATCAAAAATTTTCTCTTGAAATTTCAAGGTCATATCTTGGATCAGAATCTTTATGAGATTCAAGATGCATATGAAAATGGGTAAGATTATTTAACTTTTCTTGTAAACTTGTCAGCAAACTATACATGTATATAGAATCTCTTGTTGGCTTCATCAAAATCATAGTCAGTTTTAGTAATTCATTGTCTTTCTTTTCAGGTTTACTCAACTCACTGAAAGTTTCTTTAAAACTTCTCCATGGCCCGAAGCTGACAGTATTGCACCTATTATAGCAAAAGAAGGTGAGCTTTGATGGAAGAATATTACTTTTATTATCTGTAAAAATACAATCCCAGATTGTGTTACAAACATTTTAAAGAGCAAATACCACTGATAAAATAGCACAATTTTGTCAGATTTGACACGGAAAACAACTAAATCCAATCTAAATCTTTTTTTTTTTTTCAAAGTGTCTAGAGAGATTTAATTAAGATTTATATTTTATTGTATACTGGTGACTTCATTATGATTTGTATTTTTCAGATCCTATTTTCATGATACTGTATAGAGAACTTCATTTTAGACACATCTATGCTAGAGTTCCTGTAAGTAATTTAAAGCTTTACCCCAAAATATTTTTCCAATCAATGGGTCTTGTATTACATACTGGTAATCCATAAATGATAATCTCGAAGCAGTACACTTAACAAGATTATGTTGAAAATCTGAAACGCGTCCTGGGTTAAAATCTTTGAATTTTCTACACAGTTTATTAGGTGTGTTGCTTTGAGATTATTAATTATGGATTATCTTTGGATGGCTGCTTCCTTGAGGTCCCACTGGTATCACTGAGATCCATTCTTACCTGCACTATTCCTAGGATTTTTCATTCACTTATAGTAAGGAGTCATGGAAATATTTACGTACTAGTAGTAATGTCTACATACTTAGTGTGGATATCAAGAAGACATGTACACATAAAATATACCTTGTCTGTTCTAAATTATTCAAGTAAATATGCTTGAGTTGACAACAGTCTTATTTTTATTGTACTAAATATAATTTATTTGTTTTCAGAGTGGTCCATCATTAGATCAGAGATTTGAATCTTACTATAATTATTGTAATCTCTTTAATTATATTCTCAGTAAGTTTACTTCAGTTATTATCATAACAAAATAGTTACCTGTCTAGAGTAGTAGTATTGCTATTCAAAGTCATCAGTTTAAGACAAGATAAACAGTTTTATAGAAGCATAAATACATTGTACAGTACATGACAGTGCCATAGTCAAAATAACTGTAAATCAATAATCTGTCTTGTTCAGAAATTGATGGTTTTGGTAGTTTTCTTGTTTTGATAGGCTAGAATTTACCAAAAGATGCTTTACATTAGTAACATGCTTCAAATTATAGAGAACCAAATTTTATGATAAAATTAGGGTTTGCTGGCGAAAAAGACAATAGAGAATACACTGATTAATATTTTAATATTCGTTATAGTTATACAATGACAATTTTAGGTTCTGAAGGACCAGTACCATTAGAATTACCCAATCAGTGGCTCTGGGATATAATTGATGAGTTTATTTATCAGGTATGTCATATTCAAATGGTTAATTTCTTCAAAATTTTTGCTTATAAAACTAATTTTCTCATTCATTATAATGAAGTAAACAAAACTTAGAAAAGGTGATTTTAAATGTTGTGCTGTCTCTAAGGATTGTGTGTGAGTATATTAATTTGTTTTTTTATATTTTATTTTCAGTTTCAATCCTTTAGTATCTACCGATGTAAACTGGGAAAGAAGAGTGAAAGTGAACTCGAAATTTTGAAACAAAATCCCAAAGTAAGTTTAGTTAACAGGTTTTTTTGTTTTATATTCAACTGAAGTTAATGTTAAACATAAAACAAGACCAACCTATATTTCTGTCAAAATTGACAATTAGCTACAAACCCCCCCAAAAATCAGTATTGAATAAAATTTATTTCTTCGAAGGATCTGAGTTTTTAAAACATATGGTCCTTTGCCAACAGCAGCATTTAAATATATTTATTTCTAATATTGCCAGTGATTGATATTGCTTATTGATTATACTTGTAGATATGGAATGTTCATAGTGTGTTAAATGTTCTACATTCACTAGTAGAGAAATCTAACATAAACAAACAGCTAGAAGTTTATACAAGTGGTGGTGAGTAGTCATCGTGTTTTTAGTTTGTGGTCGCCCTAGTGGTCACAGTTTTTATTTAATTGAAAAGCCGTTCAAATATATCATTGTTCCACGTTAATAATGATTGAGTTTGAATTTCGTGAAAATAGGACCAGAACTATTATACAAAATGGCCACTCCTTGTACGCAAATAGTGTTAAAGTAGAGGTCCAAATTTTTATCTGATTTTGATGAAACTTAAAATATATGTTTATATCCCAGAGATTTAGATTCCTTTTGATATTTGCACATATTGGACCATAACTTCCTGGATTATGTCACCCTATTGTACGAAAAGTCGCTTTTTGTTAGCTTGTTTTCTGTCCGACTCTTGCATGGCAAGCGCTTGTTTGTCATATCTGAAGATAAGTTTTCAACCCTTATTTTTGTTAAAATTTAAATGATGGAAGTATGTAAATAATGATTTTATTTGAACCTGATGTTTTTAACGTTGTGACAAACGTTAAAAATGTTAATTAAAACAATAAAAAAAAAGGCAAACATATGCCAAACCAAATAACAGGCACCAAAGAAACTGTGTCTGACAAAGCCTGAATTTGTGCCTGCCAATGGCAGGTGCCTTATTTCCAGACTTGTGTACTAGCTTTCTGTTTCATTGTAGCTTTAGTATATAACTGTTTGAATATTTATAGGTGATCCTGATAGTGTAGCTGGTGAATTCGGACAACAATCTCTATATAAAATGTTGGGTTACTTTAGTTTGGTTGGTTTATTACGACTTCACTCCTTATTAGGAGATTATTACCAGGCATTGAAAGTTCTAGAAAATATAGATTTCAACAAACAGGTAATTAAACTTTGATTATTTTTATATACCTTGCAGTCTCTGGATGTCAGTTGAGAAATCCCTTGCAAACTACAATATTGTCAAAGTTGAATCTCGAAAAGGAACAAAAATCCATGGTTCACTTCTGTTCAATATTTACAAAGATATGATCAATTGAAGACAATATATTGATAATCACCTGTCATAAAGTCATGTCTATTCTTTCCAGCTATTATTATATTCTTGTTTGTGATGGGTAAATAGGTCCCATCCTCTGCCATTATATAACTCGGGCAAATTAACCTGAAATTTTCTGTCTTTCTTCTTCACAAATGCAGAGCATTTGCAAAATTTTTTCTATATACCATGTTCTCTCCAATGACAATGTATCCCCCTGCCCGAGATTTATGTTGCATTGTTTATGTAGTCTAAAACGTGAATAAGTATGAATAAATCTCAACCAATCCGTTATGTAAAGTGAGTCAACTCATTAGCTTCTTGAACCCAGAAGTAACAGTTAATAGATGTTTTGGAAATAATACCCTGCAGCTATAAACTTTGTAATAAACAATGTCCAGGTAGTGCTTTAGGATAAAAGTATCTTATTTGTTTTAAAGATTAAATTTGTTACTAATTGTAAAAAACTTTATTTTAGAATCTGTATTCTCGTGTACCAGCTTGTCAGATCACAACATTTTATTATGTTGGTTTTGCGTACATGATGATGAGAAGATATCAGGATGCTATACGAACATTCTCTAATATATTACTATATATACAGAGAACTAAAAATATGTTTCTCTCAAATAAACCACAAATATATGATCAGGTAAGTTCATTTATATTTAAACCAGTTTCTGGATATTTTAGTTTATTGTTTCGATGAAAAATTCCCAGTTTCTGGATCAGATGGGATTGATATATAGACATTTGTTGTGTAAATGGAAAATCAAATTTAAGCCCTCAAAACTTACAAAATCATTCAATCCAAATGAAGTTAAGGGAGGGTTATTGAATGGGTGCTGGATATCCTTCCTTCCCTGTTTTGTTTACTGTAGGTATCTCATAAACTGTTCACGATGTTTTTATGTAACTGTGTTCACACATAAACCTATTACTGTTGTTGTGCTATTTGCTAATTAAAAATTTCTCAAATTTAGTAACTAGTGTTTCACTTATGGAAAGAAATTTGACTGGTATATATACAAGGAACACCAGATGTTATGTTATAAAGAGTATTAAAATCTGATATTAAATGTTATACATATATTTTGTTATATTTTTTTTTTTCAGATATCAAAAGTTAATGATAAGATGTATACATTGTTATCCATATGTTTAACACTTCATCCAATGAGAATAGATGAAAGTGTTCATTCACAGTTACGAGAAAAATGTGCTGATAAGATGCTCAGAATGCAAAAAGGGTAAGGCTATTTTCCATGTACATGTTTCCGCAAGTGAAAAAGTTCACCTAATGCAAATGTAATGGTGAAAACGTGCATTTTGAAACAGGGCTTAAAATTGTTGTATATAAAGTTCAGTGAAGAGCCATGATGTATCTGAATAATTCTACGATTGGCGAACTATGATGTAGCTTAATAATTCTACGATTGCCGGGCTATGATGTATCTGAATAATTCTATGATTGCCAATGCTGTCAAATTTATCATATCGATTGAATAATGATTGATCGTTTTATGATTATTTTTTTTCCAGGGATATTAATGAATTTGAACAGAGTTTTTCTTTTGCTTGTCCAAAGTTTTTGTCTCCAGTGCCTCCCAATTATGAATCACTTGGAGCAAATTACCATAAAGTAAGTAGTCTTTAATTAGTCTCTTTTTGTCACAGTGCCTCGGTGAGTAAGGCGTTGGCTCACTAACCACCAGGGTGGGGTGGATGGCCGAATGGTTAGCGCGCGCACGCTGTATCATAAGATCTGTCATTGGGTCAACTGGCATGGTTTCTATTGCCTGGTTGTACATGACAAGGAGTAGGGTTGCCTGTCCAAGCTCGTGGGTTTCTTCTGTTTCCTCCCACTGCTAAAGACCCATACATGCAAGCGAATTATTGAGATAAAATTGAACCATTTTAGTCCTGAAATGACCTAGTTCTCTCTCTCTCTCACTAAACACCAGAGTGTTATTGCTTTGATCTCAAGATTTTAGATGTAGTTTCCTTATGTAAGACTGCAGAACCACCACTATCCAAGTACAATATCCATCACAGTGCATGGCATATGTCGATCTTCAGAAGCCTAGTTGGTACATGTTAAACCTCATTGTATTTCATTTTGTATTCAGTCTCACTTTATGTAAGAAATAGGTTGTAACAACCTAAGAATGTTCTAGGTACATCTGTTGGATGCAATTATGAAATTAATAATGACCATTAATGAATTTCAGGAACCTTTTAATCTTCAACTTAGAGTTTTCTTAGATGAAGTTGGTCAACAGATTCTGGTACCAACAATTCGCAGGTAACTACTGCATATTATATGCTTACAAAAGCTATTTGAATATACAATTATTTGTATATGATCAATTGTTAAATTTTTTTGGGTGTATTTTCAGACCAATGTATTTTTCCATTGAATTACAGTATGGTTGTTTAATTGACATCGAATTTCGAATTTTTAATAATTTTTTTAAATGCGACTATTCAAATATTTGTGCGAGTACGAAATATTACACTGATTGAACAATGCTTAATTAAATATTTCAGTTATTTAAAATTATATACTACTCTACCTGTTTATAAACTGGCTGCTTTCATGGATGTTGTAAGTATTTAACACACTTTAAAGAGGGAGAAGAGGTTACTTGATATTCAATTATGTTGGGGTTTTCCCTTTTTATACGCCCACATGGAAATGTGGTCGTATATTGCCATCGCCCCCATCCGTCGTCCACAATTTCTTGTGAACACTCTACAGACTACATTTATCATCTGATTTTTTTGAAATTGATATATGTTGTTTGCATTAGTGAGATGAAGAAGCCTATTTAATTTCAATAACTTCGGTTAATTTTATCTGGAGTTATGGTCCTTGTTTCACTTTGTTGCACCTTGTGAACGCTCTAACGACAAAAGTTATCAACCGATCTGTATGAAATTTATATGCATCATTTAAATTAGTAAATCAAAGAAGCCTATTGAATTTCAGCAATTTCCGTTAATTACATCTAGAGTTATGGCCCTTGTTTCACTTTGTTGAATCTTGTGAACGCTCTAATGACAACAGTTATCATCCGATCTGTTTGAAATTGATATGCATCATTTAGATTAGTGAAACGAAGAAGCCTATTGAATTTCAACAATTTCCGTTAATTACGCCGTGAGTAATGGCCCTTTTTTCACTTTGTTGTACCTTGTGAATGCTTTAACGACAAAAGTTATTATCAGATCTGTATGAAATTTATAGGTATCGTTTAAATTAGTAAAACAAACAAGCCTATTGAGTTTCAGCAAATTTCCGTTAATTACATCTAGAGTTATGGCCCTTGTTTCACATTGTTGAATCTTGTGAACGCTTGAATGACAAAAGTTATCAACCAATCTGTTTGAAATTGATATGCATCATTTAAATTAGTGCAACGAAGATGCCTATTGAATTTCAACAATTTCCGTTAATTACGCCGTGAGTAATGGCCCTTTTTTCACTTTGTTGTACCTTGTGAATGCTTTAACGACAAAAGTTATTATCAGATCTGTATGAAATTTATAGGTATCGTTTAAATTAGTAAAACGAACAAGCCTTTTGAGTTTCAGCAAATTTCCGTTAATTACATCTAGAGTTATGGCCCTTGTTTCACATTGTTGAATCTTGTGAACGCTTGAATGACAAAAGTTATCACCCAATCTGTATGAAATTCATATACATCATTTAAATTAGTGAAATGAAGAAGCCTATTGAATGTCAGCAATTTCCGTCAATTACTTCTAGAGTTATGGCCCTTGTTTTACTTTGTTGAACCTTGTCAACGTTCGAACGACAAAAGTTGTCATCCGATCTGTATGAAATTGATGTGTATTATTTGAATTAGTAAAACGAAAAAGTCTGTCAAATTTCAACAATTTCTGTAGATTACTTCCAGAGTTACAGCCCTTGTTTTAGATTTTAGAACCTTGTGAACCCTCAAACGACGAAAATTATAATGTCATCTGTATGAAATTGTCTATTAAATGCCCCCTAATTACCTACAAAAGAACAAATATACGACAACTCTTGTCGACCGCTTGGACGATTTAGCTGCTGTGGGCGTATGTTTAGTTGCCTGGCAACCTATCTTCTAAATATATCAATAAAGTAGTAACTTGTTGGTATTCAGACAATGAATTTCAGTAACTAATTCCAGAGTTATCATTAATAGGAATACTGTTCATCTTGGTAATGGTTGGTGGGGTTATTTTTTTTATCAGACTGTCCAGGTTAGGGACTATTAAAGATTTAAATGAAAAGTGTTGGCACATGCCCAAGTTCTAATGTCACTAATATGGGAAATCTGACTGAACATACTAGATGCAGATGTTGGGGGGGGGGGGACTCAGAAATTTGTCAAATCTACTGAGGGGTTTGCGAGTGGTAAAAGGTTGGGATTAACTGCACTAAGACATTTTAATTTTTATAGTTTTATAATCCTATATTTGATCAAAACAAAAGCCCAGACTATTTATTATTAGATCATATCATATATGCAAAATATTTTCTTCAGAATGAAGATGTATTAAAGACACAGTTAATGTGCTTTAAGGTAAGTCTATGTGTAAATACTTCAGATAACTTGGTATCATTTGTGTTATCGTACATACATCTGTACATTTTGGGCATACCGAGAGATACAGAATTGATCACCGTACTTCTTCAATATAAACAGCATCAGCATAGAATTGGAATTGTATCTAACATATCACATTCGAAATTCTAAGCATTTCTTAAAGGTTTTAAAAGCTCTGTGTGAACAGATGACAAGCCAGTTTATTTATATTCAACAGTAATGGGTATTTATAAAAATCCATTGCATTGTGACATAAGTTTTCTTTATGGCCTGGATGTCAAGAACTATTGCCTGGGAAGTCCTATTGTTGATAAAGTTGTACCAACACCAGAGAGAGAGGCTAGTATCCCTCGTTCTCGACGTGTCACTACTTTTATTGTATTTTGTAGCATAAAATGAAGAATGTTGTGTGGACTAAAGGTACAAGTGGTTTAGATGGAGAATTCCAATCAGCATCTGAAGTAGATTTCTATATAGACAGAGTAAGTCATAATGGGAACATTATTTTAGGTCCATATTATATATCATACCGTTTTGGTTTTTAACATTTCATTAATAAATTTTAAAAATACCATGACCATTGCAAGTTCAAATTGTCTGATTGTCACTTGCATTTTTCGGACAATAACTAAGTTAATTCACACGATAATGTACCATACTCAAATTGATGGTAGATAATCTTTCAACTTGGATTCAATCTTGAGGATTATAAAGATGCCCATTATACAAATCTAATAGATTGCTGCTGGTTTGTTTATAACTTCTGCAGAAGATACTGAATTTTGTGAAATTTTCAATTAATCATTTTGTTTGTAAATACTTAATGGGTTAGAACAATTATTGGACTGATATTCCAGAGACTTGACTTTCACAATATTGTTATTTGCAAGGAATTCATCCCTCAAATGATGATCAGCGGCTACCAAGGAGTAGCTTGTCAATTAAAGGTTTAAGATGTATAATCTATTTTGAACAGTATAATCATATAAATAATAACCCACAAGATATATATGATTTCACACCATTAGGCAACACAAATAAAATAAGTTGTTTCTCGGGCACCGCCCGCACGCAAAATTGGTTGCGCGTGCGGCCTATTTATTAGTCTTGATGAAAAATAAAAAATATGTAACGCCCGCCCGAACATCGATAAGCAAGTCATAAAAAAAATATGCCGCATGTATTAAACTCATTCAGATGTAAACGCTCATTTACGGGTCTTTTTTATTGATATCGAAAGAACCTCCATTTTTGTATCACATGATTTTAATTACCTCCCCTTGTGAACTAGAATTTGATTCGTGTTAAACACCGAAAGTCATTGACAACAATGCAATGTATTTCAATCATTCGATCTTAATCGGCTCATTATTGCCGGCTTCAGTCGGTCCATGTTTGAAAAAATCCTACTTATAAAACAATGAATCGTAGAACAGGTTAATTATTATAACTTGTGGCTACGAATACGATACGATGATAGTCACCATACCTTAGTCAGAATCTGGGTCATTAGCACATTTAACGGTAGTTTTGATAATCCGGAAAATAATAATTGGATTACACATTTGATGGTTTTACTGACGAGTTGTTAGTTAAATTTAAATAGTCATTCGATATAAACCCCAGATAGAACACCGAATATCCTGAGAAACACCAAATATCCTGAGAAACAGTCATTTCACGAATCCCGATGACACGTGACATGCATTGGTTGGAATTAGGTCAATCATTATAAACCAGCGATACTAGATTTAGATTGAAGTGTCAGTTTCCGTGATGATTATTTTTGATACACATGATGACAGAGGCTTACTCTTTAAAATATTGTCGTTATTATGGACGGCTATTAATAGTCGTACGGAATTTTATTTTAAAACAATTTCAATTATGGTTATTACCATTAGTAAGCTACATTATGTGAATTAAATGTGGAAAATTATTTTCCTTTCAGTCAGTGTTCAGTGTTTGAGTAGACTTGATTTTTGGGTTTATGTTCTAAGTATGTATAATATATAACTGAAAGCAAAACCGTAGACAAGTAATGACTTTCTCATTAAAAAAAAAAAAAAAATACAAGGCCGCCCTCCCGCCCCAACAATTTTCAACAATAGGCAAATTTTATTTTGCACCATCCTCTAGCCAGAAATGAGATAAAAAAAAATAAATAAACCGCCCTCCCCCCCTACAGTTTCAGCTGTCAGTTGCCCGAGAAACAAGACATTTATTTTGTGTAGCCTTACTGAATAATTGAGACAAATAAATCAGTGCTATTTATTTAAAATACGCATAGAGATCATGGTATTTAGAAATTCTTAATAACTCATGAAGTAAAATTTCACACTAAACAGCAGTGAATATTCGCTAGGCTGCTACAATCACTGATAAGGATGACATCGATGCGACTTAATGAGCTACAAATATTAACTTTTTTCCTCCGACAAATTAAATTCCAAAACATTTTTTTTATGTATTAGAAAAATAAATAAAGAAGTTTTAAGTATTTGTAGGTAAAAATTATTTCCTATTTAGTATAAATGGGTATTAAAATGAGTATAAGACACCATTCTGCCCAAACCAGTAACGTCTTATGTAAACAATGCACATGCCAATGATGTGACGTCATGTGTTGAATGCAGTCATCTTTTACAGAGATATTAGAAGACTTTCGTAATCCTCTGTGAAACAGATTGGTAAAATTCCTGTTAAAATGTGTTCTTTTGTTATTTATTACAGGACATGATTCATGTAGCCGATACTAAAGTAGCTAGAAGATATGGTGATTTCTATATCAGACAGATACATAAATTTGATGAGGTGAGTCAACTGGTTTTTGCATCTACTGGTAGATTTAACAGACTTGATAGTAAAACTCAATTATCATTGTACAAGTCTAAATAGTTTGTCCAACAATTAAATTGAAAGTGAAGTTAACTAAAGGACAAGGAAAAAAAAGCTTTGTGCTCTTTTTAAACTTATCACATTATTTGTACTCACATACAACTCTCTTCGTTGTGAATTTTCTCCATTCCATTGATAGGCAACTTAAATTACTGATTGCCATTCTTGCTGGTTAAATAAATGAAATGATGTTCAATATCCTACTTTTCTGCATCTACTGGGTCAATAGAGACCAGTGTGCACAGGTGGAACTGGGATTTCCATCTCAACCGAACGCCTAGACAACATTTCCTTCTCAGGTGCTCTGACTGCCTCAACTGACTAGGAGAATTCAGGCTGGAAATTTTTCTTAGCCAGCACGGGGAACCCAGGAACCTCCTGGATAGTGAGCTAGCGTCAAACCCACTGAGTCACCATCTAATAATCTGATAAAAGCCTTTTATCCATATCCTCCACAACCTCGGAAGCGTGGTAAACATGTATTTTCCTAAACTTCTCTAATCATATATAGCAGTCTTTAGTTTAATAATGTTACAGGTATGAGAGCCACATGGCTATAATGCCAGCGCTATAATAAGACAATTATATCATGTATTTTTCACTTTTTCAGATTACAAGGACGTTAAAAATGCAGTAGAACTAATACAAGATTAAAGATTTGTCATAAAATAAAAATATCAAAAAAATATTAAATTAAAATAAATTGCTTATCATTCTTATGTAAATTTACTGAAAGGGCAAAATAAATCATACTGCCTAATTTGTAAAACACTTGTTATAAAAGTCAGTAATCAGAAAACTGGATGCTTTATAGTGGACAATATTTTAAATCCTCGTGCCATGAATAATAAGTACTGTTACACTTCAGTAATATTGAGTAACAAATATTTCATAAAATATTTCATTTTGATATGTGAATCTGCCTTACTAGCATGCTGAAATTTGATTTAATTATATAATGGAATAATAAATAAAAACTCTGTATATATGTGTTTTTTATACGCCCATATTAAATCTGGACATATTAATGTTACCCATGTCTGATATCTCTCTCAAATATCTTTTGAAAACCCTACATAAGAATAGAATCTGTACAATACAGAATGTTTTGATTGCAAATCAAAGAGTTATCTCACCATCTGCATTGGACTTTGTCCATTCATCCATCCACAATTACTTGTAAACACACTAGACAAGAATGATTTAAGATATTTTTGAACTTTGATTATGTTGTTCAAATGCTGACTTTATTACGAAACGCTCATTTTTAAATTTTGGAAGCATTTTCGATTTGGTAAAAGAAAGACCCCTATTGACAATAACCTTCAAAGTAATACCACTTCATTGCCTAATCTTGTTACCAGTAATTTTGCCGATTGTTTTAAAAGATAGGATTGCTACCACTGAAATATACGTCCACATTCTTGCTTTGATTGATATGGTACTTTTTTTTAAAAAGATTGAGAATGAAATATGAAATGGCTGCAACGAACAATATGACAAGAGGCTAAGCGTTGGGTTTGTTTTGCCAAATTTACAGGGGAGCCAAGGTGGCTAAGTGAGTAGGTTGCAGGTCAATCCTGGTGTTGGCGTGGTTTTCCATTGTCAGTGGTGCATGACAAGGACAGCTGTCGCTCGTTTGGATGGAACGAAAAACATTAGGCCGTAGTGCCGCTGCCCAGGCAAAATTTCCTTTATAGCCCACTGTATGCCGAATGCTCATCTTCATTAGCCAAATCGGAGTAGGACGTTAAACCCCATTTCATTTCCAAATTTACAGACTAAATATTAACAAAACAAAAAAGTGGGTGTGACACCGCCCTTGGGGGTTGGGGCATGCACAAATAGTTGGTGTTCTTACGGTATAAGAAATAAATATGCCAAGTTCCAAGATGATCCATTCAAAATCCATCATGTAGACAAAAATTGGCCTGACTGCCCCATTAGAATTTGTTTGGCTTTCAGTTCTGCCCATGCTAACGTTTAGTATACGAAACATTTAATATCATGGATTTAGCTGTTCAAGTTATCAATATACTTGCTCATCTCTGTGTATCAATCTAAAGTCAATCAGATGATAACTTTGGTCTCTAGAGCATCCACAAGACTTTTCAAAGTGATCATGGGCCATTAAACTCTGGTAGTAATTATCGGAAATCATTGAAAATCACTGGGCTTCTTCGTCTCACAACCTTAAACACTGTGTTTAAATTTAAAGTCGATCGGATATCAACTTTAGCCTCTAGAGTGTCCACAAGCAATTATGGAAGGGGGGTGTCCACAAGATATTTTGAAGTGATCAAGGGCCATAACTCTGACAGTAACTATCGGATATCGTTGAAAATCAATAGGATTCTTCATCTCATGACCTTAAACACTGTGTATAAATTTTAAGTCAATCTGATATTAACTTTAGCCTCTAGAGCGTCCACAAGATTTTTCAAAGTTATCAAGGGCCATAACTCTGGCAGTATTTATCGGAAATCGCTGAAAATCAATAGGCTTCTTCGTCTCATGACCTTAAACACTGTGTATAAATTTAAAGTAAAATTTACTTTAGCCTCTAGAGCGTCCGCAAGCAATTGTTGACGCCGGATGGACAGGGGGCCACGACAATATACAACCACATTTCAATGTAGGCGTATAAAAATGATTTAATTCCATGTAGTATATCTGCTTGAGCGTAACGAGACTTATTGGTAGCAGGAAAACCTAATAAGCTTAGTTTAAATCCACGCTTGGCTATTATCTGGCGTTTTGATTTTGTTTTCTCAATTAAATGTTAAATCATCAATCTGAATACATATTTGATATTTTAATGAAAATGCCAATGACACATCAAGCCTTACACATTTTTTGATCAGAACTGGTCCCCAAGGGCTTCTCATCTTGTTCTTCTTTTTGGTGTTCTTGGGGGCGAGGCTCTCAAAAAAAAAGCAAACCCTACAGTTCTACCAATTCATGTACAACAGACATGAACCTTGGCAAGTTTGTACATTTGACGTCAATTCCTGGTCCAAAGATGGGCAAGTTGATTAACTTAAGCATTTACATATATGACATTTTATTCAAACATTTGTACCCACTAAACAGACTTGGATAATTTCTTCAACATAGATTCTCTGTAAAAGGCAATCACATGTTTAGAAGCCTCTCTACAAGCCATTAAACAAGATTGAAATTGTTCATTGGAAAAACTACCCGATGTCGAGACAGTGATAACATTAAAGTCTTTACTATCGAACACAAATGTTAATATTGCCACACTTTTCTTTTCTTGTTTCAAGTCTGGATCTAGAGTAATTTCCCCTCTATCTGATATACAACAAGTAACAGCAGCTATCAAATATTTGAGAGGAATGCTGGCATCAAGAAGTGCTAAGCAGGCAGAGTTAATACAACACGAAAGAAATGATCCACTGTTTTGCATTTCTTGAAGAATTATGTCTATTCCAGTTCTTGGATGAAGGCCTGACAAAATCACTGTTTCGCAAGTGTTCCGGATCAATCTTTCTTTCAGTTTGTCTGAACATTTTGGCAATCCAACTTTAGGTTTATATGTAACTTCTACTGTAGCTTTGTCAATTATTTCTTTGGATATGCGAACATCTCCGGGACCATACATAGAAGTTATCACAGTTGTGTCCCCCTGTGTTAAGGTTGCAGAGCCGTCAGACCTTGACAAATGACCTAATTCACATGTCATGGGTCGAAGGTCATGTGAAGTTCTGTCAACTTCCATCTTTTAATTTTCTAATGCTGAAAAAATAATTTTCTAAAATTAAATATACAAAAGTCACAAAAAATTTATTAATCAAGTAACGAGGTAACTCAGGGAGCAAAGATTCGCTGCACTGTACAGTTGGAACTGCAAGCGAATAAAATTGAACACTGTCGAACCCATAATTTGTCTCAGGGTCTCTGTTACATTGTTAATCAATTACTAACAGGTGTAAACACAAACTGCAATCAAGTGTTGAGTTGTAGCTGTCAAGTCTAGAAAACTTTGAAGAATATCAAGGTAAGGCCAATAGGAATGGACATACGGAATTATTTGATATGTGGGGGGGAGGGGGTGAATTTTTTGCCTAAATATCACCAGATAGGGGTGAGAGAATCATGCTGGCATTGTGAATAAGCCATTCATGATCCAGATCATAGGTTCGCTCTCTATGTAGACTGAGAAAGTTACACAGGACTTTTCAGCATGACCTAGCTACAAAATGTATCCTTAAACTGAACTGTCTCGGCCAATGCAGGGATTGAACACCCGCCGATCTCCAGGCTAGGGAGCCAGTGTCTTACCCACTTGGCCACCGTGACCCCTATCACAACACAGACTTTTATTTATCTTTAAGGCCTATTTAAAGAATTGTGTTATTTTATACTCTTCCGTTCACCATCATTAATATAGAAATATTAGTTTATTTATAGTACTACTATTGTAGCAAAGTCGTCCGAAATCAAAGAAAAAAAAGAAGCATTGTCATTCTTGGTTATCTTTATTTCTTGGGTTTATTTTTAAAAAATTTGAATTTTTAAAAAAAAAAACAAACTTAAGAACAAAATTGAAAAACGTTCTGGATTAGGGTAGATCTACGTCTAGTACTGACTACTAGTACTAGGTCAAGGTGTAGTAGTAGTACTAGTCTAGTATAATTATGAATAAAATGTCAACAAAAAAAAGTTTATGATGTTTACGACAAGCCTATCTTATCTCAAGTTTACTAAATGTCATTGTGCTTGATAACGATACGAGGATACTTGTTCAAACGTCGTGCTTTTAGAATAAAAATAGCGATTGTTCCAATAAAAATGTTCTTTAAAATGTCCATGATGACCCGAGGTGAAGACTTGGGTCAATGACCGGGGAAAAACTAGACGTGACGTCACCAATACGTAAATTATATAAATGTATTTGATCGCTTTAATTGTATTAGATGTGTGCTTAATTAGCTGACAATATAGGAAGAATTAGTTTTATCCAAACTCGTGGCTATACATCAGAAAATTACCAAGTAAATTAAAATCAAGAAAATTGATAATAAATTCTCGTGGATACAAACCACTCACCGAAAACGTGCTTTGTGAGATAAATATTTCTACCTGCGATATTTGCGCGAAACGAAGTATAGTTTCTTTCTGTATTTTATTTGACACAGAGAACAAACAATTAAACAATTGTTAAATATTCAGTAATCTTGCTGAAAAAACATTAAGTTTTACTGAAGTTGTGCGTATTTCAAGTAATTTAGGAAGAACAAAATTAATGTAACTCAGCCCCCCCCCCCCCCGGGATTGTTAACCCGACCAACAGGCAAAAGTTTCTGTTTTTACTAACCTGGCATAGTCTACAGTAGGCATTTTAGAGCATTGCCCCCCCCCCCCCCTTGCCCCCTTTGGCTACGGGCCTGATTTCAGACTCTTGCATAATGTATGTTTAAGCAAGGAACTAAAATTAAAGAGTAAAGACACTGAATAAATTTAAGAGCTATTTGGTTTTCAGTACTTTTTAACCCAATTGATCGAATCCAAGCCGGAAGATAAAAATTATACAAAGTTTTATATTTCAAAGAAAAATGTACACTCCCAAGGCTACAATTAATAAAAAAGTTAACCTGGATTAATATAGATTAAAACTTTTCTACCGCGATTAAGGGCTTAAACTGGGAGACGTAAAATAGGCAACATCAGATGAAACATTATTGTCAGCAATTTCAAACCTCATTAACAATTAGGTACTACTTTCTGTTGTTATGTCAACTTATTTTATGACAGATGCCTAGGCCTAGATGTGTTTATAACTTAATAGATTTACTTCCAATCAACACCAACGCCATTGTTAGGTGTGAAAGCATTTTCATTGTTTTACTAGATTTAATCATGGACCTTATAATACAAGGTCCATGATTTAATCTTCTAAAGATTTAATTGCACTACGAAATCAAATATGAAAATAAAATATGAAAATTTAAAGGAAGAAACCTACCTTAAATTATTGATAATTGAGCCAAATAGTCTTTTTTTGGTTTTATGATAATCAGAATCTGATTTATATTTCTTTTCGTTTGATAGCCGGTATCCAATATTTACTATATGACCTTGTCACTACGTCCTTCTGCCCCACGTGCGTTTCCTCCGCGAGAAGAAAAGGGTACATGCGCTAGAGTTTCATCATATTTCTGTGATTTTATTTAATTATTGCATGGACTTTATTTTACAGTGTTACATTAATGGATTATGTATTTCTGATGTTCGCGGTTTCTGAATAAATCACTTTTTAGGTGTTAATTGAAAGTAATGGGCGTACGAATTCTTATGACGTCAAGATTATTGAGCCAAGCCGTTCGCCATTGTCAGCAATCAGCCAAGTCACTTATAAGAAGAACTTACTGTAGTGAATACGACAGAAATACCATGTCATACAGAGATAGAATGTTCGATAATTCAGGACGATCAGATAGAAAAGGGTATGGGCTGTTTATTTATTGCTTTTTTGGTGTATTTTTTACAAATTGCCGGTTAAATTTGATTTCGGAAAATGATGAGAAAACACGCCACCACGACCATGCATTCGTTATGTAAATTTCGGCCATTTTTCTTTTCCTTGTGAAATTTAAAAATATATATCGGATATTCACCGACATTTTTCTGAAATTGTCTTTTGTGTACCGATAATATTATCTTTGAAACTGAAGTTCACTTTTTATTTCTAGTGTATGTCGATAGTAATGCTGGCGAGACTGTCTTTGTAAAGTTTGTCGATATATATCGGCGATGACGAATCTGCTTTTCCGGTTTCCATTGGCCTGATTTAGATTGATTGCCACTGGCTTATTTTCCGGGTGTGGTTTTTTTTAAAGTGAAACCACGTGTTGTGACTGGAAAAAGGTTTTTTTTAAACATAATTAATCACAAATCCCCTTCTGACTTTGACGACCGTTGCCTTGGCGGTGTTAATCTCTCGCATGGTGTATCTTCGTAATAATTTGAATATGTCAAATATTTATAATCTGGATGATAGCCTACCTCAAGAAAGTTTTTTTATATTTAGTCAAAATTTGGCAATTTTCATTCATCAAAACTGGTCAGCTTTCTAGTTATATTTCTTCGAAGTGAGAAAATTAAATCATGTTTAGAGCTAGACTGTTCAAAACTTGTAGGCGATAGTTAGGTCAAAATCTTTGGAGTTGAAGGTGAGCATTTTCTGCTAAGGAGAGATTAGAAATGGTTCCACTCAAAGGTCGCAGTCATATAAAAATCCACGTTTTACGGAAACTGCGTAATTTACATGCAGCAAATTTCCTGGCGCTAGAATAATTAGATCAGCTTTAGATAACCGATATAATTATTCTATTATCTTTGTTGTAGTTTGTACACTACATCATCAATCTATGTGCTTCACGTTGAATTTACACTACACTATTATGTCAATAAAGACTGGATAAATTTTCTATGTGCCTCGATTAGCTGTCTGCTGGCTTACGATTGTGCCATGGATTTATCATTTGTGACTTGGCCATTGTAATTTAGTATATGGTTTTCTTTGTTCATTGGTTTTGCGCCCGAAACGAGAATGTGGGAATAATAAGATTGTGTTTAGATAGCTGATGGAATTAACTCTATTACATCTTTGTTGTAGTTTGTACACCACATCAATCTATGTGCTTTATGTGGCATTCACACACTGCTAGTGTGGTCTCCACAGGCTTTTATATCCATTCAGTAGCTACGCTATTATGTCAATAAAGACTGGATAAATTTTCTATCCGCCTCTATTAGCTGTTTGCTATATTACCACTCGGCAAACCTCAGCAGATTCCAGTACCTACATCTAGCCTCGGCTGTATGACTAAGTCCGCCATTGAAACTACTTTCAAGTTCCCCGATTGGCAACAGAGTTGCCATGACGACGCCTTTGGGGAATGTTTTATCAAAGATTTCAAAGTCGGAAGCTGTTTTTCACTCCAAGTTTATCGGATTTTCTTTAGACAAGGACATGTTTGCACTGAAAATACTACTCTTCGAACAATGCAATTGGGAGAACTTCTTTCTAAAAGCATCAAATTAGATGTAGATGTTCATTAGGTGAATGTCTTGACTAGTTCAATGATTGACATTTTCCTCGATGCTTTGGGACAAGATCACTTTGATCCAGCTTAGTGTATAGTTTCACAACCAGTTACTCCAAAACCATTACCACGTTCATCATGAACATTTCTTGCCTAGATTAAAGATACATTATGGGAGATAAGATAAAGAGATGGCAGTTCTCGCTATAATAGTTAAAAACTAGATAGTGAAAAGGTAATTAGCTGAAAATTTCAGTCAAATTGATCCACTATGAGCCAAGAAAGAAGCGGGTGAAATTTTTGCAGTCTCGGTCATCATTACTAAAATCATTAATATAAACAGCATAGTCTCGATTATCCACTTTTTTTTATTTAATTATCAATGGCCGTTAGCGGGATATAGGAAACTAATCCAGCCAACATCGAAGGCTAGCCTTGACATCGAGAGTTTATTATGGTCTGGATAAGTAAATTAATGTCTAATTGATAATTTAGATAACATTTCAGGCCAAAAGAAAGACTTGTAATAAGCAGATTTTGCTCTTGCATAATGCATGTTTAAGATTAGATAATCAATATGTCGACGGGGGACATCGGTCTCACTGTTGACTTGTTTTCCCTGAAATCTGATACACTAAATTTTTGCAAACACGTTTGTTTCCATCTTATTATTGGTGCAGGACAGAGGATCTTAATCGGAAGAGTGCCCAGTCAATCGGATAGGACAACTATTTATAGTCACATGTTTTTGTTACAGATTTGGTGGAGGTGGTCGTATGGGCAATGGCCTACCAACTGCATTTGGTCGAAGTGATCGTGGTGGAGGATATGATAGAAGAGGTGGTGGAGGCGGCCGTGGTGGAAGCAGTATGGGAGGGCCTAGATCCATGAAGGGTTCACAACCAGGAGAAAAACTAAGAAAACCCAGATGGGATTTAAACCGTTTACCAAAATTTGAAAAGAGCTTTTATGTCGAAGCTCCTTCTGTAGCAGCAAGAACACAGGTTTGTACACTTAAATAATTTGGTAGACTAATACGTTTATGTATTTCTGACAGGGAAGTCACAAGGACTAAGTGAGTAAGACACTGGCTCGCTAGCCTGGTGGTTACAGGATCATTCCCAGTGAAGACTGAGAAAGTTCATCAGGATTTTCCGGCATGTGTTCTCCTTGTCATGCTGGGTGGGGACCCGGACAATTGTCTTAGTCACTTGGATGGGACAAAAAAACAAGGTCATGTATACATATTGACGCGCACATAAAATATCCCTTGGCAGTTGATATATAAATCGAACAATAATAATATTAGAGTAAGACAGTAGTGCTGCTGTCTGGGTAAAATGTCCCCCATAGTACACTGTGTGGCATATGCAGAACAGGATATTAACCCCAATTCAGTTCATTTGTATTTCTGTGGTACATGATTTGTAAAAAGACCACTTATTGTAAGGGAATAATTGAATGTAATGGGCGTATATATGCTGATGAGGTTTACATTGTAGGTATTGAGCCATGTCCTCGCAATTTTCAGCAAACGGGTCATTATAGGTGGAAAAGGTGATTTTGAGATTATGATTATACATTTGATTTTATTAGCTTTTCAAGTAGATCTCATCATTCTTCTCACAAAACTTTTTACAGATTCAAAATCTGATGAAAACTTTTTTTTTTATTGAGGCTCAAAGTTGCGATTTTTTACTTTTCGCGGAAGAAAGGTTTTTCAACACTTTGAAAAAGCCATTTTTGGTGTTTTTTGTGATGCCATATTTCATTTCATATCAAACCTATTAAAAATGAAGATGTAAATTCATGAAATACAACTTCAAGGCTAATTATGCTTCAATTTTCACATTTTTGTAATAATTACACCGATTTCCACAGTAACTGCAAAATACATAGGTTTTCTCAAAAATTCCATTTTGTCAGAGCGATTTTGGTCAATTTTTTCATCAAAAATGGTCTTGTGCATGTTATATCTGAAATTTTGAACCTGGTTGTTATGCATTTTAAAATCAGTAGCTATCAAGTATGATTAACGAAAAAAAAAAGAGTAAAAATATATATATGCCTTCTCTCAAGAGCTGAATATATGTTCATTTTTGAACAATTTTCCGCGGCACACAATTGCCTATTTTTGGGGTGTTTTTGGGACATTAATAAAATAAGAAGGAATGGAGATACACATGTGAAATTATGGGAATATGTCAAAAAGTTTGTGAATTTTTAAAATCACTTATTTCCAATCCGCCATATATTATCAATTTTGGTTGTCATAGCAACCAAAATGGAAAAAATGCAATTTTTGACCATTTTCAACGCTACTTACCATAACCCAAAAGGTCATCACCACATTTTAAAGTAAGCAGTTTAAAATATTTGAAACCCATGTAATATTAAATGATATGGATTGTGTAAGTTTGAGAAAAATATGAAGGAGTTTGGGCTGTTACCATAGCAACCACATTTATTTTTTTCCGAAAAGCATTATTTTCCAATAATCATGACATCAATATTGATAATTGTATTATTTTAAAAACGGAAGCTTTTGGACAAGATTTTAAAAAATAAATAAAATGAAAATATTTATATGTCTTCTCCCAAGAGCTGGAAAGGGGTTCCCTTTTGAAGAACATTCTGCAGTAGCTAGTTGTCCATTTTGGCCATTATTAAGACATAAATAAAATATAAAAGGAATTAAGATCTTGAAGATAAATTTTGTTTACAAGTAAATATGTTTGTGAATTTTTAAAATTACTTATCTTTACTCTTGTATATTACTTAATATTTGGTTTTTATAGCAATCAAAACGAAAACAAACACCCCAAAAAAGGCAATGTTATTCCATTTTCAATGATGTTTACCATGACAAACCAATTGATCGCCACATTTTAAGTACAGTAGCAGAAAGCTTTTTAGCATATATTTATAGCCCATGTAATACAAAATATTAAGAATTATATAATTTTAGTGAATTATTAAGGATTTTGGATGGTTGTCATAGCAATCACATAATTTTAAAAAACGGACAACTCTTGTTGCATTATCATTGTTCTCAGCATTCCTTGCTTACATTATTGTTAGAATTCTGCTTTTACATATTATTTTCTACTCAGAAGATAACATTGACCAATAAAAAATTATTCTCTAAAGACTAAAGAGTAAAAGTAGGTTACTCAGTTACTGATAGGCTATGGTAGGCCTAGTCATGTTTATAAAGGCCTAGGCCTAAAAGCTACAATTTAACTCAAAGAATTGTTATGTTTTTACTTCACTTTTGAATATTTATATTATTCCTTCAAATTGGTATGTAGCCCATTGAGCAGCTTCCTTTTTTGTATATTTTAATCAATGTAAACAAATATCGAATCAAGGCCCAATTAAGGCCTTAGGTTTGTCGGTTCATTCAATTGTTTAACTGGCCAACAAATATGTGATACTCGAGGTGTTAAGTATATTTTCCTAAAAAAAAAGAATTAAAATTATAATAATTAGTATGACAACTGTTATATAATGCTAAATTATTTAGTAAAAACTAAAACGTTTTGCGAAAATTGGGTATCCGTATCAATACTGAGTGATGATAGTAATAGTAATTAGTATTGACATGACTGACCTAATTCATAATCTATGTCGGTTCCATCATCTCAAACGAAATGTTGCAAATCGCCAACGGCAAATCCAGAAATTGAGCCATTTTTCAAATTATTTCAGCTAATTGGTCCAACTTTATATATTTGGGTATAATATCCGTTTACGTGGATAGAAATCGATGTACTAATTATCAGTAGTACCTATACTATCTTCCTCACGCCTGCTGTCAGTACCAAGACCCGTGTGGATGTTTTCCGGTTTCATTTCCATTCGTGTGCACAGAAATGCTTTAAAATTGGGCTTGAATAATTCAGTGAACAGCGAATTTATGATTTCAGAGCATTGAAACATTCGTCAATTTTACGGAATTGTTCAATTCTTGAAAAATGTTTGGTGTTAAAAGTAAAGACGTGTGGTCGCCGATAGGAAATTTCCATTCGATTTTATATTTATATCCTGTCACATGGTTATAAAAGCGCGTGAATATGAGTCACGTGATGTAAACACAGTGAACCCAGCAAAGCCAAAAGGCGTGAAAAAAATGGAATTAACTATCCTTATTTATTTTCAGGCAAGTCCTCTATTCATATAACATAACGCTTACTTCATAAATAAACATCGGAGTTGCCTTTCGACGTAATTTACCGCGAATATGAGTCTAAGGAACATGGAATACATTTTAGTTTTGGTGTTGAAATGGCGTCATAACAAGGCTAAACTACGCGATTTATTTTTGACAAAATTTCTCATTGTATACCATTTTCAATTGCTTGGCGGGCGCACTTGCCATGCTCCGATTTTGTTGATTTTAATAGCATCAAAACGACAATAAAACAAACTTTCAATCGGTCGGGGGTGCTATATTGACAAATCGCCTAAAAAAAAGATTGCGTGAATTGAAGCGTTCAACTTGCAAAAAATGCATGGTATTTCGAAATGCCAACAAAGCACCCCCGACCAATTGAAATATCGTTCATTTATCTTTCTAATGATATTAGAATGAAAAAATAATATTAATAATAAGTGCGCCCGCCGAGCACTTGAAGTGGGGTACCCTCGTTTAAAAACGTGACAACATTTTTCAGCGTAACGTCAAAACACGGGAAATTAACGTTTTTCAACTTACGTTTATGAAATTAATAAAATGAACACATATATAAAAATTATATCAAACAAAAGAACAGGATATTGGCTTCAAAAATATTTTAAAATTATTACAAAATATTAAATAGCCACCGTATGACGTTAAGTTGAAAAGGGGTTACAAATCGGGAAAAAATGACTTTCTTCCAACGTGGGCAATGGAGCTGTGACACCTAGTCATTACCAGAACCTATTCAAATGATTGTGGCACAGATGCAATGTCTGACATCGCGTAAAAAGATGTTGCCAAGAAGTTGTCGCTTGTTTTAATGGAATTTAAATTTTATCTTTCAGGCTGAAGTAGATGCTTTCCATCGGGAAAATCAAATCACTCTCAAAGGTGAAAATATTCCTAAACCTCTTTTCAGTTTTAGCGAGGCAGGCTTTCCAGAATATGTTCTACGACAAGTTCGACACAATAACTGGCAAAATCCTACTCCAATCCAAGCACAAGGCTGGCCTATTGCTTTATCTGGGTTAGATATGGTTGGTATTGCACAGACGGGTTCTGGAAAAACATTAGGGGTAAGTTGTCAGTTTAAAATTATTTATATTTCCACATTTAATAACTTGGGCATCTACTTATTGTACTTGTACCAGGGAGCCACAGTGGATAAGTGGGTAAAGACGCTGGTTCAGTAGTCTGGGGGTCTCATGTTTGATCCGGTGTTGACTGAGAAAGTCCATCAGGATTTTCTGGCTTGGGTTCCCCCCTTTTCAGTGGTGCAGGAAGGGGACCTGACAAAGACAACTGTCTAGTTGTTCGGGTGGGACAGAAAACAGGTCTGAAATATACAATACATTGGCATGCATATAAAAGATCCATTGGCAGTTGGAATTCTATATAAAGTAGATCATAGTGCCGCTGCCCAGACAAAATTTCCCTCGTAGCACACTTCATTAGCCCGGTTGGAGCAGATTGGTAGTACATTAAACCCCATTTCATTTCTTGTGCCGGCCTATTTCTTCCAATGAAATTGTCTTCCCCAATTTATTTGATTTCCGTTACCTAGAAAATGGCATTTTACACTTTATTTTGTCTTTAAAATAAATGTTTCATTTTATTCCAGTTTATATTGCCTTCTTTAGTTCATATAAGTGCTCAACCATATCTCGGCCCAGGAGATGGACCAATTGTAAGTACATTTTACTTAATGATATTTTTAGCTCTAGAGGCTAAAGTTAATATCCAACTGACTTTAAATTTAATCAAGTTTTTGAGGTGAAGAATCTCGTTGATTTTCAACGATTTCCGATTATCACTGAAATTGCTTGTGGACGCTCTAGAGGCTGAAGGTTATATCTTTAAATTTAACTTTAAGTTTATACAGTGTTTATGGTCATAAGACGAAGAAGTCTGTTTAAAGGCTATCAATCACTTTTAAATGTCTTGTGGACATTCTGCAGGCTAAAGTAATTATACAATTGACTTTAGATTTATACGTGTGTTTAAGTTCATGAGACGAAGAAGCCTGTTGATTTTCAAAGATTTCCGATAATTGCTGCCCAGGTTATAGCACTTGAGCTATCTTGTGGACACTCTTTGAGGCTAAAGTTGATGTCGGATTGACTTCAAATTTATACAGCGTTTAAGGTCATGAGACTAAGAAGCCTATTGATTTTCAACGATTTCTGATAGTTACTACCAGAGTTATGGCAGTTGATCACTTTGAAAAATCTTGTGAATGCTCTGAGACCAAAGTTATCATTAGATTGATACAGAGGTTAAGGTCTTGAGACGAACAAGTATATTGATTTTCAATGATTTTTGATAACTGAACAGCTAAATCCATGATATTAAATGTTTCGCATACTAAATGTTAGCATGGAGCAGGACAAATTCTAATGATTTTCTGATAATTATTTCATGAGTTATTTCTCTTAATCAGATTTTAGTGTATTATAAATGTTTCATAACCGACAATCGAAAAAAATTTGACAACTCTTGTTGACTGCTCGCACAACTTAGCTGCTGTGGTGTATGTTTCATTGCATTCTATCTTTGCTTTTGTCAGAGAAAACTTTGTTCTTATTTCAGTGTTTAGTGCTAGTACCAACTCGAGAATTGGCTCAGCAAGTACAAGCTGTTGCACAAGAGTTTGGTCAATTATCAAAAATCAGAAATTGCTGTGTGTATGGCGGAGCACCCAAGGGACCCCAAATACGATCCTTAGAAAGAGGTTTGTACAAACTAACATTTGTGAGATTTAAATTTGTAAAATAAATATTTCTGCAATTATCAAGTTTCCAAAATAACTAAAGCAATTGTTTTAAATATTTTAACTTCTATTGTAGGAGCTGAAATCTGTATCGCCACCCCTGGTAGATTGATTGATTTCCTTGAAACTGAAAAAACAAATTTACGGAGGACCACATACCTTGTTTTAGATGAGGCTGATAGAATGTTAGACATGGGATTTGAACCTCAAATCAGAAAAATTCTTGAACAAGTTAGAGTAAGTACTTTTGAATCTTTAATATTGGAAGATTGAACACCAGTTGATGAGATGGTAGTTCTAATATGATTACTTATGCCATTTAGCTCAGAGAAATAAATTTATTAGATAGTATTGTCAACAGAAAATAGTTGGCAGTGATTATTTCCAAATATTGATTTTTATATTATGTGACAGAGGTTAGACTGAAATGTATGCATTTGATATAACTAACCCATTTTATTTTTAGCCTGACAGACAAACTCTTATGTGGAGTGCTACATGGCCAAAGGAAGTGCGCAAATTAGCTGAAGATTTTCTACAAGATTATGTTCAGGCTAATATTGGTGCTCTACAGCTAACAGCTAATCACAATATTCTACAAATTATAGACGTTTGTCAAGAATACGAAAAGGAACAAAAGTGAGTATTGTTTACATTTCAGATCTTTTCATTTGTCTCATTTTTGTAATTTGTATTTCATCAGCAAATGTGTCTGAATCTACTCCCAGTACATTTACAGCAAGCTCCAAACTGAAAGTATTACTGAAGTTAAATCTATTGGACAATGTTTCAATCACTACTATATTCTGTTTGTAGATTAATGAAACTGTTAGATGAGATAATGCAGGAGAGAGAAAATAAGACGATTATATTTGTTGAAACCAAGCGTAAATGTGATGATATATCTAGAAAAATGAAAAGAGAAGGGTGAGTGTCATTAATTTATGCAAAAAGAAAACGACTAATATTTTTTCTAAATTAATGTACAGGGTAACAGTTTTTGGTGTATAATTTTATGCGCTTTTGGGCTGCATCATTACTTTATAAAGGAATTATCTGGTTATGCTGTGTGTGGGTATGTGTGTGTGTATATATATATAATATTGTATTCCAGGTGGCCTGTTATGGCTATTCATGGTGATAAATCGCAACAAGAAAGAGATTGGGTTCTTAGTGGTGTGTATAAATTCAGTTTTTTCTTTTGGCCAAATTTGATGTATAATGTATGCAAACATAAGAATGACTAATAGTTTTGATTAACATTCAACCGTCATGTTATTTTATCTTGCCGTGATTTTTGTAGAATTATCTTGCCGTGATTTTTGTATAATTGACTTAAAACATTCCATGTTTTTCAGAATTCCGAACTGGAAAAACACCAATGATGATTGCTACAGATGTTGCTTCTAGAGGGTTAGGTAGGTGATCATTGTCTTGATAAGACAATCAAAGCTGGCTGTGTTCAATTTTAAAATAAAATCTTTTTACAAGTGATACTTTAAAGGATCTAGATTCCATTTATGTAGTAAAGTTTATCTAGACTTTTTGTAGCAGGAAATGAATTAAATAGTTCGGCATGACTGATTGATTAGGGCAGGAGAGAGGGAGGAGAAAGTTCTAAACCCTGATATAGTTTCTATTTATAGTAACAAGGGCTGTAATGTCTGGATTAAAATCGTAAGTAGAAAAGGTTGGCAAAGAGGTGGCGTTTATTTTATTTGATAATAAACTTTGATAATCACGTTATTGTGCATTATTTTGACAAATAAAATTTTATCTTTTTACTAAAATCTGTTGTTAATGCTTATAATGTTAGCTACAAATATCGTACTATGATAAATGTTGAAAAACAAGTTCAATTGGGATTTATGAATTGCAGTCGTAGCTGTTACTCAAATATATTCATCTATTGCCACTAGAAAGCCACCTTACCAGCTTAACAGTATTAAAATATGCGCGTGTGTTCCTCCCTCAAATTGCTTTCAGAGTCATGTCGGAGTACTGTAGTAGCCTGCTTTTTGTGTCCAGCCTGGCACATGTTTATATTTTACACTAGTTGAATTTAAAACAACATTGTGGGACTTTGCTTCATCTGTTTTACAAAAGACTGCTGTAGTTTCTCTTTGTCTTGCCAATTATTATTATACCTAAGTGCTACATATGGTAAAGAGTGCTGTAAAATCCCTTCTATAAATAGCCATTGATCTGTGAAACGATGGGACTTGGTCGTGAGGAGACCAGGCTACTCATCTATACAGTTTATAAGAAGACTGTTTTGAAAACTAAAGGATTATCCAGTCAGTTTGTAGCTCCCAGCTTATCACACGATTGGCAAGTACGAGAGGAAAGCGGTTTCTGAAACGAATGTGATGCAAAGTGCCTAATGGTATCTCATGCACGCTCCCTGAATACTAGACAATGTGGGGCCTTCCTAGGGTTTTCTTTCTTGCACGAAGAATTAAAGAAACCTGAAGGTAAGTGCTTTAAGTTCTTTAACCCTGGGACAATATAACTCCAAAATAATACGTTCTGTCCAGCCCTTCGTGGGGAGTGTGCATAATGATTGTAAGGTTCAATTATTTGATATTTCAGGACTGGGTGATCCCTAAATAAACTGTCGATTCAAAAATTTAACTAATTTAAGAAATGTTTAAACTTTGATTTGTATATATTGCGATGTTAAGTTATTGAAATTCAGACAGTAAGTTTAGGTTGTTTCCAATTAATAAAAAATACTTTTCAATTTTTCACAGGTAGCAGTGTTAATATTTTCTATCTAAAGATCCATTGCTAATCTTTGTTTTCTTATTTTTCTTTCCCTTGTGGTGATTTTTCAAACACCATTTCACAAATTTAGATGTGGATGATATCAAGTTTGTGATAAACTTTGATTACCCCAACTGCTCAGAGGATTATGTACATAGAATTGGTAGAACGGCCAGATCCAACAACACAGGAACAGCCTATACATTCTTCACCCCTGGTAATGGTAAACAAGTCAATGATCTGATAGGTGTATTGAGAGAAGCCAACCAGACCATCAACCCTAAATTAATCCAGTTAGCAGAGAGTTCCCGTCACATGATGGGAAAAGGTAGGAATCGCTACCTATCCTTTAACAAGTAGGTTTTAGTTGTTCTCTTTACTTGCCTCGACCACTGTTGATGTGCACCTTGTTCATGGTTCTACACACTGTCACAGACTAAACTGATGGTAACGGTCGCTGTACACCTAATTGTTAAAACTGTCCTTTACCAATTGTTGCTTGAATTGTATATGATCTCTTTATAATGTAACGGTGTGTGTTGTAGCAGGCTTATGTTCGTGAAATAAATCCAGTCTTTTGCATGTACAAAGTTTGGAAACAAAACCATTTGTGTAATGTTGGCACAGCTTGTGAAGCACACTTGTTACATTGCTTTATAGATAATCCAGTGGCAAATTGGTTTTCATTCTGATGTATTCATCTAGTAAGTTTAGAGAACACAGAAAGCACTTGTGAATTCTTTTTGTTTAATATGCACTTTTAATACATTTTAGACATTTGTAAATTTTCATTTAAAGTTTATAAACTATTGTTTTTGTAGGCCGAAGCCGATGGGGAGATCGCAAGGTTGGGAGCAGAGACAGTGGTAGCCGGTTTGGTGGATTTGGGGGTGGAAGTAGCCGAGGTAGTGGTGGAAGTCGCGGTGGTTATGGTTCTAGTGGGGGATCTAGTCGCGGAGGTGGATCTTATTCCAGTAGTGGAGGGGGGTCCTCTTATTCAAGTGGAGGTAGCAGTCGTTTTAGCAGTCAATCTCAATCATCATCTCGTGGTGGATCAAGAGGTGGTGGCGCTAGTCGCGGTACAAGTTCATATTCCAATCAGGGTAGTTATGGAAATAGAAATCAAAATTCCTACAGCAGCGGTGGCCAACAACAACAGCAACAACAACAAGGGTACCAAGGCTACCAACAATCTTACCCACAGAGTAATGGAAGTCAGTACGGCTCTCAACAACAATCATCTGGTACAGATCTCAATAACATGGCTTACATGTACAGTCAGTGGATGTCACAAACTCAGCCTGCTTCAACTGCAGCAACTACAACAGCAGCAGCGGCTCCTCCTCTCCCCCCATCATCGGCTGCACCCCCTCCACCACCACCACCAGCAGGATATTAAAATCATTCAATTTGTAAATATTTTAAATTATGTCAACTGATATTTGTACATCTTTGTAAATCGTATGATAACTTTTGTCCTTTTAGTAGTGTCTTGATTATTCAGTGAAGTATTTGCCCCTCCAGACCTATTGTAGTGGACTTTATTCTTTTTCCAAAAGTTTTAGTAAAAGATAAACAAAAAATCAAATGGATGTCCTCTATTTTAGTGCTAAGACTCGTTTTATTGTAAAGTTTAAGATCATTTTAATCATTTCATAAAGATCACCATACTCATTGCTTATATTGATATAAATTCTTGTGTATATGTCTAGATAAAAAATAAATATTTGAAAAGAAAATATAGTCTCGACTAAGGTTCATTTCCCCAGTTTTTTGTCAGTTTCAGTTTGGCATTGGGTTGCATAATTTTTAAATCTTGGACATTGGCAGGACGTTGTTGACGTTGACGTAACCTCTGTCCAAGCATGTCCCAGACATGCTCGATGGGGGAGAGGTCGGGACTCAGTGCTGGCCAAGGTAATGTGGTGATGTTCTGTTGTTGGAGGTAACCTGTAACGATCCTGGCCCTGTGACATCTTGCGTTGTCATCCTGGAAGATGAAACGGCGGCCATGACGTCGTGCGAACGGCACAACATGGACTGCCAAGATGTTGTCCCGGTAGTACTGGCCTGTAACACGCCCTGCAACAACATGTAAAGCCGTTCTTCCAGCAACAGTGATGCCTCCCCACACCATAACAGAACCACCCCCAAATCGATCATGTCTGATGACGTTAACGTCTTGGAAGCGCTCGTTTCGACGACGCCACACCCTCCTTCGTCTGTCCAAAAAATCAACAGTGAACCTTGACTCATCTGAAAACATCACATTGCTCCAGCGTCGATTATCCCAGTGTTGACGATCCCTACACCAACGACGTCTTGCCTGAATGTGATGATCTCTCAAACAAGGGATCACGCGAGGACGTCGGGCGCGAAGGTGACCCCTATGCAGTCGATTCCGAATCGTCTGGCCACTCACTCTCACACCAGTGTCTGTTTGAAGACGAGCGCTGATCTGATTTGCTGTGACGACACGATTTCTCAAGGCCAAGGTACGGATAAATCGATCCTGGGCTTGAGTTGTCGCCCTTGGTCGACCTGAGCGTGGTCTGTCCTGTACAGATTGTGTATCACGGTATCTGGACCATAACCTGCTTATGACAGACTGAGAAACATTCATCGTCCGCGCCACAACCGCCTGTGTTGTGCCGATCTGTAGCATGCCAAGGGCACGTAACCTTTCATTTTGGGTAAGCCGACGCATATCAAAATTTGTTTTCTGGTCACTAAAACAATTAAACTGATGTTTCCACCCTGGAATTCAATGCCACAATGACTAACATTCAAAGTCAGAGTCGTGCAAATCTTGGGTTGGACCCCCATGATGATCCCAAGCATCACCTGCATTCCATGCGGTAGCTATTGGTGCGTTTGGGCGTCACATGTAACTGGAAATGTTTCTTCTGTTAGGTTCTATAGTGACATTTTTCGTAGTCATTTGCATATTTTAGTATTATGCCCCCAAAATCAAATATCCCCTACTTTTTTTGAATAGTATATTTGTAGCTCATTAAGTCGCATCGATGTCATCCTTATCAGTGATTGTAGCAGCCTAGCGAATATTCACTGCTGTTTAGTGTGAAATTTTACTTCATGAGTTATTAAGAATTTCTAAATACCATGATCTCTATGCGTATTTTAAATAAATAGCACTGATTTATTTGTCTCAATTATTCAGTAAGGCTACACAAAATAAATGTCTTGTTTCTCGGGCAACTGACAGCTGAAACTGTAGGGGGGGAGGGCGGTTTATTTATTTTTTTATCTAATTTCTGGCTAGAGGATGGTGCAAAATAAAATTTGCCTATTGTTGAAAATTGTTGGGGCGGGAGGGCGGCCTTGTATTTTTTTTTTTTTTAATGAGAAAGTCATTACTTGTCTACGGTTTTGCTTTCAGTTATATATTATACATACTTAGAACATAAACCCAAAAATCAAGTCTACTCAAACACTGAACACTGACTGAAAGGAAAATAATTTTCCATATTTAATTCACATAATGTAGCTTACTAATGGTAATAACCATAATTGAAATTGTTTTAAAAGATGATGAAACGGCGGCCATGACGTCGTGCGAACGGCACAACATGGACTGCCAAGATGTTGTCCCGGTAGTACTGGCCTGTAACACGCCCTGCAACAACATGTAAAGCCGTTCTTCCAGCAACAGTGATGCCTCCCCACACCATAACAGAACCACCCCCAAATCGATCATGTCTGATGACGTTAACGTCTTGGAAGCGCTCGTTTCGACGACGCCACACCCTCCTTCGTCTGTCCAAAAAATCAACAGTGAACCTTGACTCATCTGAAAACATCACATTGCTCCAGCGTCGATTATCCCAGTGTTGACGATCCCTACACCAACGACGTCTTGCCTGAATGTGATGATCTCTCAAACAAGGGATCACGCGAGGACGTCGGGCGCGAAGGTGACCCCTATGCAGTCGATTCCGAATCATCTGGCCACTCACTCTCACACCAGTGTCTGTTTGAAGACGAGCGCTGATCTGATTTGCTGTGATGACACGATTTCTCAAGGCCAAGGTACGGATAAATCGATCCTGGGCTTGAGTTGTCGCCCTTGGTCGACCTGAGCGTGGTCTGTCCTGTACAGATTGTGTATCACGGTATCTAGACCATAGCCTGCTTATGACAGACTGAGAAACATTCATCGTCCGCGCCACAACCGCCTGTGTTGTGCCGATCTGTAGCATGCCAAGGGCACGCAACCTTTCATTTTGGGTAAGCCGACGCATATCAAAATTTGTTTTCTGGTCACTAAAACAATTAAACTGATGTTTCCACCCTGGAATTCAATGCCACAATGACTGTAACATTCAAAGTCAGAGTCGTGCAAATCTTGGGTTGGACCCCCATGATGATCCCAAGCATCACCTGCATTCCATGCGGTAGCTATTGGTGCGTTTGGGCGTCACATGTAACTGGAAATGTTTCTTCTGTTAGGTTCTATAGTGACTTTTTTCGTATTCATTTGCATATTTTAGTATTATGCCCCCAAAATCAAATATCCCCTACTTTTTTTGAATAGTATATTTTAAGTTTCATCAACACTAGACGGCTAGTGTCCACGACCTTGGTATTACATACTTTTACACCATTTGCATACAAGGAGCGGCCATTTACTCCGGCAGTTTGGGTCAGAATTTTACAAAATTTATCTTAACCTTTTTTGATGTGTAACAGTGATATATTTAAATGGTTTTTTTTAAAATTGAATACAAATTGTGACTTCTAGTGGGGCCACAAGCTAAAAGTGCGATATTTCAAACAATCAGGGGCCATAATCTATGAAGTTGCGATTGGATATGCGCAATTATCGAAAGATCTTTGTGATATAAAAATAAATTTCAAGTTTCATCAAAATTGTGGCCTCTAGAGGGTCCACAACCTTGATATACCACATATTATTTGCACTATTTGCATACGAGGGGCGGCCATTTTGTCCGACAGTTTTGGTCTAATTTTCATGAAATTCAAACTTAACAATCATTAGGGTGTAATAGTGATACATTCAACCGTTTTTTTTAATCGGATAAAAATTGTGATCTCTTGAGGGACCATAAGCTAAAAACTCGATTTTTCTTAAAATCCAAGGCCATAATTCAGAAACCAAGATCTTTGGGTTATACACATGTATTTCAAGTTTCATTGAAATCGGATCAAAATTGTGACCTCTAGTCAATCTGATTAAAACACAGATCCTATTTCGTTCCGTTTTTTTATGGTTCAAAATTTTGTTTTACTTGTCTTTAATACACCAAGATCTACATGAGTTGTTATATACTATTCAAAAAAAGTAGGGGATATTTGATTTTTAAGTGTTATTAAAGTCACCTAATGAAACTGACGAAGAAACAAATGACAAAATGAAATGAAGTTCACATTCATCGATTTATTCCAAATGATCGTTAGACTAAGTAAGGCACAGACTGACCATAATAAGGGTAAAATGATACCCGGGGTCAAACAGCAAAGTTACCACAGCATCACAACCAAGTCAGTAACGGGTAAATCCTCCTCTGTTTGCCAAACAAGCATTGATCCGACGTGGCATACTCCTAATGAGACGTCTAAGGTCATTTTGGTCCAGATTGTCCCATTCCTGTTGCAACGCAGCAGCAAGTTCTTGGACATTGGCAGGACGTTGTTGACGTTGACGTAACCTCTGTCCAAGCATGTCGGGACTCAGTGCTGGCCAAGGTAATGTGGTGATGTTCTGTTGTTGGAGGTAACCTGTAACGATCCTGGCCCTGTGACATCTTGCGTTGTCATCCTGGAAGATGAAACGGCGGCCATGACGTCGTGCGAACGGCACAACATGGACTGCCAAGATGTTGTCCCGGTAGTACTGGCCTGTAACACGCCCTGCAACAACATGTAAAGCCGTTCTTCCAGCAACAGTGATGCCTCCCCACACCATAACAGAACCACCCCCAAATCGATCATGTCTGATGACGTTAACGTCTTGGAAGCGCTCGTTTCGACGACGCCACACCCTCCTACGTCTGTCCAAAAAATCAACAGTGAACCTTGACTCATCTGAAAACATCACATTGCTCCAGCGTCGATTATCCCAATGTTGACGATCCCTACACCAACGACGTCTTGCCTGAATGTGATGATCTCTCAAACAAGGGATCACGCGAGGACGTCGGGCGCGAAGGTGACCCCTATGCAGTCGATTCCGAATCATCTGGCCACTCACTCTCACACCAGTGTCTGTTTGAAGACGAGCGCTGATCTGATTTGCTGTGATGACACGATTTCTCAAGGCCAAGGTACGGATAAATCGATCCTGGGCTTGAGTTGTCGCCCTTGGTCGACCTGAGCGTGGTCTGTCCTGTACAGATTGTGTATCACGGTATCTAGACCATAGCCTGCTTATGACAGACTGAGAAACATTCATCGTCCGCGCCACAACCGCCTGTGTTGTGCCGATCTGTAGCATGCCAAGGGCACGCAACCTTTCATTTTGGGTAAGCCGACGCATATCAAAATTTGTTTTCTGGTCACTAAAACAATTAAACTGATGTTTCCACCCTGGAATTCAATGCCACAATGACTGTAACATTCAAAGTCAGAGTCGTGCAAATCTTGGGTTGGACCCCCATGATGATCCCAAGCATCACCTGCATTCCATGCGGTAGCTATTGGTGCGTTTGGGCGTCACATGTAACTGGAAATGTTTCTTCTGTTAGGTTCTATAGTGACTTTTTTCGTAGTCATTTGCATATTTTAGTATTATGCCCCCAAAATCAAATATCCCCTACTTTTTTTGAATAGTATATAAACTGGATGATGTGAGGGGTTAGCCAATGAACAGATAGATCTGTTAAGGCCAGTTTTTGGCGTGAGGTGCACAGAACTATGGGTAACCAATCAATACTGATTGATTAATCAAATGTTTGACATCATAGGGTCAAAAGCCACTCATGTGACCTCTGACGCGACAAGTTTTATAAAAGTTGTCTACACAAGCTAAAAACATACAATCAGGGGGCATAATCCATGAAGTTATGTCCACATAGGTTCAGAAAATTAATAGGACAAAATTAATTTATTCATTTGCCATTTTCTTCTTCTTAAGAGTGACTGTTTTTTGGTTAAATCTATTTAAGACCACCTCCAGATTTGGTTAAAGGTCACAAGATGTAAAAAGGGCTAGTGCTGCAATACGGTGTGCTATGAGGGAAATTATACTCAGGAGCGGCACTATAGCCTGCTCTTATATCAAATTGCAACTGCCAAGGGATCTTTTACGTGCACATCAATGTATACACAGAACCTCAGTTTTCAGTCCCATCCAAACGACTAGACATCCATCCAATATGCGACCTCAAGGCTAGCACAGACTAGCGTAGGTAGAGTGAGAAAGGAGGACATCAAATAGATCAAACCCAGGACTGCATGGTCAGCTTCATATGATGTAGCAACTGTGGCTCCCATGTGTGAATAAACTATCACTTCATTAATTTTAACAGATTCACAGACCAAGAGGAGCAAAATATTCATATTAATTCCAAAATCTTTAATATTCAATGAATTTAATCACATTTTACTTTAAAAGCTGAGCTATACAAATAAGAAATAATACATCATCAAAAATTATCTTGTAAAATAAATACAAAGTACAAATATTTTGTACGTAAGCAATAATAAGTATGTACATTTGAACATATTATAATATATACCTCACACATTGGGCTAAGCTGAAATATTGTTCTAACATAATATTACATTTAAAATATAAATAACAAAACCTTGAGAAACATATTAACATAAATAAAATAATATTGGTAAATAGCACGATAACCATCTATCCACTATAAATATCAATTCGTAAACATGATTTTAGGACATCAGTATCTTTTGTGAATGGGTCGACACTACCAGGGTTGAAGTCAGTTGCTGAATTTGCAAATAAACATTTGGCATCAGTAAACTTTGTTTCAGGCCACAAACCTCTTTTATAACTTTTCTTTTAATTTGCAATTACAAATTTTGCAGCACACCAAAACTCTTTTTAACAAAAAGTATTTTCAGCTAAATCAATAAAATAATGAATTAAAACAACAATTAACCAAATTTTTGTCACATTTTTTTTTTAAAAAAAATCTTGGTAGTTACACAAGTACAAGGTTTGACAACTGACACATGCTGAATGACAAATGGGTGTTCTAGTAAAATGCTCCTGGTGTAAGCTAAGCAAATGATAGCACTGGCAATAATTACACTCACAGTACATGTATATATTTACTTTTAAACCATGTCTGACATCAAATTAACACTTAAAGGACTCTCTTCTTTGGAACCATAAATAGGTCTTAAATCACATATTAATGTAATATGAGTGTACATAAAGTAATTTATATTCAATTTTTAAAATATTGTAATTTCTAATCAATTATGTTCAGTGAAATATGCGAACAGTCCAAATTAAACAACAATCGTTTATGTCTAATTAGTCCATTCTACACGTTTTATTATTATTTTATCGTTTTATTATTATTTTATCGTTTTATTATTATTTTATCGTTTGTGAATAAGCCATTACTAATTACTCCTGCAATATAATGTATATGTTTTTCTATGTACTGATTTTAAATGTTCATTGTGTCTTAAATACTGAGTATTAGGATCCCACATTTTCACGGCAACATAACAAAATCAATATTGATTGAAATGGACCAATATTAAATTCTAATTGGTGTTTATAATTTCAAATATTATGGAAAATATAGAGTTAAAGGTTTAGTTCCTTCAAATGTGTTCCTTGGACAATTGAAAATAGAGCTGGATTTCTAACAGGGTACCCCCTATGCTTGGCAGCAAAACTTTGCTGGCTGGTATTGTTTTTTAGTCTTTGCAGGAATTTGAACATACAATCAAGCAAGATACATTATCTTAAGGCCCCACTTTTCTGAAAAAAAAAGGTATATTTCTATGTCTGTATAATCAACCACTGTTGAAATCTTGCCAAATGATAAGTTTTGGGTTTTTTTTGCGAATAATCTGTCTGACTCCTCCTACATTCTGAGAAAATTAAGTAGAATCTTTGAGAGGCTATTGTTGTATCATTGCCTTTTACACAAATCAAGGAGATGTTGTTATCCCTTTAAACCCGATATGTTTTTATAACCAGCGGTTGCCAGGCAAGATACGCCCACATTTTGCAAAAGATGGATTGAGAATAAGCTAAATCAATAAAAAAAAGAAAGCGATTTTTTGTAAAATCAGGTGCCATAATCCAGGAACGTATGGTCTGAAATGCACAGATATTGAAAGCTACTGAGATATTTTAAGTTTCATCAAAATAGTGGGTTCACAACCTTGGTATTACATACTTTTACACTATTTGCGTACAAGGAATGGTCATTTTGTCAGGCAGTTTCGGTCTGATTTTCACGAAATTAGAACTCGACCATCATTGGGAAGTAACTAGGAAGTAACGGTGATACATTTAAACATTTTTTAAAATCAGATAAAAATTGTAATTTCTAAAGGGTCAACAAGCTAAAAACGGGATTTTTCGTACAATCACACATATTTGCGTATGAGGGGCGGCCATTTTGTCCGTCAGTTTTCGTCTGATTTTTCCGTAATTCAAATTCAACCGACTTTATGGTGTACCATGATCGGATAATAATTGTGACCTCTAGAGGGACCACAAGCTAAAAATGTGATTGTTCGTACAAACAGGAGCCATAATTCAGGAAGTTACAATCCGATATGCACAAATATCGAAATCAGATCAAATTTGTGACTTCTAGAGTGTCCACAAGCTAAAAATATGATTTTTCAAACAATCAGGGGCCATAATCCATGAAGTTACGATCTGATACTTGCCAATATCGAAAGGAACCAAGATCTTTGGGAGAAAGACCTATATTTCAAGTTTCGTCAAAATTGGATAAAAATTGTGACCTGTAGAGTGTCTACAAACAAATTATGGACGCAAGGACAGGGGCGATGACATAATTTCATAATTGTCCTATGTGAAGAAAATTAAACAACATCCAAATAAAATATACATTAATGCAACCCCCCTCTTGTGAAATTTATAAGATTATTACTATGGTAAAAGTTTCCAACTAAAGCCCAGTCAAATTTACACAACAGGAAAAACAAGAGATCATTTTTTTTCTTGACTATTCAGATTTAACAATCACAACCACGATCATAAAAACACATTCAATTCCAGCAAGCCGATACAACATTTAAAAGCTGAAAATATTCATATCCACTGATTATAATTGACTTTCAACGCCTTAAATGTTGCTATTATTACTTTAAATATACATTTTAAAAATCTTTAAATGACAAAATTTTCTGACAAAGACCTTATTTAAAGTTAGAACAGTTCACAGCGTCTCTAAAACAGTTTAATAAAGCACTTGTAATATTATACTACACAGAAATATCTTTTATGTTAATAATTATATTCTGAAAAGTTTTAACTGGTCAACATTGATTTAACACCATTTAAGAACTCTGACAAAGTTAAGATACGTATTAGGTGAATATAGGTGACATTACAGATACAACAACTATACAATATGATACAAAGGCATCTAGACTTTATATGTCTGCTGGCACCAAGTGTGATATTGCAGATAAATCATGATGAAAATGCATACATTGCAGATGATAAATCATGATGAAAGTGCATTACGGAACAACTTTATATAGCACATGTATATTCTAGATGCCTTTAACATTAGCAGTTCATAAACTTTAAATCTCTGTTCAGAAAACATTTCTTTATTTTAATTTTAATGACCAAAAGACAAACGCTTGCCTTTTTCTTTTCAACCAATGCATAAATGTGCAATAGCTTGAAGCTCATGATTTATGTTTTGCTATGAATGATTTATTTTATATAATAGCTAACACAATGATAGCATAATGATAAAAAAAAAAGTAATATTACACATTTGGTTTTGATATTTCAGTTTGTTTTTCGAATAAATTCTATTTACAAAAAACAGGCCATTTGATATTGAATATGTTTAGCAAGCATGCATCATAAAAATAAAAAGCTGAATTTCGGGTAAGAAAATTAATAAATGTATTGCCAAAAATCATAAAGACATAAATTGAACCTGGTTAAGGTATATGATTTGATGCTAAACTAACGTGCCACAATACTTTCTTACTCCTGAAACGATACAAGGTTTAGTTAATATATTAGTTTTACAATTAATATATGATATATATCGATAGATAATTTATTAGGTTGAACAATTAGTTACAGCTGGGAGGAGATGATACTTCTTCTTAGATTAAAACCCCAATATATTTTATTTAAAGAAGTCAATTTGATACAGCAAATATCTTTAAACATTCAAATTCTAGACTACTGGGATTTTTCCTGGTTATTTAAAGATTCTGATCCTGGTCTTCTACCAATATTTTATTAGCTCTAGGAAAAATGGTTAAATGTTATATTAACTGGTTTTTTTTATTGTGTTAGTATTATTCTTAGCATGCCACATGCAATTAGAGCAAGTTTTTAATGTTAGAAATATAAAACTTTAATCAGTCATCCCAAACACACCTTTCATGCTGCTTTACAGACTAATTATATTTTACTTATAAATGTTTTTATCTGTACAAGTTCAGAATAGGTTGGACCATTAACCTTATAATAGATCTAAGGTTTAACATGGTTGAAACATTATTTTCTTCTCAAAACCCATTCCTGACAGTCAACTAAAACTGACAATCAACTCTCATTCTACTAAAATAATGGGTATATAATACAACATTCAATTCTAAATACCGGTAAATCAATTTTTCTCACCGAAACTATTTCAGACAATTTCTAAATGAGTTAGTACATGTATGGATGGAATTAACCTTACTACAGTATTCTAATTCCATGATGTATGTGACATTAATTTATAATGACTGATGGTACCTTAACCATGAGATAAGACATGATAAATGAAGGATTATGATTTGTATTTCATCATAAATTATATATATTTTTAGATTTATGCATTGTGCTTATATATACATGCAGCTATATATATACTGATCATAATTATAGAAACCTTCACATTTGAAAGAATATTTTAAAGAATGTTTGCATGTACACTTCCAAACTTTCATTTCAATGAAACAAAATTTTTCAATGTACATGATAATTGCAATACAGAGTAATATGAATTTATAGCATTTCTATTTTGTATTTCCTTATTTGTACAAATTCTATAGTTCGATATATACTTAAACAGGGCTCAAATTTAATTAACAACCTAAATTTAAGAAACTGCCTTATTAAAGATGAAAAATCAGTATGTTTCATACTACACAAGAAAGATTGTTACTTTATGGTAACTTCTCTTTGAATTTGAACAAAATTGCTCCGTTCTCAAATGCAATCATCAATTTTTTTTCTTGCCTGGCATTAAGAAGAATCTATTTTGGATATTCTTTTTCTCACCAAAGAATTACAGGGGCTTGGCTATCCTAAAACTGTTTGATGGCTGTGATTTGTTTTATTAGAAATGCTATAATAAAGCTGGAAAATATGAGAGAATGTATGTACCAGTATAATAATTGGTCAATCAGCTCTAAATTGTGTGTTAATCTACATAGCCTCTTGTCTTACCCCATCACTTTTACTGCCTTCTTTATCTAAATACAACAAGTAGAGAATAAAAATTAGATAAATATACTATTTAACAGTATCTCACATCACATGACATCAAATAGGTTTTGAGTTAATAAATCAGAAAAAGAAAAGGCCTACTATAATTAATATTTGAAAAAAGAAACCTTTAGATTGAAATAAAGCTGTTGGTCATCATTTGAGGTATTTTGAATCCCTAACAAACCAAATATTATGAATGTTGATTCGCTAAAATGAATAAACGTCCAAAAGTGGTTCAAAGTTATGATGAATTAAAAATTTCCAAACATTTGGCAGACAATATTAGCAAGCTAGTCACACCTTTTGATGGATCTCTTTTTAATCAGATTGAATTAAGTCGGGAAATTATCTGCTGTTGATTTTTTGTTTTAAATGGTACATAATCCTTGAATACATTTTAGTGTGGATTGAACCGTTAAAATTAACCATTGACCAAAAAATGTAAGTAGTTGCATTAAATCAATTACTTTCCAATACCAGATATTTTTAACTAAATACGTATTTCTATCAATTTTACAGAAAACTAAATTTGCCAAATTTAAGAGACAACCCTATCCCAGTCAATTCCCAAACCTTAAACCTCTTTTTACTCTTTTAAACACAAAGTTACAAATAAGCTGTGTACTTATTATCATATATAGTTTCATAAACAAAAATTATTTACAAGAGTTCAATACCACGGTACTTGAGGAGATAGATCTGACAGGTCAGCTGGAATTCCTTCCCTAAGTTGAAGAAACACTTATCGATTGAAACAGTGCTGTAACCTATATATAAGCACACATTGTTTACTGACTGAAAAATGTCAATCCCAACTAACTTAAGCTTCCATCTATTAATCAAAGATAACACTATGACTTAATTATCAATTCTAATGCAAAATCTGAATATATATGAATGTCTCAATTTTCAAAAGTCAGCGTATAGGTGTAATTATCACTGTATACTCTATAATATATATCTCACAGCTTTTCTATATCAACAGCAGTAAAAAAAGGCATATTACTTATTACTGACATGATTTTACAAGACAAACAACAACTATCTCTGTATAGACCTTGTAATAATATGTCCTAATATAATTGATCTCTCAATAATAAAACAATTAATCCAACAACGTTGTTGTAATCACAGTATGATAATAATTATATTCTTATGATAAAATCTCTTTTTATTATTTAATAACCTTGTTATACTCTATGCTGTAGTTCAATTTCTCTTAAAATTTCTCTTTTAATTAAAATCTGTGCAATTATATTTACATATTATGATATCACAATAATCTGTACACCAATAAAACAAATCTTATATATATATATACATAATAAATATAAACAGTGACACTTAAAATCACATGGGGGTAGCTATATTGAATTCCTGATGTACATGATTAACATTCTAAAAAGGTTGATTTCAAAATCTGTTTAGTGAAATTAGTTCTTTTAAATATTATTTCTTATAATCCCATCCTAGATCATTTTTCTTTTTGTGACTTTCATGATGACTTTTTTTTCTACCTCAAGATTTTATCGCAAAAATTAAGCATATGACACTGTGGGGTATGGCATGTGCCATCATTTGTTAGATTTTAGGAGTTTTACATAGTTTATTTGAATGTGGTATTTTTTTGGTTTCTTCCACATACTATAGAGGTTGTTAGAGGCCCTACTCAAAATTTGTTAGAAATTGAAATCAACCTGTTAAATGCTTTATTTTCATTGCACAAATTAATCTATAATAATACTTATAATCCATATTTTATATACACATTTCCTTTCTTCTGATGAAATACTAACATAATATTTTATTCTAAAAGAAGAAATTCTCTCCTACATAAAAATATCATGTGGACAGATAGGTTGACTGACAGGATATTTCTTAATTAAAGGAGCCATAACAGACTATAAAAAAGTATGTAATACATTACTACAAGAAGGGCCGACACATATTGAAACAGATGATTACCTAGACCAGGTTACTAAGCTCAAATAATGAATTTTGCTTCACTATTTGACAATCAGATATGGCACATGTTCTAACCAGCCACATGGTACATAGATCTAAAGAGCATTTGCACAGAATTAACTACCAGTATTTTACTCCCTAAAAATACTGGTTATGTCTCCTTTAATAATTACTAATCTAAACTTAAAAGAGTTCCTTAGAATCATCTTTGGCTTTTTTCCTATTTTTAATTAGAATGTAAAATATAAAGAGAAGGTAGATAGTTTGTAGAGATTGCAGTCCAACATTAAAACTCAAATGTGAAACATTAGCAAACTGAACTGTAGTAGAACAACACACCAAACAAAACAAACAATACATTAAAGATGTGTGTCTTCGGATTCTTTATTTAGTGGAGGTGGGGGTGGTGGAGGTGTGGGCCGTGAAGCTCGTTTAGAGCTACCATGCTTGTCAATTTGAAAGGAAGAGAGTGAAGAATCAGAAGGTGAAGTTAGTATGTGTGGTTCGTTTTCTAGACTTTCACGTGATGAAAACAAACCTTGTCCATTCGGTGATTCTTGTAGGGGTGCTTGCTGATTGATAAACATGGCCCCGGTAGAAGCAGAACGATTATGACCTTGTGGATGAGGTGCTAGTGGAGGAGGGGCTTTAGGTCGATCTGGTGGGGGACCTGTGGGTCTATCAGGAGGGTGTGGTCTGTCCACTATGGCTGGTTTTGTTGGTATCGTTTCTTCCTCTATATCTACTGTTGATGATCCAATTTCTGGTGATGCTAGTGGCGCCCCTTGATGTCTGGGCCACGTTTGATAGGGATTGGTATTCTGTTTAGTTACACTTGCTGTTACTGCTACTGTGTATGGTCTGTCAGGGGGAGGGGGTGGTGCTGGTTTCTTGGCCGTTCTTTTCTGTGTGCCATATTGTTCTGGGCTATAAAACAAATTGAACTGATGATCAATTCTAATCAATATTCAGCCAATGACCAGTTATAATCAGTGTAGGGCTAGGGCATTCCACTGAAGAATGATTATAATCAATGTTTGGCATTCAGTCGATGAGTAATTAAAAATCAATTACAATCAGGGTATGGCATTCAAATTATACTCAATTTTCATCTGTGTACCGTGTCCCATTCAGCTGATAAACAGCTATATCCAGTGTTTGATCAATTATATATAATCGGTGTGTGTGGAAATCAACCAATGATCAATTATGATCTGTATGTGACATTCAACCAATGATCAATTCTAATTGCTGCGTGGAATTCAAGCAATCATCAATTTTAATTGGTGTGTGGATTTTAACCAATGATCAATTCTAATCAGCGTGTGGAATTCAACCAATGATAAATTCTAATCGGTGTGTGGAATTCAACCAATGATCAATTCTAATCGGTGTGTGGAATTCAACCAATGATCAATTCTAATCGGCTTGTGGAATTCAACCAATGATCAATTCTAATCGGCGTGTGGAATTCAACCAATGATCAATTCTAATCGGCATGTGGAATTCAACCAATGATCAATTCTATTTGTTATGTGGAATTCAACCAATGATCAATTGTAATCGGTGTGTGGAATTCAACCAATGATCAATTCTAATAAGCATGTGGAATTCAACCAATGATCAATTCTAATTAACGTGTTGAATTCAACCAATGATCAATTCTAACTGGCATGTGGAATTCAATGATCAATTCTAATCCATGTGTGGAATTCAACCAATGATCAATTCTAATTGGTGTGTGGCATTCCACCAATGACAGATTAGAATTGGTTGTTGGCATTCAATCGATGATTGATTAGAATTGGTTGATGGCATTCAATCGATGATTGATTAGAATGGGTTAGAAAGAATTAATATTTCAGATTCAAAAACCATACAGACAGACCCACATGAGAGGTCACTAAGGTTATATAAACTCATGCTCACAACAAACGAACAAGCATGGATATGTTTCTTACCTCTGATTATCCTGACCGTAACTAACATCTATACCAGGTGAGACTGGACTTACAGGTCTATTTATACTGGGTGACACTGACAGATTATTAGACTGAATTGCCAGGGTACTATTTATTTCTAATGGTCGTTGATCGGCACGAGTTTGTGATGGACTCATACTCGGAGGTGTGTGTTCACCAACATTAGAAAAATCGAACTCTGAAATTAGAAAAACAGATTTATAAAAACAGTTTAATTAAGACAAATAATAGGAAAGTTTATTGGATTTAAAATGTGTAACAGATAATATGATTATACAGTGTACAAAATCTTCTACAAAAATATAAAAAAAACTGTTGTAAATTCTTAAATACTGTCTACAAAAAGCTATCAATATTAAACAAATATATATGGCAAATGATTAATTATACATTTTTATAGCTTATTTATAACAAATATAGCAGATTTACTTAGCTAAATGATATATAAAAGTATTACAGATAATACATAAACTATACAAAGATGCAGCAAACTAAACAGGACAGATACAACTGACAAGAAAATCTAATTAAAGCAACTACAATGCTCTACACTCGAATATATACATATATATGTACACATGTGCAAATTTTAAAATACTGTTTCAGCACCTAGTAAGTTATACCCACTTTTTAAAAAAAATGTTGTTTTTTTTTCAAATGGTACTAATATGGAACTATGATATTATGATATAAAACATGAATTTTGAAAATATACACTGCATCAGTGCTTTATCTTCAAGACTTGCCTGTCTTTGTATGTGACAAAACAAGCAGTTAATTGTAAACACTTATGGAAACAAACTATTTTACTTATAAATATTAGTTATAATACATGTTTTTTCTAATATGTAAATGTGATGATTTACATTTGGTGCTGTATATCCCAGTATTGTGTTCATGGTAAGAGATTCAAGAGCATGATTTATGAAAATGTCTGCTCCAAATAATAACAGTTTTTGTACAGGTGGTTGTTAATTATACAAATTTATTTGCTGATATCATTAACTAAATTTATTATAATAAAAATACAGAATGATAAAATGAATGTTAGTTAATGCTATCAATGATGATAAATAGTCGATCTATTCAGTTCTCATGTTAATGGTATAGAATGAGTATAAAGCTTATACTATAAATGCAGAGTTGGGAATCATTTGAATTTCTCTTTCTCGGTTATTAAATTATTTCACATCGATTTCGATCTCTATATGGCATATGTTTCAACCACATCCAGACAATGTTTATCATAAAATGGCTTATTAGAAATCTGAGAGTATTAAAGGACTCCTACATATCATTCATTACTGCATATTTATAAAAATCCCAATTGTATATGATTATGTTGATGTTTGGTATGTTCCGAAAGGGCTTGACACAAACATTAACAGATCAATGATGGATGATGATTAAACAGGATTACGAAGGTGCTACAAGTTCTTAAGAAGATAAATATAGATGACTTTTTATGCATATAAATGTACTTCAGCCAACCTAAAAATAAAACTAATTTTTTGATGGAACTAAACTAACAACAGACTGTCTTAATGCCATGATGAAATATTTTACATGATATAAGCTGCAGTGCACTCGTTTTATTTCGAGATCACAAGATCAAGATGTTTGAATACTGTATGTTGTCTTTCCTTCAAATGTAAAACTTAAGATTTTTATCATACAATTTCAATCATCTAACTTTTCATCTGATTCATTTTATTCAGTACATGAATTTTAAGATATGACTAAATGACTTTGCTGGCAGTTCTATTTCATTGTCTATTTGAATGCACTGTTGCTAGAGATCATAAATTTCAAATGAAAAATAATCTAGTTTGATGAAAGGTGATACATGAAACTGATATTAATCAGAGAAAATGAAGAACAATGATAAATGAAATAGAGTAAAACTGGAAATTATTTTTCTGGCCTTGAATAAATTAATATAATTTATTAGAATAACTTATATGATAAAACTATATAGATGAATGATTGGAAGAAGAATTCCTGCATTGTGAATCAAAATAATCAAAATCAGGTGTTTTGGGAGGAGTTAGCATACTCCACCTCGAGGAAAAACAACTTTCAATAATAGTAGCGATGATATAGACTTGGATGTCGATAGCCAAAACTACTTGACTGAAAATATACCCCATTTAAACAAATAGACCAGCTTAAATGTAATTTCCAGTTCTACAATATAATTGCAATGCAGAAACAATGGATAAAAATCATTAATAAGCTTAAATATAAAACAACAAAAACTCATATCACATCTGCAAGTGAAAAAAATGCTAAAAAAATGTTTTATTAAATAATCAAAAACAAAATCAATTCAAGCGATATTCTTTATTTCAGGGAATTTCAAAACTGTGATGGAGACATGCTGGAGCTTCTATTGGAACTATCCCATCATGCCAAAATCAGGATTAGAATCCTCTATGTTCCAGGCAAGCCCTCACAAGTTTTAAAAAGTTTCCCATGCAAAAAAAAAGTTAAATAATTAAAAATAAATTAAGAATTTAGTTTCCCCAAATAATTTAAAAGCAGAAAGAGCAAGAATCCTTGTTGGGAAGCAAGCAAAGGGGTGACAAAGGCGAAACAAACTGGTATGTGAAAAGCTACATGTAAATCCAGAAGAAAATCGACTCTACAATTTCGATTGGTTAAAATTCACAATGACAAAAGCTGGAAACAGGAAATAATAACGTAAATAAAGGAAATTAAAAAGGAAAACAAATAAAAATCCATACTGATTATAATTTTCTACAAATTTAGATTAAGTTTATTGGAAGTTGTAAAATGGAGGGATAACAACAATTTGTAAAACACGGTTTTAGGTTGGTCGTTCATTTTTAGTAATAAAACTAAATAAACAAATATGTTATTAATATCAGCAAAGCATTAATATCGTTCTTTGTTTTGTTTTCATTTTGTTTATTTCAAATTTTAATACTTTTTAATTTTGTCCAGTTTATCCTGTTCGGTTTTGTTTTAAATTTTTTTTTTTCTAATTTCACCTGAATTTTACTTACCTAAAGAATCTAATTTTTAAACTTACCTAAATTTGTGCATGAATCTTAATTTTTAAACTTTTTTGAAGTGCAACTAATCGCATCCCAATCACTTAACTTTTTTTTATCACTAAATCTAATACTAGAGTGTGAACAATTTACTCGCGGAGCTGAAGAGAGAGCAAGGAATTTTAAAGGCCCAATAACACCAAATGTTACCATAGCAATATCTACATCTACACCAGATTGTTTCTAACCTTTTTTGGATGTTAAGTTCGAAGGTGCCCCTTTGCTTTCTTCCGTGGTTTCCCCACTATTCTGGACACTGGTATCAGAAGGAGGAATAGGAGGAGTTGTGTCCCCTTTCCCTTGATTACTGGCACCGGTGGATTGAGTCGAGGGAGTATGATGGAACGTTTCATCCCTAACCGCCTGAACTTTGCTAAAATAATCTGACCATGAACCTGAACTGGAGCCTAACGACTGTAAAGCGGTAACAGTACTATAGACATCAGAATGGAAACTTTTGGCAACTTGTGCAGGCGGCACGGACCGAGAACGGGGCGAGCTACTCCCAGTCCGTGAATGATTAATGTTATTATATCTGATTGGTGATTGGTTAGCGCTGTGATTAGTCTGAGCACTAGAAAGATTTCTGCTGCGAGGAGATGAACTTTCACCTTCAGCTGCCGAGAGTGATTCATCCAATGAAATATTGTCACATAAAATGTTTGTGTCCAGGAAAATATCACTCGATTCACTAGCACTTCCAGAATTATGGCGTCCCTCAAGGAAACTACTTTGTGAACTTGTGCGACTGTTTTGCGATGGCACTTGATTATTATAAAAGTCAAGTCGACTATTTCGGATTGAGCTTTGTCGACTGATATCACTGGGAGGAGTTGATTGACTGTCTGTTTTATCTTGTGTAGAAATATTAACATTTTCTGTTGACATAGCTGGAGCTGTTCCTCGTAGAGTTTTTGCAAACTCTAGGTCTGAGTTTTGAAAAAAAAATGCATAAGTGAGTTAAAAGAAGGTGAGTTATTTGGAAACTTAAAAAAATAAAAGACCTTTGGGAATTAGAGTGATAACAGGGTTGAGATAACCGAGGGGAAGTCATTATAAAGTGCCTAATAAAGGGAACCTAAAAACTATTAAAAAATTTAGCTATTAAAACCTGCAACCCAATGACATATTATATAATGTAGAGATTCAGACATCAATAAAGATAGGTTGACAGGCAACTAAAGATATTCCTACAGCAGCTAAATCATCTGAGCTGTCCACAAACTGGTTGTTCCATTTGAAATTATTTTGCTAAACAGAAGTGAAACCTTTTTAATGATAAACATCAGTAAAGTGTTAACAAAATTCTACAATATGAACAAGGGAAAATAACTCTTGAAATAGTTTGTTGCTTTTGCACTCCCAATATGCTTCCTCATCATATGAATTGAAACATTGCAGAAGTTATTATCAGAAATTGCTCAAATTCAATAGAGTTAGATTGCTCTAATAATATAAACACAATATAGATTTCAAAAAGACCAGAAAATAACTGCAGCCTTTAGAATGTTTGCCAGTAATAGTGGACAAAGAACGGACATGCGTGACGGTAATAATGACCACATTTCCATTTGGGCATATAAAAATGAAAGTGAGGTGTTTTTACCTGTGTTCCAGTAGACCAAGCTTTAAATGGGTTCTGGCAGGATAAAGCACAGTAAAAATTTTGAAATAACAGTTTAACTGTTTCAGGAGCCAGTACATAATTTTTTTGCCTCAGCCTTTTTATAATATTTGAAGCTCTACATTACCTAACAATAATATTTGATGTAAAAAATACATGCAAATTTTCTCCTTAAATAAAGAACAATAAAACAAGATACCCCTTCTCCTTTTTGAAACCACAATTTTTGATTAATTTCTAATAATTGTAAACAGCAGCTTTATATAGCAATGAAAAGCTGTAAGCAAGTGATCTGACAGGATGTTGGAAGCGTGCTGCCATGTGCCGAAATGTTCAATATGATCTAATGCTCTATGTTTGACTGGCTGAGTAAACTTCAATATAAGTACTGCTTTATTATCATTCATAACATCTGAGTCAATGCAGCCCATCCAGCGCAATAATACATTTAGGCCAACTCAATTTAATTTCAAGTTATTCTGGATCTTGATGTATAAAAAAAACTTTCTCTTGAGTATCGTGTACAAGGTTTTGTATCCCTCCAAAATAGCAAGTAAAATCAGTGCTTTGTTCACGAAAACAAAAATTCAAATTGGTGTGTCTTTATAAATGTATTTCTAATTGGCTGAGGTTACTCTATATTTTGTGACGGGTTATGGTATGGTATTCAGATATTATGAAATATAATAATTTACAGTGGTGAGAATCATCTTATATCACCATCTAATGTATTCATGGAATGAAAGGAACGATACATTTATGAATAGATTATTTTCTATTTAAATAAATTCAAAAGTATTAAATTATATAGAATGATAATACATATCATATTATTTACCCACTTGAAAGGGGGGAGTATTTCCATTAATATCAGAACAAGATACTTATTGAAAAATATGGAAATATGAATAGATTATTAACGTATGATGATTATATATTTATCAAATAAACAAAGATAACAGCAATCATTATATTGTATCAGAGTACTATACAGTATAAATTTGTTGTTACCAGAAAAAAATAATATATGTAATAGAAATGAACAAATGTTAATATTGAATATACATCTACAATCTCAAACTTTATGTTACTTTTAAAAACTACCCCAAACAGCCTTAACTAGGGCTCCTTCAACTCCCCTGCCACAAACTAGTAAGTGGTTTTATAATATGGAAAGCTACACAAATCTCAGGCGGTTTGAGGCTAAGGAACAGCAGTTTTGGTCTGTCTGGGGATGTACTGGTATTAATATATCACCTTTCTCTAATTTTCTTCAAGGAACTGGGGGTAGTCAATATTTACATGAACCAAGTTCTAAACGGTTAAATAAATTGATAAATTCCATTGGCCTAAGGTTAGGACCATCATCTGATTCTGAGAAAACAGACAATACAACAATTGATATTAATTTAACTGGTACCACCACCCAGATGTTGCTGGCCTAAAATATTTTCAAATCAGACTGTGAGATTGTAGATAAGGTCTTGTACATGATAAAAATATTGATCAACTTATTCCATATATGATAAACATGTTAATACAAAAAACGATAAAAGTGAAAGTGAATATATTGTGTCCTACCTCCAGGGAAGAAAAAATCAGCATTACTAAGAATAGCATCTATTATGGTACTTAAAGATCCTGTTGTTAACATATTAGGTCTGTAATAGAGATAAATAAAATAGAAACAAGTTCCAACAGGAACATCTCCATCAAGTTGTGATCCTGAACAGATGATTCCAGTCACAAACAAGCTGTTCACAAAAAGAGAAGATAATGCAAGTGTGGTAAAAACCAGATGATCAGTAAAAATATATTCGCTCAATGTTAAGAATATATGGGTACATAATTTGATCTGTCTTATATATTAGCAAGAGAGAGAGAAAAATGAGGTTTAACGTCCACCCACGACATAAACTTGGTCATTCATATGGGACTACATATGGGTCAATTTTATTTCAAATTAGCTAGTGCATAGAGGTCTTCTGCAGTGAGAGGAAACCTGCAGGATTGGACAGGTGCCCCTACTACTTGCCACGGACAAGCTGGGAATCAAAAACCAAGCCAGCTGACTGAATGACAAACCTTTTGATCTAAAGCGCACACATTAGATGATTCGGCCACCCAACCACCTTGTCTCATTAGCCAATTCTGGAGTGGGGAGGAGACAATGGACAAAGAATCAAGGCTTTCACTTCAAAATATTGCTAGCTGGTCAATTTTTGATCTTGGATTAGCAAGATGTTTTTTTCAAAGAATATAAAATTATTAGTCTAATTTGATATATTCTTACAAATCAAAACTATAAATTCTACTTAATTTTGTTCAAAGGTTAAATTCTTTGAAGATGTAATTTCCTGGTAGGTCAAATGACTGACAGACAAGTTCTTCAGTTGATTAATTTCACTGGCAATCAGTGAAACAAGATACCTATTATGCATCGCGGAGCTATGGTGGCTAAGTAAGTAAGACGCTGGCTAGCTTGTCTGGAGGTGGCGGGTCTGATCCTGGTGTTGACCGGGAAAGTTTATCGGGATTTTCCAGCATGGTTTCCCCTTGTCAGTGGTGCAGGACGGAGGGCCTGACAAGGACAGCTGTCTAGTCATTCAGATAGGACCAAAAACATGTCTTTTGGCATACACGTAAAAGATCCCTTGGCAGGGATATAAGAGAAGGCCGTAGTGCCACTGTCCGGGAAAAATTTCCCTCCCAGCACACCATATGGCATAAGCCCATCTTCATAAGCCCAATCGGAGCAGAACAGTAGGACGTTAAACTCTTATTTCATTTCATTTGTTATGCATGACTCCTTGTCAACTGTTTATTATAACAATATGATAAGATTCTTGAAGCATTTATTTGTTGTGTTATACATGTATATGAATGTATATGGGATAAAGCTTTATGTTTTTACTGTGATTACAGGAGAACATATAGCAGATGAGAAATATTTGTATACTTACGCATTTTCTCCTGGTGACCAAAGCAGATTAGGAGCAATAACTATGGCTATATTACCCGCACTCATTTTATTTTTATCACTATTTTTTGCTAATTTATCTAAGAATTTTATTAAATATCTGAAATCAAAAACAAAAAGATAATCAGGATCAAACAATTTTTATCTATAAAAAAGTCTAGGACCGGTACTCAGACTGTCAAATATCAATTGCGATTGAAATATAATTTTTGGCGATGACTTTTCTGAAGAAAGTTTTCAAAAAATTAAGTAGTCTTGGAAAGGGTAGATCTAGATCTCTTATGGATGAATGGAAATTCTCTAATCTTCGGAAGAGCTGTAAAATAATTGCTATTTGTAAAAAAGAGAAGAATTTGTAACTATTGTATTTATCGTGTAAATAATTAGTTGTGGGCTGACCTGGGGTTTATCTATCCCCTGGTTGGTTTTAAGTTAATTTATTGATGACATCAATGTTGGTAGAGATACTAACAAATGTTTCAGACATCAGATAAACATACGCTTAATGACATTCATCTTATTAGAATTTCAATGGGAGTACTTACCTAAAATTATTATAGTTAATACGCGGTAAGGTATCCACTACTTTTTTTAATGCTGGATGAAGTTTATCTTTTGGTCTGTAAGAAAGGAATTGACAGTACATTTATTACCAATTACATGATACTTTCAAGGCATAAAATTTACGGATTAATATTTCATCAACAGTTGTCAAGCTTTTGAAGCTGAGTAAACAATTTTTAGTGTTCAAGACAAATCTTAACAACAATAAACAGAATGGGCATGGCCATTTTAAATTGAGGTACTTTTAACTTTCTATGATTACATGTTTGATATAAAGAGGAGAATATTGCCTAAACAGCAGTGTTTTCATTTACTCAGTACTTTAAAATTTCTTTTCAGCAAAACTCCACCTGCCAAGGGATCATTGCTGTGTACTTTCTTGCCAGCATCATAGCCAGACTGAATATTAATTTCTACAAATACTGAATATTGAACTTACAATGAAGCAGCTTCCATAAAATCTGAATATAACTGATATGTTAATAAAGGTTCCGGTAATTCTCTCAGATATTGTTTTAATGCCCCTAAAAGATAAAAGATAGGAGGTTGTCACACATTCATGTTAAATAGATACACAGCTATGTATAAGTTCTTTATTGCACATATCACATATCATCATATCGTACATCAGTACATAGTAAACTCCATGGAACACCTGCTATATCGTATGCATGTCATACTAATTGTTCAGTCCTTATCAACGTGTACAAGATCTCCAGCATGCAGGGAGATGTTCCAGCAGCTTCTCAATATCACATGACCTGTAGGCTAGCAGACGACATAAGTTACATTCGACAACACAATGATTCTTTAGGTAAATAAAAAGTAGAATCATTACTATAGATATCAAAACATCCCTGCAGTGCTGACAAGATTGTACAACATAATCAAGGGCTATAACTTTAGTAGTAATTATCAGAAATTTCTGTAACTTATTCTTTGCAATAATTGAAACAAATGATAACCTTTTGCTGTTAAAACATTTTAAACATCCTACAAAGTAAGCAAAGGCCATAATCCTAGAAGTAATTAATGGAAATGTTTAAAATTCAATAAAATCATCTGTTTCACTAATATACACAAATGTCAAGCAGATTAAAAGATTACTATTGTTGCTATCATGAGTGTTCACAAGATTCTACAAAGTGAGTTATGACATTAAATCTAGAAGCTATTAACAATTTTTGTTAATACATCAAGCAGAAGTGGAACAATGCAATATAACTCTTTTTTTAACAAATTTGGAAAAAATTACTTCTTTCTAAAGATCGTCCATTAAATATATATTACCTGCTACAGTATGTGGGTCATGTCTAAACTCTTCCATATCTACAATATTAGCATCAAAACAGGCCTAAAATAATACAAACAAAATATCATTACTTTTGGTATCAAAACATGCTAAAACAATCTAAACAAAATATCATCACTTTTAGAATCAAAATAGGCCTATAATCTCTACCTAATTGTATTTGTACCGCAGAGCCCCTGATTAGTTCCTTGATGCCCTATTTTGGCTATGCTGGGGTAAATTTAGAAACCCTAGTCTTTGCATAGTTGGACATTATGCTTATCTCTTTTCAACTACTGAATGGAAATACATCAGTGTTTTCTACTGCTAAATGAAAATCATTTATGAAATGAACTCTTAAACTCTATCTCACCAGTATGATCATCTATCATCACTTACTTTTAATTTCTTTAGTTTGGAGGATGCTCCACCTATTCTAAATAAACCCTGAAAAACAGCAAAATACATGTGAATATAGTTTTGAAATCCTTCATTCATTCATTCATTCATTCAGTCATTTCCTAGTACAGATGTGTTTCAATGGCATTTAGTAATTGAACAGTAATTGTATCCCATAGAATTGTGACCTGTGTATCTTTATACTTTATTTCTAGTTTAATAATAAATCATCATTTAATTTTTATTCTTCAAAATTATGATCTAATTCTATTTGGGGTGCAAATAGTTTATTTGTTATTCTTAAAGAAATGTGAGTATATTTTGTTTACCTCTTCATCCATACCAGTTAATAATAAAGTCATAACACAAGCTTCTAAAACTACAGCTATATCACGACCAGTAACACGTAGATGTTCTTCTAATGGATGACCAAACACTGGCTTGGTTGGATTATTTTCTGTGTAAATATAACATATATTAAACAAGTGTATACAACATATTGATATTAATATCTTCTTTATCTTTCTTATTTAGTCTACTTAAAATTATATCAACATTTCAATACATTTCATTTTACAGTAGTTAACTTAAACTTGGTCTGAAGACATCTCTGTATAAGGCGCCTTCAGTTATGCACAGGTTGTGATTGGTTGACTCCAGATCAACCTACTAATCAAAATCTATGAAACAGTCATGAAATCTCTTGAAAGGCTTTGATAATTAAGACATTCTGTTGATTGTCTAAAATAAGAATATAATGACAAAAGAAATATTTAAAATTATTTACCTATTGCATGTTGCATTCTAGGGATTACCACTTGAATAGCTTCTAAAGCTTTTTTATGATACGCTGCCTGAGCTTCTACTAACTGAAAACCAATAAATACAAGATTCAAATTGGTCATTCTGAGATTAAAACATCATCTTCTGAAAGCCTGTTCTTTTCTGTATTACACATTTATTATAACTAATCATATCACAGTCAAAAACAAAATGTTATCCTTGTATTGCAGTAAATATATTCTGGTCATCTTTGTCCATCAAAAGAATTAACGAGAATTTTAAAAAAATATATATTTAGAAAAATATATTGTTGAATTATAAATAAACACATACCAGGTACATACCAACACCCATACAAAACAATACTCACAGCTAACAGTTTTTGACTATGTTCTGTTTCTTTAGCAATAAAATTTGACATCTCAACCGCTAGACTGTCCTGTAATAAAAACAATATCTTTGTACAGTATCAGGAATTTATTAATTACAGTTTTGCATAATGCAAATATTCTTACCGAAAATAATTAAATCAATAAATTTGAGATTCTAAATAGCAGGAGGAGAAATAATGATGAGGAGATAACTCTGTCAATTTCACCGTAATTCCATATTATCTCCCCTTAGACCACATTCTTGAATAATTGTTTCCATTAGATTGATTCACTGATGATTTAATTGAATGACACTCCAATACAAACAAACTATTTTTTTTTTTAAAAAAGACACCCAAATAGATTTGAACCCAATACATCTTGTCACCTGACATTTAGAACTTTAAAGCAATTGATGAGAAATTACATTGATTCACTAATTACACTAATTACACTGAAATGGCAATTCAATACTATAATCTTTGAGTGGCATTTAGCGATCGAGAAACACATTAACTGAACACAGTTTTTATGGGAAACAATCACGTTTGGACAAGAATCCTCTTATCGTTATCATTATAAAGTGATTTTTTCCCATAAAAACTGTGTTCTGTTAATTCAATACTAACAAACTAATTTCCCCACCACCTACACAAGAAAGGGCACCCAAGTAGATTTGAACATGATGCATCTAGGCAACTGACATTTAGAACTGGAAAGCAATTGTTGAGAAATAAATAAATGTACGTACCTTGACATGTTCTACTTTAGCTGATGCTTCTTCATATTCTTCTTTTATAACATCAGCTTTAGCAGCTGCTGAGGCTATATTTGTACCTGGTACATGTGACTGTCTGACAGCAGTTGTTAATCTGTATAATATATAATGGTACATATAAAATACTGTATTTTTCGGTGTATTAGGCGCATGTGTAGAGGTGTTTCAGGAAAAAATAAAAGTGCATGGTTTAGGCGCACCCTTCTCCAACGCTTGTAGAACACGTGTCATACCATACGTGAGTCAAATACACCTGCAATCTCCAGTAACTGGGCCACACTCTATTGTTTATAGTTATAATAATTACAGATATTTAGCTGTATCAATTTTTATATATATTTTATTATGAAATAACAAATTCTATATACTTTTTCTGAATTGTATAAGACTTTATATTAATTATAACTTTCAATTGCATTGTTTCATAACTTAAATGGTAATTCTGGCGCTTGTACGGTAGACAAATTGTCGTTAAAGTCCCGCCCACAACAAACATCGCCGTCTATTACATCCTGTTAAAGGACAATATTGGTGTCAGTCATTATCACATATGTGACAGAACTAATTAAACACGTTCCAAATATAATTTTAACACAGAGATCATTGCTACGATAGCTGAGTACACGTTCCAAATATAATTTTAACACAGAGATCATTGCTATGATAGCTGAGTAATACAGGTTTCCTGAATCGGAAGTGACGAACGGCAAAGGAAAACACGAGTCATCCCTCTATATAACTGACTGAAGTGACGAGTGATAACAGATACATGGGCGAATTTCTGCTCACTAATAATTCCTTCCAAGACCAAAAGTTGTTGTGTGAGACTGTGAGAGGATCCAAGAATAGACAACCTGGGATAATTAATGTTTTCTAAAAATGAAAGAACCAGTTCCATGTATTGTTAATCAATCATATAAGCCTATACAACCAGTTTTATGATACAGATTATACCATATCATTTAATTGAAGCTGATATTTTGCTCAATATGATATCAGGTTACATGAGATACAATGTGACAATATAATAATCCATAAAAGATGATTTATCACACACTGAAACATCAAAGACAACTTCTAACTCATACAATAAATCTAATACACAGTCGATATTTGTTATCTTTTCTTGGAAACAAAGGCCACACCAATTTGACGTTTTGATCCTCAGGAAGACCTATTAAAATTTGCTTCTTAATCTTATTTCATGAGAGAAAAAAAAGTTTTTAGTACCATATATTTTCAAGTTTTTAAATTTGAAACAAATAATGGATTTTTCTTTATCAAGGCCCAGAAGAACCTACAATTAATTTGGTTGGCCTATGCCATGAACTTAAAGAAAGGGATAAATTTTGGAAGCTGTTTTATTTTAATAAATGTAGGTCTTCCAAAGCACAGCATTCCCAATTCAGATATCAGACTTTTTACATCAATCACAGCAACATTTCGCAAAGAACATGACTGGCGCTGAGGTCAGAGCTGTGCATCAAAGGGAGTGTGTTTAAGAAAAGTACTTGAGGAAATTTTGTACTGCTAGACAGTTTTACAGTATAAAACTAAACTTTATCCTAGGAAGAATGTGACTTGCACATAGAACCACTTAATAAAGGAATATTCATGCCTATAGAAGAACAGTAAGTAATAAAATGGAATATAAGTTTGTCTTGTCTTTGGTTGTCAAAGATTATTAAACAGTGTCATTCACACTACCATTTTTATCGATGACCAAAATTTACGATACCGATAGGATATTGTCAAGAGAGGCATGTAAAATATTATGCCTTTTGAATCTTACCTTCCTTTAGCTGAATCCATATCTAAAGTAGTTTTTGTTAAATGTTTTCTGGCCTTCATTATAGCTGGTATATCATTCTATAATATACAAAACATTAATCAATTATTTACTGTTTAAAACAGAATGAAATGCAATATGGTTTAATTAATGTCCTGTGGTTGTACACCAACTGGTCTAATGAGGATTGTTATATGCAGCTGTACAGCATGCTGTGAGGGAAATTTTTCTGGACAGCAGATTTTTTAGCTGTTTTTCCTCAAATTTAATGGTCAACAGGAGTTACCTTGGGTTTTCGTCCCAACTCTGTCATGGGGAAAGCAGGTTAGAAAACCCTGAGGAACTTTCTCGGTTGACACAAGAACTTTTTGATTAGAGGCAAGTGCCATATTCTTTGATCCATCGTGACAGTGCAGCTTTCAGACTACAATGTAACTTTAAATGAAGTCAACTTAAGCTACAGTCATTACAAATGTGAATATGCTACAAAACACCATTTTTCTCTGATGATGAAATGAGCCTGTATTAAGATAGCTATAAACAGCTCTCTTATTCTTAATGATACATCATAAGAGCTAAATCTGCCTATTGTGCCCTATTGCAAGTCTCTACATGTATTTTGGCTTCAAATGTTACACAAACTATTATTTAGACATTTATTGACTATGACAAGCCCATGATCAACTCTCTAGACCATTGAGATTTAAGTTGATTAATTTGTCCACTAGATTAAAAAAAATTAACTTAAAAAAAATAGATAATTGAGCCTAAGTCATGTTTGTCCAGTACCATTGCTATGATAATAAACAATCTGTGCTACATCTTCAAATAGTCATAAATTGGCTCTGATTCAGAATAAAGTAATTTGAATGAAATTTTCAATATGTTCATGCTTTCATTATCTATTAATTTTTGAACTATATAGTTCTTTATCTAAATCTTACATTGCAACTTTAAGCCAACCTGTTCAGATGGCAAAATAAAGGCTCTATGCAGGATTTTAGCGCTATAGAATCCCTTGCCAACTACAATATTGTGAAAGTTGTATCTCTTTAAGGAATATCAGTCCAAATATAAATATGTTTCAATTCTACTCAGTATTTATCAAGATATGACGAATCTATGCTGCTCTCTAGCAAGCCAAGAGATTATCTAGCGTTGGTATTGTGATTTGTTTTCTTCATTTAATGTTATTGAGAAATAAGCTTGGTAATGAACAGGTACATTTCAAACATAATATCTTTATCACCTTCAGACAACAGACTTACTTCTTCAATGGATGTATAATTTTAATTTTACAGATAATAAAACTATAATTTTTATCCATTATAAAAACAATAACCAACCCTCATCTGAGTCATCTCTCTTCAAATATATATAAATACAATAGATATGGTGTTTAAACATCAATCCAATATTTATTAATCAGATGTATTCAGTAATAATTTCTCCTTTAACTTACATCAAATATGGCTTGTAAAGGTCCTAAAACTTCTTTTTCTACATTTATCTCGTACTGGAGCTGTTCTCGAGCTAATATATTCTGAGCCTCTCCACATAATTGACATATTAAACTGTGAAAGAGACAATAAAACAACATATTTATATAATTAAAGATGACATTAAGCACTACTATTTGTGTAATAAATAAACCATATTGTTTTTCATTCCGTAGCCAACATGTCCTGGGTCCACAAATCGCTTTAGATTTTATTATGCTATTGATTTCAGTATTGAACACATGACTCAGTGTACTTATTTACATTGAGAAAAGCTGAGTTCCTTTGCCATTCCTTCTATAAATAAATCAAGTAGTATTTTTTGTACTCCAGAAGACAGATTCTATTCCATTCATGTTCTTTTTTCACATTGTTTGGAGAGAGAATCCATTGCATAGAAAATATAAACAAGCCAGCACAATCTATATGTGTTTATTAAAATATGTCCTTGGCCCTCAAGCTTGGACAGTATCAAAAATTGCTATTTTGGTTTTGTATTCTTAATAAATGTTTGAAATAAAATTGAGTACATTTTAGCATGAAAGAAATTAGATGTTATCTGAAAAAAGCATGACCGTACTCATTGACCTTGAGAGTATGTGTGAGATTTGAACTAACCATACATATCCTTAATTCCATTGATTATAACCCAATATTAATTACTGATTCAATCTATTGTTAATTAATTATTTATAACTTACCCTAGAACAGATTCTGTACCTGTACCTAGTAACGTTGAGGATTCTATTAATGTATGAGCTAAAGATGTCTCTGGTAATTTTTTCTGAAAAATTGATGACGAATATTAATAATAATATAACCTGCTACAGAGAAGGAAGGACACTGTAGATTAATGCCATTTAATGGGTTATTTTTTAAATTTTAAAAGTATCAATAACCTGGGAACAACATCTGACAATGTCAGGTATAAATTCAGATACTGTCAGACACAATTCCTCTGATTTCTGTCTGTCAGGCACAGATTTTTCTCTCTTCGGTTTTTAAAGCCATGAATGTCTGTCAAGAAGCTAAACATATCAGGAACAAGTGTAATTTCCTGGCCTGGCATTCTATAAATCTAAACATCAAACTATATGTGTTCACTGACTAACATTTCATAAATCTGGTCATAAAACATAATTAGTCAATCCTGTATTTAGGGGGAAATCAAAGGAAGAAAGAAACCAAGATGGCAGATTGCCAGTGACCCCCATATATACAGCTGATTGGTTTCTACATATATTTCTTCCAAGTACTAATGTTTATGGGCTTTTTAAGTTCTTTGTACCATCAACATAAACACTGTGGATAAATTTCAAGAAACTATCGGACGATAATTTAAGCCTCTAAATCATCCACAAGATTTTTTAAAGTGATGAAAGCAGGCTTCTTAATCTATTTTGATTGAGTCAAGAGATCAAGGTAGGAAATAGGGTAATTATCAGCTTCCATTCCCTTTAATATAACTAGACTTCAACAAAAATAATTCTTGGTAATTTAGTGCTATGTAGAATGTCGTATTCTGAATAGCTAATATGTGTGATTACCACAAAAAATAACGACAAATAAGTACACTCGCTGAAAATTTTCCACACTTAATTTACGTACCAATTAATATTCCTGAATAAATGACTGTCTTCGGTTATTTCAAAGCCCATAACCCTGACATTATTATCAGAAAAATCAAAGGCTTCTTCGTCTCATGAACATAAACACTATATAAATTTTCAGCCATTAAACTAGTGTGTCAATTAAGTAATTGTAGATGACGAATGGACAGACAGAAATGCAGGGGTGACAACACTATTTGATCAATGTGTGGTATAAAATTGTCTTTCACTTGAGGGAATTGTATAAAACAAGTGGTCAAATAAGTTACATTCACTTTATCACCATCAACACCATCAGTGCTTTTCTGTGTCAAACAAGCAATGTCATTAATTCTTTTACAGAGAAACAAAACAACATATGTGAGAACCCTTGCCTCTTGGCATTCGACCAGCGTCACGCCATTAACAATACTTAACAATAACAATATATTAATATTATATTTTGCATGCATTATCAGTTTCTGATATTTTTACTTAAGTTAGTTATATATAAATATACAAAGTTTTTTTTTTGTTACCAATTTCCTAAACTCAGATATCCCCAAAATGAGCACTGACTTTGACCCAAATCGCGGGGGATCACGTGGCTAAGTGGGTAAGACGTTGGATCGCTAGCCTGGAGGTCGGGTGTTCGTTCCCTGAATTGGCCGAGAAAGCTCATTCAGATTTTCCGGCGTGGTTTCCCCTTGTCAGTGATGCAGGATGGAGGGACTGACAAGGACAGCTGTCTAGTCGTTCGGATGGGACGAAAAACCAAGGTCCCGTGTACACATTGGCGTGCACGTAAAAGATCCCTTGGCAGTTGGAATTTGATATAAGAGTAGGCCGTAGCGCTACTGCCCGGGCAAAATTTCCCTCATAGCACACTGTATGACGCATGCCCGTCTTCATTAGCCCAGGTTAGGAGCAAAACAGTAGGACGTTAAACCCCAATTTCATCATCAAGGTTTATTAATTATATATGTAAATGAGAAATACTTACTAAACGTTTTTCTATATTTTCTCCTTGTGCCTGTAAACTTGAGCCTAGTTTTTTATTGATATTCGAACAAACTTGTTTAACTGTTTCTACTCTCTTCTCGATAGCCAATAAATCTTCAGATAAAACTTCTGACTTCTCTGATCTGAAATAAATTAAAATTCAGTTGAAAAAAGATACACAGTCTGTAATCAAATACTGATCAGATAAACCTGAGATTAAAATCAAGAAAAGGTGCCAGGCAATGAAACATATCCCCACAGGAGGTACATATAAGTCGCATATTTCTAATTTTTTAGGTATTGAGAGCATTTACAAGCCACTAAATTCTGATCAAGAGTAACATTCCATACATTAATTATCTGAAATAATCAAAATTTTATTGGCTTCTAGCCTAGTTCTTCCAAGTTTTAATATTTATTATACAAAACATGTACCATTAATCAGACGATAACCCTGACAGTAATTACAAGAAATGGTTGAAAATCAAATGGCTTCTTTGTATCATCAACATCAGTTAACACATTGGATACAGTTCACATCAATTGAAAGATAACCTTCAGACTGATGAAACTCTGATCGTCATTATCAGATATAGTTTCTTCGTCTCATAAACATAAATACTATATATAATCAATTACAAGACAATCAGATGACAACTTTAGCCTCTAGAGTGCCCATAACATTTTCAAATTAATAAAGAGCAAAACTCTGACAGTAACTATCAGGAATCGTGGAAAATCAATAGGATTCTTTATCACAACAACATAAATATAAAGTCAATAGGATGATACATTGTATCTTTAGCCTCTGGAGTTTCCACAAGGTATTGTTTATGTTCCACAAGGTATGGTTTATGATGCATAGACGGACAGGGTGTATACAAATCTATAGGATTCTTTATCTGATCAACAGAAACATAAAGTTTCAAGTCAATTGGATGATAACTTTAGCCTCTAAGTGTCCACAGGGTACCGGGGACCATGAACGGAGAGATAAGGTGTATACAAATCTAAATAATCATCTCAGTACATGTGTATCATACAATGTAGTTCAATTCAATATTATTTGATTTCCATTAATGGGTATGTTTGTTTAAAAGGATCAGGTTTCTTTGAATTGGGTTAAAAAACAAAATTGTCAATTTTATTGTTGATTTGCTTTGTGAGTTTGCAGTCTATCGTCATTAAAAATTTTACATCTTTATACCGGTATAAAGGCAAAGCTGAAACATAACTGATTTTCTGTTTCACTATTAAAGGACCGTTGCAAAATTTCAACATTTGTGTCCAAACGAGGATCACGCAGAATTGAGTGGATAAATTGAACGATACTGCAGATGTTTTTGAATAATAAACGGAGATATGTCAACATTTCCTTACTCCGTCTACGCAGATTAGCATGTGGGTGTTTGGTTGTGTTAAGAACAATCAGTGGGTTAATTGTTTGGACGCAAGCGTTGAAATCTTGAGACAGTCCCTAACCAAAATTAAACTAAAATCAGTAAACAAGCCCACTTCTTCATAAATGATAAATAAAAACAACCATGTATACGTGAATTTTACATGTGCCAATATGCCAGGGAGTATTCAACAAAAACTTTAATTCTGGTGTATTTTTGTTTGAATTAATAAAATTATAAGGGAATAGATCAAGATATTACTTATCCCGTAACATTAATAACTCCTATATACATATCAACTCTTAACATATTGATCACATATTGTCTACACCATCAAATACAAAAAAAAAACTCTCCTAAGGCAGTTTCTCTACAAAATGTCCCACTGAGACATTCGTTGCATAAAGGTTAAATGTCAAGGAGGAACTATCTTTATCTATGGGTGTATATTGGTGGTACTTTTTTGTTAAAATGAGGAAATTTTGTGAGAAGGATGAGTCACTGGTAACCACAGGGTATAGATCACCACTGATAAGTGTCACTTTTATTCTATTTTATATAAAACCAGCTGTGTTAACCTGTTGCACAGGGGAGCCCTGGTGGCTGTGTGAGTAAGACGCTGGCTCGCTAGCCTTGAGGTCTCAGGTTCCTCACGATGTTGGCCAAAAAAGTTCCTTGTCAGCGGTTCAGGACAGGGGGAGTCCTGAAAAAGACAGCTGTCTAGTCTTTTGGATGGGACGGAAATCTAAGGTCGCATGTACACATTGGTGTACACGTTAAAGTTGAAATTTGATATAAGAGTAGGTCGTAGCGCCACTGTCCAAACAAAATTTCCCTCATAGCACACTACATGGCGTATGCACGTCTTCGTTAGCACAGTCGGTGCAGAAAAGTAGAACGTTAAACCCCATTTCATTTAATTTATCTCCATTTTTGTAACATCCATAATAATGCATTATTTGTCAATTTCATCATATAATACCATACCAGATACAAAATAAATAGTACCAATAAATTTCTTGTAAATACTGCTTACTATAAAGTTATTTTAAAATTAGTAAGTTGAACCGTTTGGTTTCCTGAAGCGAACAAATAATCCAACAAACAAACGTTTTCTATAGTTTCATTACCCAGTGAGTGTCTTGTACAGTTTTGTCAGAAAACTAAAATCAATACATGACAGCTCGTTTGTAAACTATAACTGGTTGGAATGAAAACTGCCATACATGTATGATGTGGTGACACTTTTTTAATTACAGCTTAAATATCTATGAAAGACTATATTAAGATTATGCTGTTTGGCATCATTTGTTGACACTGACCAGTTAAGGCATAATGTGTTACTTTTATATTTTGACAGAACACAATATTATAAATACAACATTTTTTATAAATACAACATTTCAATATCATAATCTGAGCAGGGGCGAGGTGACCGATGATTTTGCATTTGGAATAAGATCCCATCCTGGCCCTAAAAAAAAACCCAGTATTTTTATGTGAGTGGGGGGGAGGGGGTGGGGTGGCAGTCTCTCTCAGTGCCACCGAGTAATATTGGGCTGTGTGGAACATGCTAGAGTCGATTTGTAGCATATCTGACCCACAGTATATGTTTGACACTGGTTGAGCCCTATGATTATCATTATGAGCATTGAAACTGTGTTAATTTTTTCCATATGCGAGGGGCGCAAAAACTCAACTCAAAACCATGACGCAAAGCTTGTCATTGCGTCCCTCTCACTTAATCCCTGAATCTCAGCCAAATTAGGGCTATGGAAAATAGCTAAATCTACTAGACCAACAAGGTGCGGATGTTAACTGTATCATGTATTATTACATTCATTCATATTACATCTGGTGTAATATAAGACAGAGTAGTACTACACTTACTTTATTCTATTAGACAAGGGTGTGTCCTAGTTATAACTAACTGGCCTACACAAATATTCATTATAACACTTAACAGCGTGTTAGGATATGTCTCATCTTTGTTCAACAGATCAACTTACATATTAAACAATTTAACTATTGTTTAGTAAATAGACAACCCAATATTCTATAAATATAACAGAAATGAAATAGGGTTTACCTTTCTGCACCAGTCAGGTTAATAAAGACGGGCTTATAACCAATTTAATTAAAATGTAGGTCTATATTTCGTTTCGTTTTTTATACTTTCGATGGGCTACACTGTAACACTACATGTAGATCTAACAAGTTATAGTGGGAGTTCACGTTCTATGACGTCAGGTACCAAGCAAGCGACATTTGACCTGATTACGACAGTCATTCGATTAACCAATTAGTGACCGCCATGTATTTTTTATCTACTTTTGCTTTGTTTTGATTTCTATTGCCGCTAATGTCTACCCACAGTTCCGCGCAAAAAAGGTCAAACGCTCGATTCGACAGACCATTTGATTGGCTGACCCCTCATTTCAAGCAGAACACGAGTTAAATAACAACGCTTCCATATCAAGTGTAGTAAAGACAAGTAAAATCAAAATTTTGAACTATAAAAACAAAACGAAATTGGATCTGTGTTTTAATCAGATTGGGCTTATAACTTGCAGTGTACTATGAGGGAAATTTGCCCAGACAGCAGTCTTTCCCCACTTACTCGTCATCAAATTCTAAATGTCAAGGTTCTTTTACATACACGCCGATGTGTACACAGGACCTTAGGTTTTCATCCCTTCTTCCACCACTTTCCAGGTCAACACCATGATAAAACCCTGGAAGCACCTGATTTGTGAGACAGTGCTTTACTCACTGAACCATTCTGTATGTATATTGTGGTATGCATATTGTGATAAATAATAGTGACAGGTCTCATGTACAGACTACTCTTACTTTTTTTCAAACACCTGGTACCACTTTTCAAATCTGAGTATTCCACTTTATTATTGCCACTTTAACCTAAATTCACTTGATACCGGTATATATATTTTGATTCTGATATGGAAATAATGATTTAAGTTGAATATCAGGCAGTATACATGTTAAAATGGACACGTATTACTAAAAACATTAATAAAATTTCGGACAAATCTGTGCTGAACAAAATGCGCCAGTGGAATTGTGTCTGACATCCTGAATTTGTGTTTGACACTTTGTCAGTGACAGTGTAAATTTTAAAATCAATAATGTTGTTTTAATGTGAAATCCTTGGAACATACATCAACCTATATGGTTCTGTCTTAACCTTGAGCCTGGAAGACTAGCCATGCAGGTGGAGTTACTGAGGATGCTTTGAGTGGAGCCACATGACTGCTGGTTTTTTTTTTAAAGGAAATATACTGGCAATCTGGCATCATGTCAGGCAGTAGATTGGAGGAATGCAAAATGATTATCTATGGCATAATCAGTGCTTTAGTTTTCATGGTAAAATGGGGGTACAAGTGTAAAGATTAACTATAAAAACTTCTGTATCCAAAGCCTAAATTTGTGACAACCACGATACATGTGTATGACTTTACAGACAACAGGGTTCTTTTTGACTGTCAGTTAATTTTAATAACACTGACAATTAAATTAAATTCATATATTACATTTTTATTTATGGTACCTAATCCAGAAATCCTGTGAGCATACCACTTGGCCACTCAGACAAATTTATATATGTAAAACTCATTCTTAATTAACACCATTCGTCATCACACAAGACAAGAAAAGATTACTAGACAAAACCAGAGGAAACCAGATTCCTGTATGTAGATATCTTAGATAGAGTTTATAAACCA